CTCTCGGACCCGCTTTGGGAAGCGGCACCGCCTGTTTCGGTTTGCTACATGTCTGAGGCTTGAGGCGACAAGCATGGTGCAGGCAGGCAGCTTGGTACTGCTCAGACTCAGAGCGTTTGGCACGCATGAGAGCGTGAGATATCTTTAGACCATCTGCATGTGCACCGAAAGCAGGCACTGCTGCGTGCGGAGATCCGAAGCTCTCAGAGCCCCATCAACTTCAGCGCGGAAGCAGAGGAGCTTCTCCCAAGCTTTCGCCAAGATGCCGAGGACTGGGTAATCTGCCAAATGCTGAAGTAAGATGCGAGCTGTGTCGTGATGTTTCAATTGCGCAAGTCACCGCGGGCCATGGACACCCTTCTTTACTTGTAGGCTCTACGAGAGAAGCCAGTGCGGGCCGAGTGAGCCGGCGAGCATTGAAGACGTAATGTGTTTTGTCGAAGATCCTGCCATTGCACTGAGCCAGGTGCGAGGACGCAGTTCGAAGTGCTGCTTCGCGGGCGAGTGGTGCGGCTGCACCCAGCACGGGGACATCGTTGCAATGTTCTTCAGTCTTTCAGTCGCTGCCTATGCAGCTACCAGAGTCGAGCTTTGGCAATTAAGCAAAATGCGCGAGCAAATCGATTCACTGGTGTGCGCAGGACAGTGCCTACAGTGCCTACAGGGTCCAGGCCGAGCGGAGGCGGCCCAAGCGGCCCAAGCGGCCCAAGCACACTTTCCCGAGCGTCGACGGATGTGACCTGGCTTCACATGGCTTCAGATAGCTTCAGCCTTCAGTGAGTCCGTGTCCCGAGTTAGCACAGTGCTGCGCTGAAGGTTGCAGTTGGCACAGAGGAGCCACTGCTCGTCAGCTGTTCTAGAAGCAAGAAGAACGGGGAGCATCGGGCAGAGTCGACAGGAACGGCATCCTCCTTCGGGTCCTGTGCTGCAGCCTGAAGCTTCACTTGAGCCAGCGCGTGGCAGTCTCTGAGTTATCTGACATACTGAAGGCAGGATCCTCAACGGGATTTCACATCAGGCGATCGGAATCCGGAGATTTTGCCTCGTGCTCCTCTCGAAGTCCCTCAATTGCCACAGGTGGAAGCATGCCGAGCCGAACCTCAACTGTGGGATCCGTGGGGGTCTATGGCGGCAAAGGCAATTGAAGAGCGAAAGTCTAAGTGTTCTGCGGTTCTGCTCTCTCGGTGTCGGGATCGTCTCCAAATTCCCAATTCCAAAGCGGCAGGGAAGGATGGAAAGGGAGGTGGCAAAGCTTCACCCGGAACAGGTTCTGTTCCCAGGGTCTTCTGACTTTTCCAGCCATCCTCGACTGTCCACGAAACCCTTGTGATGCAGTTGCTGTATTTGAGGTGCCAGCACTGTAAAGGACGATGTGCCTCACATAGAGCTGTGTGACGGGAATTGGAGGTACACGAAAGCCACAGATGCTGTCTGTTTGGGAATCTAGGGTGACAGGATTTTGCTTCGAGGTGCTTTTCCTTCCACGTGGTGCCGCCTTCGAACTTCAACGAGACGCTGCCAATCGCCGAGCCATCGTAAAAGCAGATGCGCAGATCGCAGTTTATGTGCAACGCCTGTTCCCAGCCAACATCGGACGCTGATGATGTTTTTGGCAGTTGTGCCTTGCCAAGGCGCGGGCAAAGACCTTCCGAGATGACCTTAGGCGCCACGGATAGCCCACAACGCAGGGCGACTTCAGCGCTGGGGTGCCTCGAAACGCAGGACATTTGCGCGGAACTTCCGCATACAAGCCGAGCTTGTCGGCCTGGACAAGGTCCAGATGAAGCAGATTGGCACACTTCTCAGACAGCTCCTTCTGAGAACTGTGCCTCTTGAGGCTTGGTCACAGGGAATTTTTGTTGCTGCGGTTGTCGGCACCACAGAAAGTTCCGAGGCTTCGTCCACCAAGACACAAAGGAAAAGGCTCGGGAAGAGCATGAGCCTAAGAATTGTTCCAGAACAGAGGGACAGCTGCGGTGTTCCTGTCTTTGCTGCGGTGCCAAAGCTGAGGCTCCAGAACCTTCTGAACTATCATTTTCCCGCGTCGGGAACTTGGCACTTGGGGCAAGCTATGTGAGACCGAGGCCACAGGCTCTCTAGGGACATGTTTCCAAGGACAGTGGCCTCCGAGCCTGGACCTCAGCTTCCGAGCCGGTTTTGGGGTGAAACTTAGGGTTTCGAAATTGAGAAAGTCTAGGAAACTCTCAGGCATAGGTGTTGCCAAGTGTTGCCGGGCACGTCTCTTCTCAGGCGGGAGGTCCGGCTGCGGGTTGCCGAGTGCGGGACCTGGACTTTTTGCAACTGTACAGGGGGAAAAGCAGTCCACGTCCTGGCAAGTGGGTGGCGGAATGTGAGTCCAGGCAGCCTCAGTCGGGAAAGAAAACCAGCGGCTTGAAATGCGTAAGCTTGATGTGAGTGATCGTTCCTCGGCGCTGCGGTTCGAAACTGGAGGGTTGAGGGCTTGGTGCCACACAACACCCGTTCACGCATCGCTCCACCGCGGCAACACCCACGTCGAGACGCGTAGCGGCAAACGAAATGGATGGGCAGTTGTTGATGAGTAGGCGTGAGTGGGCCTTTCCGCGCGTACGGGCGTCACTGTCATGAGCAGGCCCTGCTGCCATTAGGCCCCACTTTATCACTTGTGGCCACGCAGCGGGCCTCGCTTCAGTCAGCGTGCCACACTGCGGGGCAGTTTCAATAATTTGACCCCACCGCCGCTGCCAACAACAAGTTAAGTTGCGATGGTCTCAGTGGCTGCGGCGGGGCCGCCGCCATCGGCGGGCCACGATACCTTGAAACGTCAAAGCACCCTGCAATGAAGACACTGTACTGGTAATGTGGCCTGGTTTTCAAGCAATGTGTCGTGACTTGCAGCAGCATTATTGGAAACATCAAGCCCTTGTCGTTGAACAGCCGCAACCTCCTCTCCTTTTTTCTTTAGTTTTTTGAAGTGCAACGTGTAGCGACGCGTACTCCTTTGGTTTCGGCGGCGGTGTGTGAGTGCCGACTCCAAGGTCTGGTGCCGGCATCGACCTGACACCCAGCGAGCGTGGGTTCCTCGTCGACCACGTCGAGGAAACGCCGGCGCAGCTTTGTTGTTACAATTGAGTTCACAGCCGGCCCACGTGCTTCAAGCTCAGGCCATTCGCCCAGCTTGTGTTTATCAACTTTGATACATCTCCCAAAGGCGCCCCTCCTGCGAGGGGCGCTGCCCGCAGCCTTGGGCCTTTGGCCTTGAGCTTTGCCCCCAAACCAGTGGTGGGGTGGCCTGTACGCGAGTTGTACATGACAAGGTCAATGTTGCTAGTGGCTGTCGGGCGTCTTGTCGGGTGTTGTGCTTGCTCGAGGAATATTATTGCAGGTATCCACACAAACTTGGGGTGTCATTGTTGAACCGCGGCTTTTGAGGATGGCATGCTGTCTTGAGCTACCTGTCTTGAGTTGAGCTTGCTGTTTAAGAACACGGGTGGGAGGGGCCGGAGGGGCGTTGGGCGGCTTGGCTCACGTTAATCATGTTGACTCAGTCGGTTCACGTCCACTGCCAGGACTTCCCAGGACAGGACTTCGCTGCTGGTGAGGTGGCAGCTTCGGAGAGCAAACAATCAGCATCCTTCTTTGCAAACTATTGGTAGAAGGATGTTTGTGTTCCGTTTGTGTTCCATTGTTTGACACAAGGTCATCCTGGCCATCAATGGTTGCAAGCTCTGTGGTCTGACAGAAGAAGAAGTTGTTCCAGCCTCGAAAGTTTCGTGAAGTACGGCGAGCAAAAGACTTGGCAAGGGGGAAACATGAATTGCTCAGCACCAAGGAGGACACCTTCGGTGCTCACTTTGGGGACGGTGCCATGCCGTGCAGGTCTTGCAAGTCGCAACACAATCGCGCCTTGTTTGCTTTGCTAAGGTGCTGTCCTCGTTATCGGAAGTGCCTAGTCTGTGGCCTAGCGTCGGCAATTGGTGCCTCAGGTTTGGTGGAGGGTTTTTTGGGTCGAAGTTCGGGGCATGTTCGGTGTTCTGGATTAGGCTTTGGGGCTCCGTCTTGTCGTCAGCTACAATTAAGTTATATTAAGTTACAACAAATCTGAAGATGTCCCTAAGTTGAGCCTTGACTTTCGGAATGTGGACATGGACCGAGCAGGTTTTTGACTCGACGGCAGTCTTGCAACCATTGAGCTTCTCATGACAGAGTGGTTATGACTCCCCATCCAGGCCTTATACGTTGCCTGAGAGAACACACGTACTGCTGAAATCTGCAGTTTTGCGTTCCTTGGATCTGCCATGTTGCTTCTATTCCCATCCATTAAACGGAGGTTCAGAGAAACATGATCCTGGAGATGCGAATGTACATAGCCACAAGGCATCTACACAAATTTTTTGCAGTTTCACCGTATCCTCGGAACATTCGGAATTCCGGATAAGTACATATGCATTCATAGAGAGGACGCTATTCCTCTTGCTTCTCGAAGTGCTCCGTGCCTGACTTCATGCCATTCGTCGCGGCTCAAGCTTTTTGCTTTCGCGACACCACGCAACATCACGCAACTCATGCAGACTCCAGGCATCGCGTCGAGATCGTTTTGGAAAAGGAAAGGCTAACACAGCCTAGTGGAGTCGAACGATGTGTGAGGCCTCTATCATGCCACAGGATCAAAGGCAACGCACCTGCCTACCCAAAGTTCCAGCATATGAAGGCAAGACCCAACCGACCTAGCCCGACGCGTAAGGGGCCTTGGGAGACTTGGTAGGGTCCTGCCACGCCTTCAAGAGCAGGAGGCAGCAAATCGGCGGCCTTGTACATTGTTTGTGTTTTTTTGCATCTGCCAGAAGTTTGCTTAGGCCCCAAGTCCCTGGCAGCCCCTATTTCCGACCTTTTCTCAGGCAATGGATCCGCCAAGTGGGTATCCAGATGTTCCACCTTCGCGCCCCTCTGCCGCTGCTGGCCGGGACTATTGGACAGTTTTGGACATCTGGGCTTTAACAGCTTAACTGACTCTGACAGGCATGGCTGCCGACCCTGTGCTGGACTCATACACTTGAGAGGGAGCTTGCAACGGAAAGACCCTGCAAACTTATGAGAGGCTCTGGGAATGGCCGCGATAATGGAAAGCCAGGTGCAGACGCGTTCACGCGGTTTTCTGTTCCGTGATGGCATTGGCATCCTTAGAATGATAGGTGGAAGAGATGCGGAAGCTGCTGAGCAGATTCAAGGTGAGCCGCAAGCGGGTTTCAACAAACTAGTGGTCCCGCCAGGGTTATGCCGCCAGGTGTGCACTAACCCAGCAGGGGCTGGAGCAGACGTGGACGCAGGTGATCGCCTCAGACTCCAGGAGCAAGCAACATCAGAAGCTTACCGATACTTCCAAAGTAAAAGTTTTTGCATGCAGCCCCTACAGGTACTCTTCCAGGACATGTGGACATCCTCATTTTCGGACCCAGCGGAAGGCAAGCACAGGTGTTGAAGGTGTCCTTGCGAGTCTCTGCTGCTAGTAGCTGTGCTCTCTGCCAGTGGAAAGAGCAGCCTCATCCGCACCTTCTACATGGCACTGCACAAGTCGCAGCAGGCGTGGCCGAAGTTCTGTTTACTTTGGATGAGGCTTGCTGCCCTGCAGGTGCCAGCAGATTTTGCTGACAGGCCTGCATAGACTATATATAGTCCAATGGCATCTTCATGCGCTTTTGCCTTTCATTCAGCACCGCTTGGCAAGATTCAGCAGGATAATCGTCAAGGACACGGCCATGAACGAAGGTACTCTCAAATACATTTCCGCCGCAGTCGCCTCAGATTCGACGTGCGAGACAGCTTGCCGCGCAGAAGCACACGGCGTGCTGCATGCTCTGGGAAGTCAGGTCATCAAGCCGGCGAAGCTAGACCACCGCGGGAACATTATCTCGCTGGGGCCTCAAAGCGAATAAACCTGGAGACACATATCGACCCTACATGGCCCAAAATGAGATGTAGCCTCCCGCTGCTGAGAGCTCTGCCGCCGCAGCCCGTGGCAGGTCTTCCATCCTGTGCCATGACACTCGAGGCCAGATTTGGATGGATGAGCCTTGGCACAACGTTTGCAACCCTTTGTACTATGTCGTAGCATGTGTTAGCGCTCAACAACGAACCGGTGTGCTGCGAGCATGTGTGGACTACTGCAGATCTAGGAGCGCGAGCAGAAGCAGCTGAGTGTCATCATGGTTGCGCTCCCAGCGGAACGTGGTGGGATCTTGGAGTTCTTAAACCATTATTGTAGCTCGAACCTTCCGCCACAGTTAAGCAGTGCATTTTACCATATTTGTCAGCATGTCTGGCTTGAAAATACAGTTGCAGTGCAGTCCTACAAACGCATGTTGCATGCCTCTACCGGTAGTATACCACTGTGCTTTCTACATTTGACACGGAGGGTGCCACCTCTTGCAATGATGTTGGTGTGTGGCGTCTAGTTTAAAGCGGGCAGGCCCGCCCCTTAAAGACGGAAAAGATTTGACCGCTCCGGGAGCATCCCACAGCTTTTCAACTTTTATGGGGCCCGAGGACGGGAACGTCAAGGACGACTCCATGGTGCAGCAGCGGAATTACAGGTGAGAAGGGGGGAGAAGGGGACCCTCTGTGCCTACAAGCGCATCCGTGAAATCCCTGTCCAGGTACGCGCGGCTACTTTGGGAATTCTGGAAGAGAGACTCCGAGCTCTTTCCGCCCGAGGTGCGCACTGGTACGTGAGTACTTAAATGCGTGTGTGCGTTGGTGTGTGTGCGTTGGTGTGTGTGTGTGTACTGCCCTACAAGTAGCTCATGGGTACAGGGGTCGCGCCCTTCTTGCTTGTTCACTCCCTCTTACATGTTTTTCAGCAGGGGGATGGCGGAAGCATATGAGGCTCCATCCAGCGAAGCTCCTCCAAAGTCTTCAGGACATCACCAGAAACGCCTTGTGACGTACCTGCCAATGACATCAGACCTGGATTCCTGCAATGGCTACTGTACCTGTTGTTTCACAGTCGCTGTCACGTACTTCCGCCCGTGTGTCACAGTTTTGTTCACAAGCACCACCCTCAGCCTCATCGTTCTGTCCTTCGGGTGGGTGGGTGGGTGGGTGGGTGGGTGAGTGGGCAGGCGCGAGTGCCGGTGCGTGTGTGCATGTCCGCACCAAAGCCTTCACCTATGGCCACTGCTTGTGCCTTGCCAGATTCTGGCCAACAAGAGGAGCGTCCACACTCAGCCCCACGCTGCCGCAGCCTCACCTCTTTGTTCTTGAATGAGAGATGGCCCTGAGATGGCATGTTCCGAGCCAGCAATTTGAGGCCCTCCTCCCTCTCCCTCCGCCTCATTCCACCCTTCCCTCTCTCCGCCTTGCTCTGGCTTGGCTGTCGGTTCACCAGGTCCTCTTTGTTTTCGATGGGTCGATGGAAGAGATCCCAGATGGTGAAGAGGCCGGGGGGCAGCACCACTTCCTCATGGGCGTGAAGCCGCTGATGGCAAGGAGACCCGGTTTTACAGGGAGATCATCCAGATGTGCCGGGAGAAGGGCTACAACAACCCTCAGGCTCCCGGAAACGTACGGTTTTAAGGCTTTGGCAAAGTTTGTGCAAAATCTCGTGCTAGTAGCTAGTCTTATCCTGTGTAGGGCAACGGCGCAGCTCTGGGTTGCTTGCCTGATTAGCTTTGATGCCTGTCTTCGGCTCAACTTCAAGCAGCCAACTTTTAGCAAGAGATGAGGACTGCGTGATTGTTCTTAGCCAGGGGCTCTGAATAAGCACTTTGGTTGCACGGATACATGGAGAGAGCCACACGTGTGTTTGAGAGCTGTTTGGCTTGGACGACTCTCCTTCATGTGCCTCTTAAGCCTCCTAAACCTTCAAAGCCCGCAAGGCTCACATCGGTTTCGGAATGGTTCGGACATAGCCGTGACCGCACAGCCATGGATTCATGGGATCCCTTGGCAGATCCGGCTGATAGCGGCGTCGAAACGAGCTGTACCAGGGACGTGAAGCCTGCACCTGGTCGGGGCCTCAGTGGCGTAATCTTCCTGTGGCAGCTGGTTTCTACCACTGCTCTCTGCCAACCGAAGGTCACAGCTCAGCAGTGGACGATGCTTCGATACTGGCAATCACAGGTCCTTTGGGGCGTGAGGCAGCTATGCAGTGGAATGCAGACAACGGCAGCAGAACAAAATCAGGTTTGTCTCAGCTCTCCACGCCTCCCTGTAGGCCGTCCTATCCTCGACTCGCATGCGAGAAGTCGAGGAGTGGATATGGCAGGCGGAGGCCCGTGGAGTTTAAGATCCACTGAAAGAGCCCACTAAAAGACTCCAACGGCTCTGGAAGGCTGCGTGCCTCGAGGCGGAGCAAATTCTTCCAGCCAGGCCTACACATGCTTACACCATCTGCCACCGCACTGCCGCCCCTGATTCTGGCATTGCTACAGGAAGCACCTGTTAGTATTGGCTGCGGCCTGAGATGAACATGCTGCGAAGGCCCCGTGTAGCTTAGTTGGCTTTTGTTCTGAGGCCAAACAGAATCCAAGAATCCATTGGGAAGAGCGGGAGAAGACCCAAGAAACTGCAGCGTTGGAGGATGGCCTCATGCATGAAATCCATCGAACACCTTGCAGCTTGCGAATCTTGCGAGCAGACAGAAGAATCAAATGAAGGCTGGCGCAATGGGCAAGGCCAGCGAGGCCGGCGAGGCTGCAACGCGCCTCCAAGCAGCTGAGCAGAAGGCAGGGCCGAGGGTTGGTGGAGCGTTACTTGGGACGTTTGGAGACTGTCGAGGTTCGTAGGACTCAAAGGATACTCAAAGGGTTATGTTCAAGAAGTTGTGCTCCAAGTTGGCAGGCGAAGTTGCTGCTCAGCGGCAAAGCAGGTTTGGATGGTGGAGGAGGCTTTGAGCAGATAGTTTCGGCTTGTGCCTTCGTGCTTCGTGCCATTCCCCTACCCTGTAGGTGGATATAGCACAATCGTGCGCGAGTCCACCGAAGAGCTCAAGGCTGGCACTTCAAAAATGCAACACAAAGAGAGCCGAGGATGCTGTGTTTGTGCATTTGGCTTTTGAAACTCGCCAGATGTGGAGTGGATCAGTGCTGTGAGGAGGCCATTGCGGAGGGCTACAGGACGCAGGCTCGGCAGATGCACGGGAGTTTTTTGTTGGGGGATGCTGCCGAAGACAGATACTGTCATGATTGCAGGCGATGAAAGCCTCTCATCATCTCTCATCATCTCTCATCATTCGGTCAAGATTTTGTGAAACTTTGCTGATTCGCCATGCGTGGCTCGAGTGGGCAGCCCGGGTCCCCAAGATGCCAAGATATGCCAAGATCATGGAGAGTGGATGTTTCGCAGGGGTGATGCACTGGCGTCTCTGGGCAAGGCTTTGAAGGCATGCAAGGAGGCGGCTCTGTGGCAGCGCTCTCTTCTTCATCTACGAGAATTCTGGAGATTCCACGAACCCGATGCAGCGGCCCTGGATGCAGTGACGGTTGCGTGCGGCCGAAGAAACCGCTGGGATCTGGCTGTCGTCCTTTTGCGGCAGCGCTGGGAACTTGAGCGGCCCTCACATGAGCCTGCCTTCAATTCTGGCTGCGGGGCGACTATCAGTGCGTGTGCGCGTGCGGGATACTGGGAGTTGGCCTTAGCATTGTTGGCAGAGGCCCGGCTGAGGCAGGGCCCAAGTCGGTCACCCCCTTCCTGTGCAGCTTCTGTGTCTTTCCACATGTTTTCAGCCTAGTAGCCAAATACTTTCTAAGCTGGAAGGCGGCAACCCATCTCCGACTGGAGCTGCAGCGCGGCCATCAGCGCCTGCATGAGGATCGCTTCCTGGAGCAGGGCAATTCGCATCCTCGAAGAGGTCCCGCAAGCCCACAGAGAAGGCCAAAAGGGGGCCAAAGCGATCTCTTCGTAAGAGGGGGGCAATCTTACCAGTCTTACCGCATGTCACCGCAAGAGGGCAGCAGTTGCAGAGGCCCAGCCTACGGCCCTTAACACCTCTCGGCTTCAGGGACTTTCAGGGGCCTCCAGGCCTTCAGGGCCATGTGCTTGCAGGATCCCTAGAAGGCCCAATCTCTCTTCCAGAAACATGCGCTGGGTGCAAAAGACTGAGCCATGAAGCACGGGCCGGCCAGGAATTGGTCTGCCGGCACGCCAGTCGGAGCGTTGACAGGGGAGATGTGGGGAGGGTGCGGTGGGTGATCTCCGTGACTTCCACTGGGGCACAGTCTCAGGTCTTTTTGGCCTCGGCGGATTTCAATGTTGGTAGCATTCCCGCAACTTCCGAATATTTCCCTCAACGGCAGCTCTCAGCGTTTGAAGACGTGCCATGTTGCATTGATCCACTTTAGGGTACAATGCGACGGTGGCCGTGTGCGCAGAGGGTCGGCAGTGGCAGCGTGCGCTGGGCCTCTTGGAGAACATGAGGCGACTACGGCTGCAACCCGACGTGTTTACCTACAGTTCTGCTGTAGCTGCATGCCGGTCTTCATGGGAGATGGCTGGCCTAATCTTGGAGGAGATGCCACGCGACATTACCCCGAACATTCTAACATACTGCTCAGTCATGAGCTCTTACGTGAAGGTATGGCAGTGGCAGCGAGCCCTTGAGCTGTTTGCCAAACTGGAGCATGCCTATCGCCCGAATGCCGTTGCCTACACCTGCGCTTTCCAGGCTCTGGAGTTGGCGAGGTTGGCCGGGCCAAGATGGAAAAGACCCGCTGACCATTTGGCGGACCGGATGCAGCGAGACTACCTGGAGCCGCTTGATGTTGTAAGCTACGGCACCGCGCAGCAGGTTGTGGAGAATGACATTCCTATGGCCGAGCGCACCTTTAGGTGTGAAGTCTTTTCCCCAGCAGTGTTTGAACTTCGGAAGCTGGCGGCCTGGGGCGTTTCGCCGTCGCTAAATCGCGATGTGAAGCTTCCAGACATGGGTAGATTCTCTCGAGGAATGCTGGAGGCACTCCTGGTGGGCAGGAAAAGGCTCCAGAGCACCCAAACCACTCCACCCTTTGCACCCTTTGCACCCTTTGCACCCTTTGCACCCTTTGCACCCTCTGCACCCTCTACACCCTCTACACCCTCTACACCCTCTACACCCTCTACACCCTCTACACCCTCTACACCCTCTACACCCTCTACACCCTCTACACCCTCTACACCCTCTACACCCTCTACACCCTCTACACCCTCTACACCCTCTACACCTACACCCTCTACACCCTCTACACCCGCTAGCGCTCTAGCCCATGTCTTGCGAGGTTGACCTCAAGCAACTGATCAATGCGCGTGCCACTCAGAATGACTCAGAGGCGGCCCACTTGTTGGCGATGTGAACTCAACGCAAAGGCGGAACACACTGCTCCAGCTGCAGCCCAAGCACACCGAGCAACTACCTCAGCGCGTCAAGCGATTTTATAAGCCTGTTTGGCAGTCGGCGCTCACGTTGCCGAATGTGTGTTGTCATTGCAGAAAAGGTACATAGTTTCATAGTGTTACGATTGAAGTCAAGATGAAGACCTTTGGCATCCAACTCAAAGCGTCACTTTTTGATAGATTCTTTCGCATGCGCAGACGGGAAGTCTGCGAAAACAGGAGATGGCTCAGCTGCACATGTGCTCCGAAACTTGAACCCCCCTAAAGCCCCCCTTCGGTTTTACGTTCTCAGGCCCCCCACCCCCTTATAAGGGTTAGGTGCCGGGGCGAAAGCTAAAATTGCGACTTAAGCAACGGCTTTGTCCTGAATCGCTCCCATGTCAAAGCGGGTGGAAAGCATACACTGACTGGTCAGACAACACATGCAACTGTAGCATGAAAAGACATGTGCTTGCGAGTTCGGAGCATCATGAACACCACTCTTCACCGAAATGCCCCGCAGCTTCTTTGGCAAGCCAAGAGCCGGAAGGCTCCTGAGCATCAGCCGGAAACATTCCTCCCAAAGATGGCAGAGCCGGAACTTTTCTTCCAGCCGATGGCAGTGCCAGCCAAACATCAGCCGGAATCCAGCCAAGCATCATAGGAGTATCACCCGGAACCCTTCCTGGCAGGGTTACCACGCATCACGAGCACTAGCCGGAACCTTCTTGACAGGGATGACAGGGCCGCCACCATCAGCTGGTCAGCTTCTGCTCACGTGCAGCCAGCATGACGAAGGTAGCTTACGTTCCCAGAAATGACATGGAAATTGATCATCATAAGCATCAGCCGAGACATTTCTTGACAGAATCTGGCGAGCATCAACGGAGGCGTTTTTTTCAGAGAATCATTGGCTGACAAGGTCATTTGCCTCCTTGTTCAATCGTGCAGCCGCTTTTCAGATTCACACTTCTTACACCAAGAAGCGAGGCCGCCAAAGACAAAGCAGGCCCTGGCAAAGGACATGCTCCAAGCCATGAAGGACAGGGGTCGCACGGGGTCCCTCATGGATCTGACCATCAAAGCTTCCTGAACAGCCATGTCCTGCAGGACCACAGCCTGAAAAAACTGACAGCCTTGGAACGTACTTCCCAAACCAAGATTGTCTTAATTGCAAAATGGAAAAAGATGGAAAAAGCAAGGTCGCCTACCCGCTTTCTGGCCCTCCTCAGGGCTGCGCCTTCCGCCATCTCCGCAGGAGAAAGATGCTGTGAAGCTGGGGCGCGTGCTGGATGCTGCTGCGGAAGAAGGAGTGACCCTGCCCGGTTTGGAGGCAGGGTGGCAGGCAGCTTTGAAGGACTCAATAGAGCTGGGCTCGTGGGGGCTACTCCCGGCAGGCAGCTCGAAAAAAGCTTGCAGAATGGAAGGCACTTCCACCAGAAGATCCAGAAATAAATTCAAACAGGACGCCCTTGTCTGTCGCATGTTTTGCATGGTGCCGTATGTGCACCGTTCATGGGCTTGCCAGGACTTCTGTGGCAGGTACCCGTCTACGCATCATTTTGCCAGACGGGAGGACTGAAGTTGTCTTAGCCGCGGCTTATACCTACTGGCAATGTGGGGATGCACAGGAGAGGTTGGCTTCCTGTAGATCCCCAAGATGAAGGAAGCAAAGTGCTGCTTAGCCTGCCAATGCAGGACCTCAGTTTCCGGAGCCATGCAAGCATCTCTAAGTTGGCCTATCAGGGTTCGAGGCAAACGATTTGCCAAGGTTCTTAGGCTGCAGAAGATGTCTGCATTTTGCTTACGGCACTAGCGTGCGCTGTTGCATGTTGCCGGTCCGGATGAGCGAACTGATTTGCCTCCCTTGTCCCACTTGCCCTTCTTGTCTCACCCTGGCGGGAGCGGGGCAAGTGCGGCGGGTGGGGTGCAAGTGGATTGCAAGTGAGATGCAAGTCGGGTGCACGTCGGCGGCGCATCTCGACGAAATTGTGTCGAAGGAAGGGGGAGGGGGAGCGGGGGGGGCGCTGAGAAGTGAGGAGGAGGGAGCACCTTGACCTAGACCGGCTGCGTTTCAAATGCTTTGTGATGCCGGGATGCTTACGTAACTTACGTAAGCTCCTGCTCTGGGCGCTGCCCAGCACCACCACCTGAACAAGGAAGTCAGGTACTCATTTCCTGTTACTTGAAAGATACTTGCTTGAGAGGTCAGTGTTTAGCAGCTGCCTTCATGCACGGACAAGTCGCGGACCGTCCGCACACAACCCGTTAGAAACATCAGAAACAACCACTTCAACCGACAAATCAAAGGATGCTTCAAGCCTCCCTTTCGTCTACGAGTCTACAAGTGGCCCGCGTAGTTTGAGGAGTTGGAGGCCAGTGCTGGCCCGCTACATCTCTGCCTGGGTTTCGAGGCCAGCTCAGCTCGTGCCACGTTCTTGTCGAGCTCTCTTCTTTGGTTCATTTTTTTTTCTCCAGTTTTCTGCGTTATTGTTTTTTTTTTCAAACGGGGTGGGGTTGTTCTTTGGGGGCTTGGTTTGCTGGCTGTATCCTCCGTGTCAGTAAAGCAGATTAGGCATCGTCCTTGGGTTTTCGAGGTACCGAAGGGTGCGGTGACCGTTCGTGAAGGGGCTGCCTTCGCCCTCAGCAGGTGGGCCGAGTTCTCATGTCGTGACGAGGAGGTAACGTTGCCATTGAGTTTCAACCGAGCACAGAGGCGCCTCTGTGACCAAGCGGAGTTTCTTGCCGAGGCCCTCTGAGCCGCTATGAGCCGCCAACATCCGCCAACTGCAAACTCATGAACTTCTGAGCTCGAGAGCCCTTCTGAGCAGGGGGCGGCACTTTGTGTTTGCTCCAGCCGCAGGAGTGCACTGCACCACAATGCTTCAATGTGGTCTGTGTTGGCTGCTTTGACATGCTGTGATGCCGATGATGTGTCTCCTGCAAGTGGCGGAAGGAGCCCGGATCTTCAGCCGGAATCTTCGGAGGACACCCCTCGTGCGCTCAAGTAGTCGGCCACGAGACCCGGTGGATCGGTGGATGATCGGTGGATGTGTGTGGAGGACGTGGACCCACAGGTCAATCCCACCAGCTCGCTTTGGCAGAGTGTGCGGGGCCTTGGAGGTGTGGCTTTGCTGGGACGAAAAGCCAACACTTTATTCGCCACTGTGTAAGCAGTGTGCCGGTCGACACGTCTGTTAAGGTCATGCGAGCCGTCTCAGAGCCTTTCCCGACGTTTGTCAAGGCAGGATGTAGCTGAATGTAGCTCCCGTAGCTCATTGCCGAGCCGTTTGCACAAGCTTTGTGCACTTAGGTGGAGAAGCTGCTTGCCGAGACCAGTGGCTGGCCAGCTGTCGTGCTGGCTTGGGGTGGTCTGAATGATGCGCTTGCCCGGCACTTGGGTACGCGACAGTGACATGATTTGACAGAGCAATTTGTGTCAATTCGGTTGCTGCGTTACGAGTGCACACAGCAGCTTGTTCTCTTTCTCAGGGGAATTCCCGAAGCACATCAAAGAACCCTGTTTGCGGTTCTTACGTTTTATCAGACCCTCAATTTGCGGTGTCATCGTGCTATGAGCTTTGGGGTCGTTGCCTCTCCCGGAACTCAGAGTTGCAATCCTATAACATGGCGGAGCACTTGCGAGCTGTGCGTCCGGGTGCATGGCTTTAAGGCGGGTGTCTCCAACTGGTGATGATGGTTTTGCTGATATCCAGTTCCAACATGGTGTTTGGGCATAGCTTTCGTCGGGCAGTTTTGAGCCCCACGTCGCGCACCTCGCTGAAACCTCGCACTGCCCCTCGTGCTGTGCAGCTCAGTCCCAACCGTTCTGCCGGACAGGTTCAGTGGTTACTTCCGCTTCTGGGCCCTGAAACCACGTGCTGTTCGAAACTGCTTGCAAGTGCTGCTTTAAGGCTTGTCAACCCACACTGAACAGCTCCGGCTGTGCCCTTGCGGTATCGATGTTGTTGGGTTGACATCCCTGCTGGGTGACTTCCTTCATCAGCGGTTGGGCTGACTTGACACCCCGGTGGGCCGAGATTAGACCCAGGGAGTGTATTTGAGATGGGCTGCTGTGAGATCTTGCATGCAGTTCCGCAACAGACCACGTTAGATGACTTCCAAGGTCGCTGACAGAAGTCCAGAGGCTGTGTCTGCTCGGGACATGTGCAAAACGCTTCGGTATGGACTCAACGACTGCGCCTGTTAGGCTGTTCAAGCCGTTGGCGCCTGCCGCGTGCTCTTCACCGGGAAAGCCGGGTTCTTTGCATCGGTGCCGAGGGAGACTTTGCAGAGTGATTCTGTATATGTTTGTGTGAAGAAATCGCGAGGCCGTGTCAACAGCGCTGCCATCTCTGAGTGTGCCCATGAGCTCCCTCGTCATGGACAGCGACGACATCACCAGCAGCTTGAGCGCACAACTTCACCCGAATGAACCTTAGCGTGGTCCTGCTGTATGTAGCCTACATAGCCTAGGCAGAGACCTTGCCCGCATCATGGATGAGATTCAGGCAACTGCGTTCAAAGAGCAGCAATTTCGTGCTTCTGTCGGCCTCTTGTCCCTGTACTGATTCCAGCTGTTCACCCTGCGGAAGGCTGGTGGAGTGCGACGACCACTGTTGCTGGTCGTGGTGTGTCGCCTGCTCCTGAGTCGCCGACCAGCTTGCTCGCATCTGCGCTTTGGCCGCGCAAGGCTTCTGAGTGCTTTGCATGTGCTTTGTGCTCTTCCCGAGGCGCCCTCTTCAGCAGAAGGCTTGTCCAAAACTTCCGGCAGCATGTGCCACAGGCGGCTTCCCTCAAAGATCCGTTGCGAAATTTGACGGAACAGCATCATGAAAGTATCATGAAAGCATCGTGAACCTCGTCGGTCAGGATGTTGTGCTCTTCCCGCGGCTTGGCAGCAGGAGGCGCGCTGAGCATTCGGCTGCACGGCGCTGTGCTCCATTGAGGTGCCCTCCCTCGAACCTGATGCGTGCCTGTGCGGAGGAGGCACACACTGACGCACTGAGAGAGCCCGCTTTTCTCGGGGCCTCCTCCCGTTCCTGAGGTTCCGCTTTTCCACGCCGAGATCCTGCAAGAGGTCTCGCGCCTGCAGGCCGAGGCCAGGACATGTTTGGGTATACGATTTCGGTACTGTTTGGGTTTGGGTGTTGTAACAGTATGGGAGATTCTTTGAAGAGCAATATTCATCCGCGGGATGTTTCCCAGGGCGTCCGGCTCACGGAGCGGTGCCGTGCGGCACTCGCGAGGCCACTCCTCGTGCGTTCCGGTTTGGGCACTGAAGGAAAGATGAAACAGCGAGCTGCTCCAAATTGAGTCAGGTCTGTAGAGTTTATATACCATCAATCTTTATATACATTCATCAGTCTGCCTCTTTCGTCTAGGCTGCAGGCAGCATCGGAGAGGCAAGTGCTGCTTCGTTCACCCCAGTTTGTTGTTTCGACGTGCTTCAGTCCAAGTCAACAGTGGCGTGAGGAAAGCTGCCTCGGAATGTCGGCCATCCATGGACATGCGGGAAGAAAAGCGCGTCTTTATCGGAAGCATGGCCCAGTGTCATATCCGGCCTTTGCATGTGACCTTGCTGTGGAGCTGCGGAATCAGATCATGTCTGGCAGGTGGTGCTCACTCGCATTGACAGAGTGGAGGACACCACACTGCTGTCAATCCCCCCTGAATGACATAGTGCAGCACCCCGTCCCCCCTGCCATAGGCTTCTCGCCTAATTTTAGCTTGATGCCTTAGGTTGAAGGCTAGCCTTAGTGCGGGTAGCTGACTTGAGTGCAGAGTGCAAAGGAGAGCATCACCAAAGCCGGCAACCAGGGAGCTTCTTCCATTGCCGACAGAGAGATGAAGCTGCGGCAGGCCTCACGATTCGGGTCGTGACTCACTGGGATGAAGTTGTAGATTCTCCCACCAGGTTGTTTGGTACCGTAATTGGTGGCAACCTACTTACGACGAAGGGAACGCTCCATAAACCTACACATTTCTTCTGTTGAGACTTAGTCTGCTGCAAAGGGGGGACTGCCATTCTGCAAGCCTGTCAGCATCATTCGTGCTTCTACTTGTAGGTGCTTGTTGAATGGGCTGTTGCGAGTAACTAGTGCTGCTTGCTCGGCTGCACGGGGTTGCTGATGATGGTCACTCATGACGCTTGAACATTTCATACTATTGCGCCCTTCCAATTCTGATTCGATTCGAAAGTAGAGAACGTGACGTGCCGTTGCAAAGGGCCGCATCTCGTGTGTGCTTGGCCTAACTGCATGCTCCATAATCGCGCTCTTGATGCTCGTAGTTCATTGTCGCCTTCCTGCAACTTGTAGAGAACGAGCAGAGCAAGGCCGTGAAGACAAAGGCTGATTGTACGGTAGTCCAGTTCTGTTCAGGTCCTCGACAAAAAGATTGAGGACGTGTGCATGAAGCTTGACGTGCCCCGAACCGCGGCGGCGGCCTGAGTTGAAATCGTGCCATGACATTTTGTAGCTGTCTTCGCCAATGTCTGAGAGAGAACGATGTAGGAGTGATGCAGGACTTCAACTGAGCAAAGGTGCACTTTATTGAGAACTACCACAGTGGGGTAATTGGTCTCGAGCAGGAGGCCAGGCAAATCTTGCGAAGCTCAAGGTTGCGTGCAGGCATTTCCGTGCACAGGTGCGCAACATCTCCGTCGACTTCCATGCGCTCAAGATCCTCTCCCAGCCTGCAGCTTACTGAAGTAGTTACAAGTAGTTCTTACTGAAGTAGCTCTCACAAATTCTCCCACCGCTTGCCCTGCCCCGAGCCGGGCTCAGAGCTCTGATGAGGTGCTGCAGCCACGCCGATGCTTTCATCGCCCAAGCTCTACGTGACATCAGGTGGAGAGTCATTGCACCATGTTCACCATGTTCACCACGTTCACCATGTTCGCAGGGCCCCGGCGTGTGCGATTCAATGATCGCCTTTTCCAGCAATTTCCGGCATCAACTTGCGGAAGCTCCGCCACTCGAGCCCCTTCCGGATCGAGACCTACCAGCCTTATGTACCAACAATCCCAGTAATCCCAGCAATCATGTATAATCTTCTTAGATGGCCCTCGGGCTATATTCAGGCACTATTTTTTGTCCACAGTTCTCTTCTCCATGGGATGCTCGCATGTCAATGACTTACCTGCAAAAATTGCAGGCTTTGCAATTCAGCCTGGGGAAGATTTCCGTGCCTCTGGATTGGGAAAGCTCAATCCCAACACCGCCATTCCTGGCACCTGGCACCCCATGCTGCACCTTCGTAGGTTAGGAGCCGTGAGGACTCGCCCCTCAACCTCGGCAAAGTGTAGCAAGGTGCATGACCGGCGGTGGCCATGGACAGCACCATGTTGGGGCTTTTGCTTGCAACCCATGCTGTTTGTCAGCACAACCTGCGCAGCAGCATGTGATCGGCCGCACAGCATTGCTGAATCATGCCGCAGACTCTGTGAACATGGCGCAAAACATCACAAAACCCGCATGACGACACCGATCCCTGAAAGCACAAGAAGAATTCTTCGCAAGCAACTGCGGGATGGGCGAGCTGTGCGCGCCGGGCGAGCCAAGCTTCGAGCTGACCTCCCAGGCCTCCCCAGCCCAAGAGCTCAGCGCCTTCCGAGAGGTGCCAAGGGTTTAAAGGTGGGGGGGACGTGTGTGGGGCCTGGAGCGTTTAGGGAGGTTGGGGCCGCTTAGGGTTCCTACAGCGAACCCAGGAGCTCCGACGCTTTGCTGCCTACCGCGAGCAGCCAGAGATTCACAGCTCCGGCTTTGCAGGCGACTTGCAATCCCCCATACCTTCCATATCCTCCTAAACTTCAAGGGCCCCGTGAAGCATCGATCAGTGCTGATCACCACTTGCTGTTGCGTGATTTTATCCGCGCTGCCTTCCGTTGGTTCTTGCGACGCTTGCTGCCACAGTTGAGAATCGGTGTGCTTGCACGTTGATGCACGTTGGAGCCAAAGGTGAGTCGTGCCAGGGCGTGCGTGGTGAGCTGATGAGGCTCGGCGCTCCGACACTTCCTACCAGGGTGAGGCACCCTCTCGAACCATCTTCGGGGTGAACCGGTGGTTTGGAGGGCCGATTTCGCAGCCTGTGAAGCATCGCCCGGCGCTGATCACCACTTGCTGTTGCGTGATTTTATCCGCGCTGCCTTCCGTTGGTTCTTGGGACGCTTGCTGCCACAGTTGAGAATCGGTGTGCTTGCACGTTGATGCACGTTGGAGCCAAAGGTGAGTCGTGCCAGGGCGTGCGTGGTGAGCTGATGAGGCTCGGCGCTCCGACACTTCCTACCAGGGTGAGGCACCCTCTCGAACCATCTTCGGGGTGAACCGGTGGTTTGGAGGGCCGATTTCGCAGCCTGTGAAGCATCGCCCGGCGCTGATCACCACTTGCTGTTGCGTGATTTTATCCGCGCTGCCTTCCGTTGGTTCTTGCGACGCTTGCTGCCACAGTTGAGAATCGGTGTGCTTGCACGTTGATGCACGTTGGAGCCAAAGGTGAGTCGTGCCACGGCGTGCGTGGTGAGCTGATGAGGCTCGGCGCTCCGACACTTCCTACCAGGGTGAGGCACCCTCTCGAACCATCTTCGGGGTGAACCGGTGGTTTGGAGGGCCGATTTCGCAGCCTGTGAAGCATCGCCCGGCGCTGATCACCACTTGCTGTTGCGTGATTTTATCCGCGCTGCCTTCCGTTGGTTCTTGCGACGCTTGCTGCCACAGTTGAGAATCGGTGTGCTTGCACGTTGATGCACGTTGGAGCCAAAGGTGAGTCGTGCCAGGGCGTGCGTGGTGAGCTGATGAGGCTCGGCGCTCCGACACTTCCTACCAGGGTGAGGCACCCTCTCGAACCATCTTCGGGGTGAACCGGTGGTTTGGAGGGCCGATTTCGCAGCCTGTGAAGCATCGCCCGGCGCTGATCACCACTTGCTGTTGCGTGATTTTATCCGCGCTGCCTTCCGTTGGTTCTTGGGACGCTTGCTGCCACAGTTGAGAATCGGTGTGCTTGCACGTTGATGCACGTTGGAGCCAAAGGTGAGTCGTACCAGGGCGTGCGTGGTGAGCTGATGAGGCTCGGCGCTCCGACACTTCCTACCAGGGTGAGGCACCCTCTCGAACCATCTTCGGGGTGAACCGGTGGTTTGGAGGGCCGATTTCGCAGCCTGTGAAGCATCGCCCGGCGCTGATCCTTGCTGTTGCGTGATTTATCCGCGCTGCCTTCCGTTGGTTCTCGGGGCGCTTGGTGCCACAGTTGAGAATCGGTGTGCTTGCACGTTGATGCACGTTGGAGCCAAAGGTGAGTCGTGCCAGGGCGTGCGTGGTGAGCTGATGAGGCTCGGCGCTCCGACACTTCCTACCAGGGTGAGGCACCCTCTCGAACCATCTTCGGGGTGAACCGGTGGTTTGGAGGGCCGATTTCGCAGCCTGTGAAGCATCGCCCGGCGCTGATCACCACTTGCTGTTGCGTGATTTTATCCGCGCTGCCTTCCGTTGGTTCTTGGGACGCTTGCTGCCACAGTTGAGAATCGGTGTGCTTGCACGTTGATGCACGTTGGAGCCAAAGGTGAGTCGTACCAGGGCGTGCGTGGTGAGCTGATGAGGCTCGGCGCTCCGACACTTCCTACCAGGGTGAGGCACCCTCTCGAACCATCTTCGGGGTGAACCGGTGGTTTGGAGGGCCGATTTCGCAGCCTGTGAAGCATCGCCCGGCGCTGATCCTTGCTGTTGCGTGATTTATCCGCGCTGCCTTCCGTTGGTTCTCGGGGCGCTTGGTGCCACAGTTGAGAATCGGTGTGCTTGCACGTTGATGCACGTTGGAGCCAAAGGTGAGTCGTACCAGGGCGTGCGTGGTGAGCTGATGAGGCTCGGCGCTCCGACACTTCCTACCAGGGTGAGGCACCCTCTCGAACCATCTTCGGGGTGAACCGGTGGTTTGGAGGGCCGATTTCGCAGCCTGTGAAGCATCGCTCGGCGCTGATCACCACTTGCTGTTGCGTGATTTATCCGCGCTGCCTTCCGTTGGTTCTCGGGACGCTTGGTGCCACAGTTGAGAATCGGTGTGCTTGCACGTTGATGCACGTTGGAGCCAAAGGTGAGTCGTGCCAGGGCGTGCGTGGTGAGCTGATGAGGCTCGGCGCTCCGACACTTCCTACCAGGGTGAGGCACCCTCTCGAACCATCTTCGGGGTGAACCGGTGGTTTGGAGGGCCGATTTCGCAGCCTGTGAAGCATCGCTCGGCGCTGATCACCACTTGCTGTTGCGTGATTTATCCGCGCTGCCTTCCGTTGGTTCTCGGGACGCTTGGTGCCACAGTTGAGAATCGGTGTGCTTGCACGTTGATGCACGTTGGAGCCACAGGCGAGTCGTGCCAGGGCGTGCGTGGTGAGCTGAACCATCTTCGGGGTGAACCGGTGGTTCGGAGGGCCGATTTCGCAGCCTGTGAAGCATCGCTCGGCGCTGATCACCACTTGCTGTTGCGTGGTTTATCGGCGCTGCCTTCTGTTGGTTCTCGGGACGCTTGGTGCCACAGTTGAGAATGGGTGCTTGCACGCTGATGCACGTTGGAGCCAAAGGTGAGTCGTGCCAGGGCGCATGCGTGGTGAGCGGACACTTTCCTACTGGGGTGAAGGAACCATCTTCGGGGCGAACTGGCGGTTTGGAGGACCGATTTAGCAGCGTCTGAAGTATCGCCACTCTGATCACGACTTGCTATTGCGGGGTTTCGCTCGCAGTCTTCGCGGTAGTGTTTCCTGCTTTTTGCTGGCTCGGTTTGCGCGAGGATTGGTGTGTGAGCTGGTAGATATTAGTGAGATATGTTTACGTATGTTTGTGTTACTGAGCATCCCACTGAAGTGTGTGCGCTCATGTCCATGTGATGTGTTTTTCTTGTGCAAGGCAGAGTTGCGTGCTGTTGTGCGAATCTCGAAGCAGTGCTTTCCCGGCAGGTTCAGACTACTGTGGCTACTCCACCACGGGCAGGCATGGAGAGGCTGGTTTCTCGAAGGATGAAAGTAGCCACTCTCAAGCTCGCTGCGGAATCCCCATGACTGGGGGCCAGGTAGGGTTGGAGGAAGCGGAGTGGGTAGATCTGCCTCGTCCAGATCCCCCAAGCTTGCCGCGAGGGCTAACAGCACGGCTTGGCTGGGTGGCTGAGTTGGCCAAGGAGCCAAAGGAGTCGCTTATTGGCCAAGTGAACGAAATGAGCGGAGCCTTGGCCGAGCCGGATCGCACGGATTGGAGGTTCAAGCAAGCTATGCGTCCCAGCCAGGCTCTTTTCCCAAGTGTTGACTCAACAATCCTCGGCCGTTCCGCTGAAGCTGAAGTGTCTGAAGTGAATGCAGGAATTGCAGGAATTGCGGGAGAGCAGATGTGGGAGGAACGGGAGGTAGCTAGGTTGCGAAGCGAGCTGAGAGCCGCCGAGACGAAGCACACCTGCCTCTACGATTGCTTTCAAGAGATGGAGGGGCGCCAGGTGGAGTTGCTTGCAGAGCTGAAGGCGTTTCAGCTCGAAATCAACCAGGAAGCTTGTGGCCCAAAAGCTTTTGCAATCGCGTGGTGTCGTGTCTATGTAGCTGTCGCAAGTGTGTAAGGCTTCTGAGAGTTTGCGGGCTAAATCGCTGAACGCTTGTTTCTGACCTCTCTTGAGACAGACATTGCACAGGGATCCTGTCTGTTCTGCTTCCGCCACAAACTTCACATTTTCGATGCACCGATGCACGAGGCTATAAAATTATTCGTTCTTGCTCCTTTAATTGTACATTCATATCACTCTCTTCTTTGCTTCCCTTTTAATTGTATTTGCAAACGAATGAAAAGAGAGCGCAAAAACCGTATAATTTAGTAGTTTTAATGGCGGTTACGGGGGCAGTAAAAAGCTCTTGTAAAACTAATAATAATATTATAAGGACTTTTAGTATTAATATTCTACTCTTTTATCTCTTTTTCTACAGCATTTTCTGGATTTTAATATTTTGTCAGATTAATTTTAACGCTACGCGACCCGCCTCGGCCCGGCCCAGCGCATCCGCGTGAGCATGGTGATTCCGCAGCGCCCAAGTCGCAGGACCCCAAGCAATAAGGGTTGGGTTGAGGGTTGAGGGTTGAGGGTTCCGGGTTTATGGTTTATGGTTTGGGGTTTGGGGTTGAGGGTTAGTTTAGGGCTCAAGGTTCACGCTTTGGGGTTGAGGGTTTTTTTGGGTTTAGGGTTCGGCTTGGAGTGATCGTAGGATTGAGCCAGCCCCTTAAGGTTTAAGGCGACTCTTCGGGGGGGGAGGTGGGGTGGGGGGAGGTGGGGTGGGGGGGGGGGGGGGGTGGTGGTTGGGGCGGGGGGGGGGGGGGGGGCGGGGGGGGGGGGGTGGCGGGGGGGTGGGGGGGGGGGGGGGGTGGGGGGGTGGGGGGGGGGTTGAACAACGGCCGGGGGCCCTGCTGGGAGGGGCTTGGTCCTGGCGAGCCGTCCGCTTGCGGACCCCGGTTTCCCATGGTTAAAAAAATTGAGGGGTGTGCCTGTTCTGACAACCTAGACACCTCCGGCCCAAGGCCTCAGCGGATTTGCGGCCGTGCTCACACCAGTTGAGCCTCCGCCCCTCAAGCCAGCGCGTCGGAGCAGGAAAACTCCGCACAAACACCTTACGTGAGCAAGCGTTTGGGGGGGGGGTGGGGGGGGGGGAGGGGGGGGGTGGGGGGTAGGGGGGGGTGGGGGGGGGTGGGTGGGGGGTTTTGGGGGGGGGGGGGGGTGGGGGGGGGGTGGGGGGGGGGGTGGGGGGGGGGGGGGGGGGGGGGGGGGGTGGGGGTGGGGGGGGGGTGGGTGGGGGGCCCTGCTGGGAAGGGCTGCAACTGCCTCTGGTCCTGGCGAACCATCCGCTTGCGGACCCTGCTCACCTAGGGGGGGTACCCATTTGAGGCAAAAAAAGGGGTCCGAAAAAGGGCTTTGGGCCTGGGGGGAGGATTTGGAGGGGTGCCTGTTCTGACTACCTATACACCTTCGGCCCGAGGCCTCGGCGCCATTTCTCTTCTTAGTACCAATTTTAATGCATTAAATGAACGAAATAAAGTGTACGCACGAAATTCATTCATTCGTGCATTTTTGCTGAATACAGAAGCTTGTCCTGCTTAGAGCATGATGCCCCAATTTCGCATGCCTAGCTTAGGGAGCTTGGTGAGCTCTCTGGAGGGATGGGGGCTCCAGACATGCCCTCAGCCTTAAAGGAGTAGCATGCCCTCCACCCAATCCCAAGGATCAGATCCACGGCTTGTGTAGCAGGACTTGTTCGGGATCCCTTTTGAGATGATCTGCAACCGTTCAGCGGATCGAGCTTAACTCATCGAACGCAGAACTACTGGTTGGAAGATGACTGAGAGTGCATGACGCCAGAAATCCTCGTGCAAAGTTCAGGATTCGGCTTGAGAGTACGGCAGAGGTCAGAAACTGCAAGGCTTACACAAGGAAGGCTCACATGGGCGGCTTCACAAAGAAGATGCAGAAACGATGACGCTCCCCCCCCCCCCACCCCCCCCAAGTTGAAATATCCCGATCGTCACGGTACACTACCGGGTCCTGTAAGCACGGGGGTGGCAAAGATGTGTTCCGAAGCAGCCTACATGGTGGCTAGCTGCAAAATGGAGGGAGAGTCTGGGATTTCAGGGAGGATGCTCTGGACCTCAGATGCTTTCTTTGGAGTCGGCTTCAGTGGCTGGCATCTGGCCGAGACCACCCCGCTCCCGCCCTCTCAGGATGTTTGTTCAGGCAGTTTTTCCACTGAGTGGCTTTGTTCCTCTCACGAGCTCCTTTGTCTGCGAATATGAGATTCTTTCTTCCATCCTGTGCAATAGTCGCCCTCGGCTGACACCACTGATACGAATCCCTAAAGAGCTACCAGGGCCCCACATGGCCCCACCCGAGTTACTGCTAGCACAAGCTGAAGCATGATTGGGTGAATAGTGATTGGTTCCAGCCTCGGTCAGGAGCAGCTCCATGTGCAGGAGCTCAAAGATGTGAAGGCAGAGTCCGATGGCCCCACTGCCCTGAGCAAACAGGCAGCCCGGGAGTTGACGGCGGCAGGAGCGAAGCTGTTCAGACTTCTCCAGGCGCAATATGTCATGGGTCCTCTGGGTGGCGAAGTGTCCAGCCACCAGAGGCCCTTGTACACACTGCCAAAGCGCTCGTCCTTCGATGAAGCCGCGCGGACGCTCCTCTCAGAGATGTCTGCGTCTCTTCAAGTCCTACAAGAGCCTGTTCAGCCTGTTCCGCGCCTCAGGGGGCAGACGAGAAAATCGTGTGCGGAGACCACGCATACGCTTGAGGAAGAGAACGAGACAAGCATGAGCAGATTGTTAGCCAAACCACTTCAAACTTCCAGCAATTTCTTTGACCCTCCTAAAACCTTACGTGCTTCCCCGGCAGGTTCTGAATCACATTGTCGCTGGCATTTGTGGGATTTGTGGTGCATGCGCGACGACGATGATCACATCACAAAGTAGTGCAAGACTTAAAGGATGACTCCTCTTGGCAATTTCGGTTGATTGCTGTCGGGTTTTTGGATGCAAGGAGCTCGAGAAAGTCTAAAAGAATCGTTCCACATCCCTGCAGCCATCCAACGGGGTTCGACCAGCCACAAGCCACCGGTGACAACTCCACGAGTCTTGCCATAGATGATTCTTCGCATGCTGGAAGTTCGCAATGTCTTTGCCATGTGCGCTGGATAGGTATAAGTGACATAAGTGATTAGCCAGCTTCTACTCGCGCGCTCTTAGCGCGCATTTTTCTATTAGCGTAGCGGAGTGTGGGAGCTGTGAGAAGCGACATGCCATGGAGGCCCAGCAGGCGCAGGATCCCTTGAAAAGAGCTTTAGTGACCAGCGGGGCCTCTCTCGGTAGCTACTGGAGAACCGTAAGCCCGCGAGGATGCCGAAGCCGACGGGGATGCCGATGAAGGCCTCTTCCTTTCCCGTCTTTTTTTTTTGGGGGGGGCGGGGGGGGGCGGGGGGGGGGGGCGGGGGGCGGGGGGGGGGGGGCGGGGCGGGGGGGGGGGGCGTGTTTTTTCAAGAGGAAAAATTGTCATCTGACATGTGTCTCGGCCGTTTTTCGACCGACAGGTGATGGGAAGAAGCGTGTCAAGCGGAAGATGGCGATTGTCATTGGCTTCATCGGAACAAGGTGGAGACAACGCTGCCGCTGTTCGCTTGCACTTTTCGAAAGTTCCGGCCAGGTATCGGGGACTCATGATCAATCCAGAGGTGGAGCCATCAGCAACCAAGAAGTCCGTGGAGGCTCTTCGCGTCTTCGCGAATTCTGTGACAATCGCTATGCGCAGACCCATGTGAAGATAGCTCTTTCGCATTACTTTTGTTCCCCACCCTCGGTGCGGGGTTGTAGATTTTAAACTCAACTCTTCTCCTCGCCCGGTCTACTCCCTCGCTCATCCCTCCTGGAGTGCCCAGCCCCAAAATGTCCCTGGAGTGCCCGACTCTAGAGTGTCCCTGGTGTCCCGCCCCAGTGTCTCCCTAGTGCCCAACCTCAGAGTCTGCATGGACTGCCCAACCCCACAGTGTCCCCGAATTGCCCACCTTCTTCCTGGAGTGCCCAACCCCAGAGTGTCCCCAAAGTGCCCAGCCCCAGAGTCTGGGAGTGCCAATTCTTAGAGGTTCAGAGTCTCCCTAAAGTGCCCAACCCCAGAGTCTCCCTGGAGTGCCCAACCCCAGAATGGCCCTGGAGTGCCCAACCGCAGAGTATCTCTGCCAAAAGAGGGTGGGGATGTTCGAAGTAAAATAATTTTTGTAGGAGCTGCTGCGCGTGGCCTTGGTGAAAGCTGGCATTGTCAGCGACATCAACTCTCAAAAGTTGGAGCAGAAGGCACCCGGGTTGCAAGGCTCGGCACCATGCGCTCGAGACCCCTGTGGTGTCGTCAGGTTGGCTGGAGCCGATCAAGCCGGACAGATGCTGGGGTCGGCTGCCTTACAATCTTACAACAAAGCTTTGTCCGACCGACCGCAGGTCAAGCCATTCAACCTTCTTGTTGGGGTTTCCCAACACTGCCCTCAGGATCCATGACTCTCAGCCCTAAAGGTTCTACCGGGTGCGGTATTGCACTGCCTTCCCAATCCCAGAATAACAACTGTTTCTGTTTGATGGTGTGCGCATGGTAGTACTCATGCTGGGGCGAGGTTTCGGGCCTCGAGGGGGCGCGGGTGAACCACCGCCTGAAACCTGTGAGCGAGGTTTGGGTTCGGCTGTGCGCCGGGTGAATCACGGGCTGAAGGCTTTAAGGGGTCTGGGGTGCCTTTTCCCCCCGCCCTCCCCCCTCCTCCATCCTGAGAGTTCCAAAGACACCACCAAAGAATGAGGTCAGCAACCCGGAATCATCGCTTGTCCGAGGTCAGCGCGCTCCGCCTGGTGATTTCAGCGCGGCTTTGCGTGACACCAGACAGCATCGACGAAATTGGCTTCAGCCGAGGCCCTCCCTTACAGTCCAAGTGCAGTAGCGTTCGGAGTTGGTGCGCCTTGTCTCGTCGCAGAATTGGTTGACCAAATCAACGACGGCTTGTCGTAAGCTTAGTTTTAGCGCGCTGCTGGTGCTGGTTCCCATCTCTTGACTCTGTACTGCTGGTGGTGTCTGACGAAGAGCACCGCTAGCAGGCACCAGGTATGGTGGCAAATGTGTGGCAAGACGGTGCCCGGCCACTGGGCATGGGGCACCGATGGCGGCTTTAAACAGAAGATGATCTGCCAGCTCACAGACATATTGAACAATGCGGCTGTCAAAGACCAAGTCACATCTTAATGATTCAGGTCAATGCAGGACGCAGTGGCGGTGATAAGTTTGCTAGCAAGATCAAAACCACAGAGATGCAAAGCAGCCGTGACTGTGTTGGCTGACCGAACTCGGGTCTACAGGTGCCGTCCCAAACCTTTGTGTTGGTGTTTGTTGCGCGCTGAACAAGCGTGCAAGGTCCGTGCAAGCGACCCCCCCCCCCAAAGTCCGCGACCACAACACGCCTGATCTGAGATGCGCCATGTTCTTCAAAGGCCTTGAGCTGTGCGATATCTTCGTCTTAGGCGAGGTCCCGAACCATAAAACACACGCAGAAGTCTGCAAGATACGCACCAGGTCCGTGCAAGGCGCGCTCAAGCGAAACGCGCTGCTGAGTCTTTGCACGTGTGTGCAACGCCCCACTATTACTCTCGCAAGTTGCAAAGGGTTGAAGCTGGGTGGCAAAGAACCTGGGACCACGGGCTCTAACAGTGACCCATAGTGCCCCCCACACAAAGGCACCCCATTGCTTCTGTGCCACACTCCATTAGCTCACTCTGCAGATTCGAGCTGCTTCAGGCCAGAGGATATTCGCTGCTTCAGTGCCAAGAAGGTGCCCAACAGCTTCGATGCCAAGCATGCAGCTCGTCCTAAACTTGATCGGACATCGCCGATTTGGCACGATTGAGTGGCCTTTCAATCCGTGTGGCGGTTTCGGTGCCCACAAATCCTTTCAGTGCTCTTGAGGCATGTTCCTGGCGCGAGTGCCCTCGACAGTCATTCACACAGAGAGGCTGCCGCCTTAATGGCATGTAGCAGGTATGAGTACATTCTCCCGACACATCTCGCAACGCCACTCGGTGGCCTCCTCAGATGTACGAAGCACATGCCAATTTACTTTCGGCGGCACATGTTTCAAAATTGAGGCTCCGCGGAAAATGACCAAGTTTCTGCAGTTGCTTGGATCATTTTCTTGCAGCTCGAAGAGAGATGCACTCACGACTCTGGCAAGAGACACGCTTACTGCGGCTTGAGCTCGTTGAGGCTGCTTTGGCAGCAAAGCTGGAAGCAGTCATGCGACGCTTCGAAGGCGCGCTTGCAGGAGCCTGTTGGAGTCCCTACAAAGTCCTGACAAAGTCCCGGCAAGGTTGCCACTCCTTTCACAACTACACGCGCCTGAAGGCCCCTTTGAGATCCGTGTTTTTGTGTGGAGCAGTGACGTTCGTGCCGTTTCATGACCGGCCCTAGGCTTCTGACTGCTTGCCCAGGAAGCCTGAAGGCGGGGTCTAGCTCAGTACGAGATGCACGAAGCAGGCTCAAAGCTCTGGTGGAACGCGCAGGTGAGAGCAAGGGGAAAGGCAAAGCAAAAGGCAAGGGAAAGGGCAAAGGCAAAGGAAAGGACAAAGGAAAGGACAAGCGGAAGGGCGTGAAACGCAAGGCGGCGCTCTCGTTGAAGGTTGAAGGGGGTTCTGCTTTCGAGAAACTTGAGTGTGTTTCGAGTGTATGAATGCTTGGTATGTAGCGAAAACCACATATGAGTGAGATGCAGTGAAATGCGTGAGACATGTTTCGTGGAGGCCGAGGCTCTGGAGCCGGAAGCGCCTCCGGCAACCGAGCCCGCGGAGCCCGCGGAGCCCGGGCCTCGAAGCCTTGCTCTCCGACGACCTTTTTTGCACAACGCCGTGCGCGATGATTCGTGCGATGTTGCGCAGGGAAGAGGCGAAGGCCCAGGCCCGCAGGGAGACCGTAGAGAGACCGCGCAAGGAGATGTGACGGAGACTTGTAGTTGCAGGTGCCAGCTGACAGTGAAGGTGGGGAGAGGTTCGAAAGGGCTGGATAGCATGGAGTCCAGAGTGGCAGTGGCAGGACAGGGGCCTTTGAATGACCCTGTTGATGATGCCACGGGCTCGGGTTCCTTGTTCCTTGTTCCTTGTTCCAGTTAAGTCATACATGTTCTCAATTTTGTGAATACTAGGGCCACTACGTAGGAGCGGAGATTCAGCCAAGGTGTCCGTGCACGATGATGCTGGCGCTGTGCATTCGGCCCAAGTGGTTTCTTGAGTCGCTTGGCATGTTCTGACTTTCTGTGGCTTCCGCGCGAGTCCCAGGCAGGACGCGGTGGAAGATGCCGCGCACACCACACTGGCCGGCGAAGCTGGCTCCTTAGCCTGGGCGATCCCAGTTTTGCATCCGATCCGTTTCGCCGGAAGGCCTCCGTGCATGCGCCATCAGATGTTAGGTCGATGTCTCCCCAGAAGGGCCCAAAGGACAAGGCCCTTGGGTCGAGGTGTGCGCCAAGGAGCGAAGAATCCCAATTGGGCAAGAGCGGTTCTCTGCACCACATCGTGCCTTTCGTGCGTTCAGGACACTTCCAGTGGCACCTGGCGGACTCGACCCGACCACGTCTTGAAGCACACGCCGCTCGCCAAGTCGCCGGCACGTGCTCAACTTTCGCACTAAATCACACACGCCTGCTTCTTCTCCTTTGACACGAAATGATGCACCATGATGCACCATGATGCACCATGATGCACCATGATGCAACTTTTGATGCCCCTTGGGCTCCCCCTATGTGTCGCACTTGAGCTCTTAGGCTCTTAGGACTGTGTAGGACGTGAATTGCACAGAACACTCCGAGGCAGAGCACCATGCACATGATCTCGGTGGAGCCCACACTGGAAGGCCCTGGATCCCCTGCTCTCCCCGCTTGAAGTCTTGGGACACTTGGGACAGGCTTATGCTTCTGAAGTGCTTTTGACCTCGAGCACGTAACGGAAGCCGGACGGAAGAGATGTTAGTTTTTGTATTTGTTTCGCGTTTCCGGGCTTCAGCGGAAGGTGCGCGGAAGCTCTGTGAAAGGTGGCTTTTCTGGCTAGCTTTCCTGACAGCATCCCACGGATCCAGGAGCCCGGGAACTGGGAACCTGCAAATTCCAAATGCTGAGCCCTCTAAATCGTCACGCGCGCAAGACGCAGAAGGCCAAGTCGTACTGGCACAAAGGGCAATCAGGTTTAAGCAACCTCCAACAAGACTAACGTCGCGTGCAGTTTTCGCAGAGTGTCCGACGGCCGTTTCTACTCGTGGCTTTGAGAGGGCACAGCATATGTGCGTTCGAAGGAGCCGACATCAGCTGACCCTGTATATCAACTCAATGACTTTGCAGAAGGGGCTGGGAGTCGAGAGCTTAGGGGGGCTTCGACAGGCTTGGGGCTGAGATCCTGAGAGAGTCCGAGTTAACAAATGTATTTTAAAAGTGAGAGGTTCCTGAACTTCCAGCATTCCGAAGGAAGGGGGAGTTTGCTGAGGGTGGTGTGGGATGGACTGGCACGCCGGAGGGCCATTGATTTTGCAACCATAGGGCTGTTTAAATGGTGGGGAGGCGGTGAGGGTGGTACCGCTGAGAGGCTGGCCTGTGCGCATCTGGTGCTGGAAGCGGGAGTGGCTGGTAGTGGTGGAACCAGTGCACTGGGAGAGTGAGATCGCGATGCACAGGATTAGGAAAGGTGAGCTCTCCCCAGGCACCGCGCTTGTAGCCCCGACCTTGGCGGATTAGCGGGCAACTGGTCTACATGACTCATGCTTTGCCAGCCCTTGGTGTGCATCGAGGGAGGCTTTGCTCGAGACATGTCGAGACACGCAGGCAAACTGCTGAGAATCGTTCTTCGCGGCCAGTTCTTTCTCTACAACCAGCACCGGCCTGAGTGTGCAAGCAGTGTGCAAGCAGTGTGCAAGCAGTGTGCAAGCAGTGTGCAAGCAGTGTGCAAGCGACGCTTGGCAAACTAAGCCGAAGGATCCGTTTGATGGTCGGCACGGCTGTTTCCATTGTCGCGGGAGCCGAGCCCTAAGAGGCGAGTGCGAGGCCAAAGAGGGGAGCCTGCCGAGCTTTTCCTCTCAGACCTCTCCGAGGTACTGCAGGAGGAGATGCTGGAGTTCCTCTGCACGCAGTAAGGGCCGTTTTGATCAATTTCCTTTGTGTGTTCTTACTTGCGTCCGTTGTTTTCTCACTATGTGGTACGGAGGACTGCACTCGTGCTCACCACGGAGATGCACATGCCAATGGCTCCAGCAACCGGCTTGTTTCAGGCTCAGAGAGACAAGCAGCAACACTGACGCAAGCACTTGGAACGCCCTTGCCCTGCAGCATCTCAACACGTCCCGGAAATCTTGAACCTCAATGCAGCCGCTGCAACGCCCAGGTTGCTACGCACTGCAGGCTTCTCACGGCTAGACAACCGAGTGGGCCTGGCGTGATATCCCTAACAATTCCTCGCAATTCACATCTTGTCGGAGGGAACCCCTGTGAAACGTTGTGTGGCCAGGCCGGTGCTTGCGCCATGGATCCGAAGCAGGCAAGAACTAAAACATGCACAGACAACAGCGACAGAGGTCCTTGCTGTGTTGGATTGCTTATGTCCACACCATATGAGGCAGAAGAATGCATGCTGCCTGCCGATGGCTTTGTCCTAATGGATGACAAGGTTGGCGGTCGGATGTCTGTGGCATCGTCGCAATCGCTTCCAACCATTCTAGCCTCGAGGCGTCACAGCAAGCTCAAGGCTTTGTCAAAGAGGTGGAAAAGGACATGGACATCCAGTGGAGGGAAAGCGGAGCCAGCGGCCGAGACCAGGTGGACCAGATGTCAGGTCCTGCGGCCTCGTCAGACAACCTGAGGAAAGCAATGCTTGGCGAGCCAAGATGGCATACATCAAGGCCCCAACAGGGCCCGTGCGCCGCCCAGCTTTGGCAGAACGTGCGAGCGATGGGGGCCTGATGTGGCCGGAAGGTCCTGGAGGAGCTGCAAAATATGCGAGCCAAAGTGCTGGAGCCTCAGCCCATAAGCCTTCACTGTCTGGTTTTGTGAGTCGCATAATGAGTCGCTTGAGACATCTTGAGACTCTCTTGAGACAAGCTGACCTGAGGCTGCAGGAACAGTCAGAGTTTCGGGCGTCACAGGATGACTGAACAAGTGAAAGTATGGTCATTGAATTGATTCATCCCACCCCTCAATCGCGAAGGACATGAAGGATGCTAAACGCCGAGAAGCGCAATTGGCCTCGCAGGGTGAAAAGTGCGCCCACAGACCACGTGAACCTGGTGATTTAGACTTTCGTGCATACATGGGTCGGTCCTCAAATTGCCAGGTCTTCTGCTGGGCTGCTTCCTAGACGTTTTGCGGCAGACCTGATGGTCCGCAAGTGTTTGTGGTGTATACATACATCCTCTGTAGACATCTAGACTTCGTCAAAATCCACCAGGTGCGCTTCCGCTTGGTGCCAGGGACCCAGGGACCATGCCCTGACAGGCTCTTTTGTACAGTCTTGGATAGCCAGGCCAGGTTGGCGTGTGACCAATATACAAGCCGGGCTTGTTGTCCGGAGCCCAGGTTCGCAGAACATCCTTCTTTGTGACACCTGGGGTACCACTGCTCTTTGAGGCGCGAATGCGACAGTGGCACCAGGATCCGTCCCAGAAGCCGCCGAACATGTCCATGCCCCCGGAGACCCAAGAACTGCCAGCTACCTACACGTGCTCAATCGTGCGCACGTGAGGCTGACATGAGGCTCACATTGGCGGCTGGAAGCCTTGCAAGAGCCGAGGCTTGCGTACTGCGCGTCGGAGGGGCTCGATGAGTTGTCCAGCGAGGGCATCGGTGCATAGCCAGATGTTGGCGCCCCGGCAGTTCACTGTCCGAAGCTGAGGCCAAAGTGCCTCACCTGCCCAGGGCGATCAAAATAAACGCCTCTTTGCTTGCAGGTCTTTGCTTGCATGGTCATGTTCTGCTTCACACCCCAGCAAAAGAGCCCCTCTTCACTCTTTCGTCTTCAGGCCCAGCGTGTTCGCCCGAAACTGGAACGTGGACCCGGGAGCTTTGCTTGGCCCCTGCTTCATCGGTGAGCTTCATCCAAACTTGACAAATAGATCCGGTCTGGGATCCTCTGAGACAAGCATGCCTGGGGAGAGATTTAGTGGATTGGGCGGCGTGTTTTCTGAAATATTGTTCTAGCATCTTTGCTGCCGCCATGTTGGTGGCTGCTCTGTCCGGGTGCCTCCGGCTCCGCATGCGCGTGCTTTTGCCGAGTCTGACCGGCACGTTCCTGCCTACTTTGAACAAACATGTGCCTGCCTGCAGCTGTGTTCTTTTTGGGCGACGGGCTATTTCGGGAGGGTGAAGGAACCTTGTTCGGCGTGCGCTGTCCCCTCAGCGATTCTCGTCTCGGCCGCCTAAAGGTGTGTCACGCGTTTTGCCGCACTTCACGTGACAAATTGTGCTCTCGGCGTTCAATTTCTTGCTTCGCCAGCTTCGGCAAGCGCACAAATCAAGTCACGTACCTGACGCCGCTGAACATCAATCGCCATACTGTTCGCTTTTTGTGAGCAACCTGTAGGTTGCTGCGCTCTATCCAAACTTGTTCACCACCTTTTCCGGGATCGGCTCGCAGCTTGCCCTAACCGAAAATGCAGTGATGCGGAGGTTTGTTTGCACGACACTCGAACGAAGGAAACTCATTGTAGCTGGACCGGTGTCCAGATGGGCCGACTGCCCGCTTGCCATGGTGGAGACTCTCGACGAGAACCTGCCCAACGATGAGGTCCTTTGCCACCATCTCTATTTATGATCATGTTCCGTGACCCTGGCCCAGCACAGTCCTGCAAGACCCTTGTTTCAGGTGAGCATCGACGGGGTGCAGCTGGTCGCGTCGCCTACAAAGGAATCCGCCTGCGTCCAGGCGTACAGCGTCATATCTCGAGTGTGCGAGTTGCTACTTTCGGCTTTGCCTTGTTGGGGTTAGCTTGATTCAATTTTTGAGGTCGAGGAGCCATTGCCCGGAGAGCAGGGAGATGGTTTGGACAGTGTCCGCAGCGCAGCTTTGTCAGCAGAGCCACTCTTCTGGTGCACGTTGCAAGACTAGCATGACCGCATTGCGACCTGTGCAAGACATGTCGTGAGGAACTGGAAGAGCTACGCTCCTTATCGGAGGGCTCAGCCGAATGGGCAGAAGCCAAAGCACGCCTGGATGCAGCTGTGCAGGCTGCCGTCACTGCAGGCCCGAGTGGACAGTCATCACATTGAACTTTGCTGCGCTGGCACTTAACAGCCTTGATGCAGGAGCTTGTTTCATTGCGAGCGCCCACAGCAACCATTAACTGATGTTGCCCCCCCCACGTGCCCCACTTGCTTTTCCCCACTTCTCACTTGCCCCACTTGGTGGCCCGGAAGAGCTAATTGATATTGCCCCGACCCCGCAACCCGAGCTTCGGGGAAGCGGGGCAAGTGCGGCAAGTGGGGCAAGTGGGGCAATATCGTTAAGGGACCAGAGCAAGTGGGCAAGCGGGGCAAGTGGCAGAAAACTGTTGGCGTTGCAGGTTTGCACGCCCACTGGCCTGTTTGTTCTTTGAGTTCCCTGCTCACTGAGGGTGTGCGCAAGCAGAGCTGCTGGAAGCCAGAGCAAGGGAAGCCGAGGCGAGAGGGGTGGGGGGGGAGGGCGTGAGGATCTCGTCCCATCGTCTCATCGTGTGATTTTGGCTTTAGGCGGAGATGGGGTCGGCTGGCGAAGAGCTGACCGGGGCAGCTGCGCGCAAGGCGCGGAAGCTGAGGCTGGAGGCCGAGAGGCTCCGAGGCGAGGCGAACGTGGAGAGGGAACGTGCGGCCCGCCTCGGCCAAGCGCTCCGACGGGCGCTTCTTGGAAAGAAGAAGGCCGACTGTCTCTGCATATCCGTGACACAACGGCCTCACGGCGCTGCCCGTCAGTCCACCTACTTGTTACAATGTCAAACGTGGCAATCAGGCCGATGAGAGTGCAAGCATCACGGTCGAGCTGGAAGATGACGCAGAGGACGTCAACGGGAAATTGGCTGCGAAGAATGTGGGGGCCGTGCAGGCCTGGCTGGCCGCTGACGTGTTCATCTGCCTTGGCAGCTTAATTATTGGCGGGTGCAGAATGGTTTGCGCGATGCAGTGCAGGTCCGCAAAACCAGCAAGAAGAGAGTAAGGAAGAAGGCGTGCTCTGCTGAAGCAGCTGGCATGCACGATCTGCGGACAATCGGCCCATGTACAGTCATCTACAGCAGTACATGCACTACAGAAATTGATCCAGAGCATAGCAGCTTTTAGGACGTTGTCAGGATGTGATACCGACGTTACATCCTGGTTCCGCAGTCAAGCGGGGTAGAAGTGGTCAAAGAAGGAAGATACATTTACGAGTTTTCAGATCATGCAAGCCCCTTCACGCGAGGGGTACCTCGACTTGGCAGAAGTGGAGAGAGAATGACATCGCGACACCGAATAATTATCCACCGCCAAATCCAATCCTCAACAACCATGGAAAGCACTGGAGTGAAGCACTTCTCAGACCCCGCGACCTCAGTGACTCAGTGACAGCCAAGACAGCAACCGCAGAATCACCGGCACTACAGACTTAGCCCCAAGTCAAGAGGTCTAGACTCCGTATTGAGATGAAGCGATGGCAGCGTATACTCTCTGTTCAGTGGTCACTCTTGCTGTACAAGATTGTCTCGAACCTCGCTACTGACCTAGCGCAGGCATCAACATCATCTTCCAGCAAAGCCAAGAAGAGGAAAAAGGAGGCTCTGCATTTGGGTCTAATTACGAAGGGTGTAAGGCTTTGGCTGCTACGACCGTATACTGCGTCTGTGCGTGTTGGTTACCGGAGGTGAAGAATCGTGAGGCTATGCGGAAGAAGGCTGAGGAAGCGGCACGGCGGTGGCAAGAGCGAGATGATCAGGCGGGAATGCGCTGCGACGATGGAGCCTGAACATGCCCCTGTCCCGTCAGTTGGAAGCCAGCATCCGCGTGGTGGAGCAGAGAGGACATGGTGCCAGCAAGAGCAATGCACCATGTAGTTCAGGGCTTCCAGAACAAGCTTGGATTTCTTTTTTTAGCCCTTCTACGACGCTGAGAAGGAGCGAAAGCCGCTGCGGAGAAGGAAGCGCAGCGCCGAGCAGAGAAGGACTCAAACCGTACCGAAACCATCCGAAACCCCTCTAAAGGCAAAGCCCCAAAAAAAGGCAATGCTTGGGTCTCTCACACGTCTCTGCATCTTTGCAAATCTTCGCACAGTTCCCCAATTCTCCAATGTGAGTGACTCCGCGGCTCGAGGAGCGGATGCTCAGGGCTCCCAGGCTGAATGTGGCAGCATTGGGATACAAGACATTACAAGACGGTTCTGAGAAGCGCTTTGCTGCTGAGAAGGGCTCTGAGTGGCACGTGTATGCACGTGTCAGTGGCGCGCCCAGGAGCGGCTGCGGCGTGAAGCCAGATCGCGATCCCGGCGAAGACGGCGCAGGAGGTCACCGTCGTAGGCGCTCGCAGGAGGCCAGGGCGCGATGCGCCGTGCAACATAAGCAACTCATGTGCGCACCTCCAGAAGGGGCTTTGGGCAGCAAATGGCCCGCGACCTCCGCGACACGTGGTGGCAGGATTGTGACTCGGAGGGCTTCGCCCCGAGGAGTGCGACTTGATGACTTGATGGACTTCTGATGGCTTCGGCCGTAGCTGGAGAAGGGCCTTCCACATCTACCGGTACCCTCTTTCCTCGAAGTTGTCGTCCGACGTGCTGCAACTGAAGATGGTGGCAAAGAAGCAGCGACCAGCAGGCCAAAGGTGGAAAACGCATGCTCGGGCGTTCCGCGTGGGCAGTTGCATGTTTTTTGCGATTTTTTCCATGCCGACAGTCGGCAGTGCTGGTTCGCTAGCGGTGTCAAGAGGTCGATGTTGTTACATTGCGCATCGCCGCATCCTGAAGCTACGTCGCAGCTCTTGTAGGGGTTTGGGTTGGCAGCAATGGCAGAGGATGAGGCTGTCCGATGCTCGAGACCATGTGAGAGCGATTGAGCCTATAGCTTTCTGCAGTGCCAAATCCAGCCGCAGCATATGCTCGTCCTTGAGGCCGAACAGGAGGAGCAAGGAGGCATTCCGTTGTCCCAGGCCAGATTGCCGAACTCACCGAAGTCGAAGTTTCGAAGCTTCGAAGCTTCGAAGCTTCGAAGCTTCGAAGCAAGATTTCGGAAGAGTTGCTTCTCTGCGCCGAAGGCCTCTCTCCAGCAGCTGAATATGGTCGAGGGCTTGGACATATTCAGTCGTGTTTCTGAGTGGTTCACTTCGTTAGCCCGGCAACAGGTGAAGCAGCAGCTGGAACAGGAGGTCAGAAGTTTGGCCCGACGCTTGAAGGTGGCATGCCATTGTCAGTGTGGTGCATTGCCTCCGTCTCTCAGTTGAACAACCAACAAGCCCTCAGAGAGGCGGAGGCAGGGCTGAAGAGGGCTGACCTTCTATCACTTCTGCCTTAACTTGTGGCTTCCGGAGGCACGCTTTCAAGCATCCATGGAGACCTTGAAATCGCTGTGCCCCGAGAACCACGGCAAGCCAATGCTCGTGTCATGCTCAGTTTCCCATCTGCGGTTGCTGTTGTCGCTGTTGTTTCTGGTATCGCTGTCTGCGTTTGGCTTGCACTGCTGTTGCTCTGCTGCGCTTGCAGGAAGCACAGTGATAAAGTATGTCGCGCGGGTTGTTCTTCTCAGAATAGGTACGTTGCATGCGAAATGAAATTCGATTGACGAGCAAAGAGACTGGACGCTTACAGGGGCGTCTTCTAATGATGAACTTGTCCCCTTAAGGGGTGTGTTCGCGTTCATCTTCACGTGTTTCAGTTTCAGGGTGTTGGTGCCGGTATAGGTATTCCTGTTGACGCTTGGATGTGTGTTTGAGTTTCTCATCAAGCTGCCTCTTCTTATCGCTGTCGTTTGCATGGTGGTTTTCCAACAGCAGGCCCAGCACTTCAAGAGCATTCCTTGTGAGTAAGACCTGACCTAGTCCTAAGCAAGCTTCACTTGCCGTTCAGCGCTGAGATTCCGCTTACGTCGTCCCTATACATCGACGGAAACATGACAGAAACGCTGCCGACTCAGAGGAATTTCGGAGATGAGTAGACATGCATTTGCATGACACACGGGCAGGAAGAAAGTCACGGTTGATGTTGGCACTGGCTACTTCATAGAGATGTCAGTGGACAAAGCTCACAAGTTTTGCAACAGGCGCGGTGGCACGGGTGTAGACTCTCTTGAGTGCTTGCTGAGACCCCACTGCTCAGTCTGAGTTGCCGATTCGACAAGGCACGAAACAAGGTGTATAGCCGAACTTGGACCTTGTCCGAAGGAGATGTAAGTTGCTGGCTGACAACGCCGCGAAAGTTGAAGGGGCGCGCAGCTGCCACTAAGTCGTCAGAGAGGTCATTCTAGTGTCATGTCTTTGTGCTGAGCTTATGATCGTAGGTACTCAAAGACAAAAAAAAGAATCTGGAGACCCTGCAGATGACCATGCAACAAAAGCTGTGCCCTGGTCCTTGCACTCATTTTTTAGAAGCTTCCGCTCCAAAGCTCTCGTTTGGGTGCTTTCTTCAAGCATGCGAAGGTACGTCCTGCAACAACAGCAGGAGGCGGCCAAAGAAAAAGACGCCTGACGGAGGCAACTGACCTCTGCAGGCTGAAGCCTCTGGTGCTGGAGGAGCCAAACATGTGTGCCGCCTTGAATGTCGGACCAGGGTGAATCGGATTGCAGAGCCTAGCGGACCGCCATCTATCCCACTCAGACGGGCTTCAGTGTTGAGAGGTGCATGTCCTCCAGGCCAGGAGAGACAGAAGCCGGCAGCCATGACCCAAACACTGCAACAGTTGCTGCGACCTGGGGCACGTCCATCTGAGCAGTCCCTGCTCAACGACAGAATAGAAAATCTTAGAGTCTTAGAGTGTGTCGAAGCCATGGCTCCCTCGAGCAGCGAGCTCGAGAGATTGGCCTGTCTTTCCTTCAGTCCACATCCAGCAAGGACCTTGGCCTCCGAAAATTTGATCGCCTGGATGAGTGGGCGCGGGGGTCCTTCAGAAGCCTTTGAGAGCCTTTGAGAGATCTGCTGCCGAGGCTCGCCCGCGGAAGCAAAGCTGTGCTCAGGCCGGACGGACGAACTACTACTATGACTCCTGCGACAACGCGGTGTTTTGCGAAATTTTAACCAACAAAAACCCTGAATGAGCAGCAGCAGCAGCAGCAGCAGCAGCAGCAGCAGCAGCAGCAGCAGCAGCAGCAGCAGCAGCAGCAGCAGCAGCAGCAGCAGCAGCAGCAGCAGCAGCAGCAGCAGCAGCAGCAGCAGGAGCAGGAGCAGGAGCAGCAGCAGCAGGAGCAGCAGGAGCAGGAGCAGGAGCAGCAGGAGCAGCAGGAGCAGCAGGAGCAGCAGGAGCAGCAGGAGGCGCCGGAGCAGGAGGAGGAGGAGGAGGAGGAGGAGGAGGAGGAGGAGGAGGAGGAGGAGGAGGAGGAGGTCGCAGAGTCATCCTCGTAACCTCGGTCGTTTTGGACCCTCGCATATTCATCGTGTTGAAAATGTCAACGGTGTCAACAGCAGCAACAGTTTCAACAGTCACGAGGATTGCCGGGCTCGGGGTCGTCATCATCGTAAGTGTCGTCGTTTGCCGTGATCACAAAGGAGCTTGCAAGGGTTTACAAGACAACGACAGCTCCGAGGATGGCGACGATGACACGCCACGCTGACCGAGAGGGTTGTCTCTTTTGAGATAACGGTGCTTGAAAGCACCCTAAGTAAGTGAGCAGTTTGATCACTCCAAACATACTTTGCAGGATTGTCAGAGGGAGGTCATTGGGATTCTGTGGGACTCTCTGGGTGTGGGCACTCCAGAAGGACTCTGCGGGAGTTTGTTGTGGGATTGTCTGGGGAGTGCTCTCCGGGATTTGTTGGGGGTTGGAGACCCGGGCCAGGAGGAGGATCTAGCAACCAACCCCGAGGGTGGGGAACAACGCAGCCCTCTGGAAAAGGCCTTCCAACGCTTTGGGAAAACACCGCTTAGCTTACGTGCGTGCGCAATCATTGCAAATTGCAGGCTTGAAACTTTACCGATGCGCTTTCCGCCAGAACCTCCCGCCTGTGCATGCGCCGGCATTCGTGTGCTGAAGTCGAAAGCGTGCTACCACACTGCTGCGTGCAAGCCTCTACATTTGCAACATCAGTGGGGCTACCCCCCTGTTTTTTGTGCTTTAGTCGGCGTGGGCCGTCATGCTAGGAAAACGACATCTCACGCGAAAGAAGCTCACGTCCGGAGTAGACACCCATATGCAGAGACGTCCGCGACGGAAAAGAAGCAGCGTCAGGGGGCATTGCCATCCTTAATCATCCTTGCAACATGTGATGAATCGCTGTTGAGGTCCGCTGAGACCATTACTTTATAATCGGTTTGACTGAGAACAATGTTGCAGCTCGCGAGCCGCCAGGCCCGTTTGGTTGCGGTCCTGGCCGCTCTGAGCTACTTCTGCGCGCTTCTCCAAGTGGTGCGAGGTGATAAGGTCTTGTGACAGTTTGGGGAATTGTGGGACGGTTGGGACGATTGGGACAGTTGGGGCCGAGGCTCCAGCATGGTGTGCGCAATTTGGCCTGGACCTCAAAAAACTGTATCTCACGTCTTATGACTTTATGAGTCCTATGAGTAGCTTCGCTGAGTGCACTCGACCTGGAGGTAGTGGTCTTGGCTTCGGACCACTTTTTCAACGAAGGCCGCTTGTCCAGCGCAAGTAGTGCGGCCTGTGAGCTCGGCAGTGCGAATCACTTACCCTGACTGTGGAACTCGGTGACAGCCCTGGGCGGCATCATCTGAACATGTGAATATCGGTGGCTGTCGTCGGCGCGGCTATTCAACTGAGCATGCCACGAGATATCAAGCTGCAGCACGGCCGGTACTCGAGAAGGCTCGAGAATGAAGGTCCGCGAATGGCCTCATTTGGAAGCCCCACGGCCATTCTTGTCCATGAGCCGTCGATCCTGTAGGTAATGGCCAATCCCAGCAAGCCCTCGAACCTCAAAAGGGAAAACCCTGAGCCGGTACTTCATGTTGAAAACCAAATTCATCCCAAAGCTAGAAAACGGCCGAGAAGCCTCTCAAGACTCAAAACTTCACGCAAAACTCCGGACTTGGCAGAAGGACCTAAATCCACGAGGGAGTGCCAAACCCACCACCTTGAACCTCTGAACGAATCCGCGTCATTGTGCGCCTTCCAGCAGTGGCGCCCTTATTGGAGTTGGGCACAGAAGTTGCGAGCTCCTTGTCCTTGAGCGCAGCATTGCTAGTGATTATGTTTCAAAGCCAAGAAAACAGCTGAGTTTCGCCGATCGCTGTGGCTGTTGTGCCCAGCTCTGCTGCACCTGAGCACTCGGCCAGCTCTGACCGATGGTTTGTCGTTGTGGCACATTGTGGCACGCTGTCCGCGGATGAAGCTTGCTCCAAGCATTGGCAGAGCTGCTAGCAATGACTGCCACAACAGCTAATCTTCTCTCTGAGGACCGAAGCTTGTTTGCATGATGTTGCAAGTGATTGTGGCTTTCGTGCCCAGCAGTTGCGCGGCGGCACGATTCAGCGAACATGTGCTGGATGGTTGGCTCGATATGCACTACTCGCGCGTTGTCGCGGATGGCATGCATGGTGGTTGTGCTGCAAGATGCTATCAGTTTCACACACAGTGTGCTTTAGTCTGGAAGCCGGCCCATTGGACTTTCTCCATCCCATTCGTCCCAACCAGGCAGCGCAGTTGCAGCCGACGCTGCGCGAGATTTGCACAAGGCTGATCGTTGCTGATGATTGTGTGCCAAGCTGCAAGCCGCTCAGCTGACTTGCAGTGACAAAGCCCCACTTGCACCAGGATCTCCCGGGCGAATTGTTTTCCTTGGTTCGCCAGATTGTGTGGAGGCATTTCGGGAAACTGAAAAAGCCGGTTGAGACAGGCTGCTTTGTCAAAGGTGGTGCTGCACACCCTTTGGAATGTCAGCAAAGCCACCGAGGAGTTCGAGGCCCTCACGTAATTCGGTCCTGAGTCTAAAGTATGGGGAGCACACCTCGATCACCAGGTGAGTGCTGTGGTCTCTCGTCCGCCAAAGCGCGTCAAGAAGGCCGGCCGCTGGGCCTGGCTCGGGGCCCGAAGACTGCCGAGCACCACCCCAGGTCATTGCCAAGACTCCAGTGCATGAGCTTGCAGAAGAGCTGGGCGTGCAGACCTCAGTGGGGCTTGGGAAGGAAAGCATGGATGCTCTCGGCAGCTCGCAATTGCGTTCCCCAACCAGGTCTCCTGCATTTTGACGCCGCCATCTGCAAAAGCGAGATGCACAGATTGACCTTCGGCATCTGCAGCAAAAGAGCAAGTTAGATTGCCCAGGATGAGGCCTTTCTGGAGGAGTTAGAAAGATTGAAGCCTGATGTGCCCGTCTCAGCGGTTTGCGGTTTGCGGTTTGCCTGCGAAGACTGCACATTGCCGGCAATTTGCATCAAGGTCTGCATAACTGCTGCGTGCCCGGCCGCAACTAGATGATCTTTGCACGCGCGTGTGAATGCGGATCTATATACTCTCACTCCTACTTGTTATGCCATGCCGCGCCAGCACGCATTTTTAGAGAACTTTAGAGTGCTTGGCTGTGTCATCTTGCATCGGTGATTTCTTGGAAAAGGTACGGGGAGTATTTGCCGCGGCGGTTCCTAGAGGCACAGTTTGGTGTGGTTGTGTGGATAGAGACCTATGGACACCGAACGGCCCGAGACACCGCGTCTGGGCACGATCAACCTCCATCCTTCACTGCTACCGCGATGGCGAGGCAGGCGGCTGAGAATGCTGAGAAGTGCAGCGCGGGGATTCGCGCTCTGGCTGTATGTTCGCTTCTTTATGACTTGTGGAAGGTGCTTCGCCAGTGCAACGCTGCTTGGTGGCCGGAGACACTGAGACCGGCATCACGGCACGCGGCTGACGTGCATGCCACTCCTTCAAACTCTCAGCTTCTGACGTTCCCTTGCTTCCTTTCAAGATTTTGTACACGGTGGCGAAAATGGATGCTGGGCACGGGCCTTGGACACTGGCTTTTCATGCCGGAAGATTGGCCCCTTTCGAGATTGTGGAAGTACACGTTGACAAGGCGGTAAGGAGGTCATGCGCGAATTTCCCGCTTTGTAGTCTTGTTTGCGTTGGAACTGTTTGGCCTGCAGCTTTCCTGGACAGCGATCGGTCAGAAGCTGTGAGGGTTGTGCTTGAAAGCTTGTGCATTACCTTCTGCAACACATTGACATGTGTGCTGGGTTGCTGAGATCTGCGTGACGACTAAGACCTCGGTCATATTGGGCCACGGTGCCCAGCTTGTGCCAAGGCCCATCATCGCACAAGAGCGGATGGCGCTCGACGGCTAAAAGCTCAGGAGTGAAGGAGAGCCATGGCGAGTGCGCAGAGTAGATTCCCAGGCTCTGAGACCTCTCCTGAGCTCTTAGACCAACTCTTCAAGCCTGGCCCCAAGACATTGCGATCCGATGCCCAGACTGGTCAGAGTGCTCTTGTGCCTCTTGCTCTCTTCATGCTGCGAGGTGGGGGGCCGACCTGCTCGTGGAGGAGGTGCGGGGACATGTGGAGAAAACTGTCCTATCACCCTATCGTTCGTTGCGAGGCTCAAGTGTAAAAAGCGAGTGCGAGCCGCGACAAACGGCTTGCAAGGTTCTTGGTCCAAGACTCCCACTGCTCGAAAACGTGCTCTTACGGCATGTTGCGGCCATATTTTCTTTGTCGCCCTTTGCGGAGCCTTCCTGCAGGCTCAGGCTGAGGCTCTTCGACGGTCATGTCGCTGTCAGCTGCAACGTGGAATGGCGAAAGTGCTACAACACCCACAGAGTGCAGATTTTGCAAAGTGGCAAAGGCTGTGTGGAATAGCGGTTCAAGCATTGACAAGACCAAAACTGGGCGCAAACTCGGCAATGGCCAGGGTCAGCTCCATGGAGAAATCCCTGCGACCACGCCAGATAGCAGCAGCACAGGGCGCTGACTACACATGTGGATTCCTCGAAGCAGAGAATGCTATCTGTGTAGAGATCCAAGGAATTACGCTCTGTGAGCAGCTTTCGGATCGAGAGAGTGCGTTGGCCACTACTCCTTGCCACTTTCCGTGGGTGAGTGAGGGGGGGTCTTGAAGCCAAGTCTTGTAGCCTGCAGACGCATGGATGATGAGCACGGACGAACCACGGCCTTGGCTGGCACTTTATTTTCCTTGACTTGGGCGTGACAGGTGCTGCCAAAGGTGCTTGGCGGAGAGGCGCGCATCAGCTTCCATGCACACCTCGACCAGACACCTCGTTGGTTTTAGCTTCTCGTTTTTTAGTTTTAGAGATTGGTCGGAAGGTCACAATGGAAACCGCAGCCGTGCAAGATGAAAGCTTGGTGGAAAAGGCGATGGTCGTAGAGGGAAACCAAAAGCACATGTTGACATGGCAAGCCAACGGTTTGCATCCTGTCAGGCACCACTCATCTCGAAGAACGAAGGCAAGTTATGGCCGCACAACGAGACAGCTCTCCAAATGCGAGACAAGGCCGTAGCTACTGGTTGTACCCGGTTCACGAATCCGAGCACACAGTTTCCATGTTCAAATAGTGTCCGTCGTCCTACTTGCTGAGGCAAGGGAGCTCAGAAACAAGGGCTAAAACCCAACAAAGACTCTCCCAACTGCCTCACAAAGCATTGAACGAGGCAGTCAACCCTCCCCGTGATTTGGATTTCTTTCTGCACAACCTAGTTGACATGAATACAGCGCGCCACGTAGAGGATGTAGGAGGGTTCCCTTCAGGTGCGGGGTTTTGCAGGATGGCGCCTTGCTCAGCTTTGAAGCAGCCTGGCCATACCCTGTTTACCATCCCTTAGGAACCTACCGTGAAACTACCTTGGCACACGTTGCGCTGCCCAGGCCTGGCACAACCCTTGCACTCGCCTGCTCCGGCTCCAAAGCTGCGCCTCAAGGCTCCTAAGCTCTTGCGGCAGAAAGCCGTGTTTGCGAATGATCTGCTAATGCTACACATTCGTCTCTTTCGGCAGCTGCCAAACCTGGAGGCGTTAGGGTCAAAGTGGCAGGTGCAGAAGTAGCCGGAAGCTTAGAGGTTGGATGCTGCACCGGAAGTCTGAAGCTTGAAGTTGGCATGGGAACGCTAGAAAGCTCTTGGCATAACACTGCTGTCAGGTTCCCTTTTCCACTTTTCCGGGCTCGATCAGTCGGCAGCTTTGCTGCTCAACGGTTGGCACGAAATGAAAGCAATACGAACAGAAGAACATGTTGATGACTCGACTTGTCAAGCCCTCGGCCTCAGTATCACATGCAAACATGGCCTGCGGAAAGTCGCCGCCCAGGCCCCGACACGCCATTGGAGGAGCTCCTCTTTATGCCTGCCATGGCCTTGGCATGCTTTGGCCATCGCTGGCTTGTTTTGGGTTGAGGTTCCGGCACGCTCTCTATGCCATGTAAGTTAAAGTAACGATCTATTTTCCCCCCGCACAGACAAGCGAAACCTTAGCGATGCATCTGAGGCTGTGGACGGCTCCGACCCTGCTGTCGGCATCCGGCCGGCAGCTGACCCGGAGAATGCGAGGGCCCGAGCTTCTTCGCCCAAGTACGAAGACACCGCCTTGGACCACCGAGGTGTTGCTGCTGAGATCTTTCCAACTACCTGGCAAGCAGGAGGCCGAAGCTGTTTCATTCCTGCTTTCTTCATGCTCACGTTGTTCACTTGGTTCTTTTGGTTCGCTTTGGTTACTTGCCAGAAAGTTCGTATGTATTCCTCAGTCTCCGATCGAAGCCCCGCATGCCCTCTGCGAGATAAGCTGTTCAGGTTCCGGCCAAGACCTTCCGAAAAGGATACATGACGTTTCAGCCAGCCAGGTGGCTGTCGCAGGGTTTCCCAGAGTTTCCCTGTGTGGCCTCAGCCGGTCTCGGTATTTGTTCATGAGACGGTGCAATACAGGTCTTACAGCATCCCTCTCAGGCCGGAGGAGGAATCAACGATGGTATCAGCAACAGGAGGCACGGCAATCGGCCCACGCTTTCCTTCACCGGCCATACACTTGACGCAAGTTTTGCAGTTCTCAAAAAGCAGAAGAAGATGCGAAGGCGCCCTGCCAGACTTTGCATTTTTCTGTCTGCTTGTCATGGGGCATGTTTCTCATGTGTCGCCGTCCATGGCTGGCCGCCATTGAATATCGTCGACTTTGGGGGGGTGGCAGAAGCAGCAGATGGCCATCATGGCGAGAGGCGCTAGGTGAGCACTAGACCTATCTTGGCATTTTTGGAGAAAGGCGTGCCACGGACAACCGAATCAAGATGCGCGAATTCCAAGACATTTTTTCCATTGACTCTCTTTCTGCCGCCATGATGTTTAATTTCTTTCGGACCAGTGGCGTGGAGCCCTGTGGACACCTAGCTGCGGCAGAAGCAGCCATTCAACGCAAGCAACTGCACCTTGAGATATCGGAGCCTCGGCGGCGCGAGTTGAAAACGTGTTGTCTTCTCCTTGGTTTGTTCTGTTTTGTTTGTGTTTGCTTGATGTTTGTTCTCTAACTGCCAGTGCGCAGTGAAATCAGCCGTTGCATTAGGAGATCCTTCCGGGCTCCTTGTACCTGGGTGCTGCCAACGCCGCACTGGGTCTGGCGAAGGCTGAAGTGGCTGCTGTATACACCATAGGAAGTATCTCTTTTGAAACTTTCACGGTGTCATACACTCTGCCCCAGGAGGCCAACGCGCTTGGCATCACCCATGTGTTGAATGTTTCGGACCTTTATGCACTCGCTCCTGGCAAGCATGGCAAGCTGGTGGTTGAGTGGGCGCGGGCCTGACGTACATCTGCCGACATGAGCAGGCTTCCACGTGCTGAAGAAGCAGATCTCCCAATTGCGAGCATGTTTAAGGTTCCCATGGCAGACGACGGATTCGTGAGACGCCCAGTGTCAGAATGTGCGGGAGGTAGCCGTGAATGCATTGTCGGTCTTTGCCGGTAGTGGTGGCGACTGCAGAAGCCGCAACACATAGCAGCAGCTACAGTGCGCCAACGGAGTGACACACAGGCTAAGACGGAAGCATGCGCAATAGGATGAGCACGCAGAAGCACACGAAGCAGCGGCCAGGAAAAGACCAAGCTTGTTGGGAAAGCTCTTCAGTCGTTCAGAGGTTCGGTGTTGAGCTGGCGTCTGAGGATGATGTCTTCGGACCGGAGCAAACGGCGGAAGACTTTGAGGCCATGTTCCTAGCTTTGGTGTCTGACATGATGTCATCATGATTTCCACGGCCTTGATGCACGGCTTTGCCCGCCTTGACACGGGTTTGGTGTTGGCACGTGAGGCGGCCAGGAAGGAAAATCCCAAGTGCCGCCCTTCGGGTGCCTACTGGCGATGTAAAGACTTCTTGGAGGCACACGAATGTGCCCACTCCGTACCTCTTTGCTCCATCTTCCTTGAGTGAGAGTGTGGTCCGGAGTTGTCCAGGCTGCCTTCAAGGACCCCTCCTCATGTGTTTTGGTGCATTGTGCTCTCGGGGTCAATCGCTCCGCGACTTGGCTCTCAGTTTTGCCTGAAATGTACCGGGATGTACCGGCAAGTGCGCATTGCACATGTGCAGTCAGGCGACCATTGTATTGGCATGGCTTATGGAAACCAGGCCTGGTGCAAGGGGGGATTGGTGGGCAAGATGCCGTTTAAAACAACGAATAGCAGCAGTTTTAGAGCATGTATGCCGGTTTTTCCTTTGCTTCCGTGTCCCTCACTTATTCATCTGAAGCTGCAGGCAATGGAGCCTGACACAAGCTCTTCAGCACGTCACCCGCTCAGCTGCGCCATCCTCGGCACAATCTTCAATTGAGCAGCTCCCAAGGTACAGCAACGCAGACCCATTGTACATCCTGCGGACACGCTGAAGGCCCGCAATTTGCGAGGTTTGTGCACATGCTGAGGGCACATGAAAGGTGCACACCTTCTTCTCTCAGTTGTGTTGTGAGATGTCTTGTGTGTGTGTTGGAATCTCATAGAATCTCTTCGTGCGGGCCGAAAGTTTTATTGCAAAACAACGATGGTGCACAGCCGCATAAAGCACGTCACGATCCTGATTTGCAGAGGAAGGGACAAAGGCACCTTTGCCCCTAGCAAGAACATGAGTAAACCCTCGAAACACAGGAGTGCGCACTCATGGGAACAGCAACAAGCGCTCGACTTATGCCCGATACCAACAGTACCACCGGAGCCATTGCCAGAGGACTTTTGCATGCACAACAGGGCATATGACCCCGAGTGGGGCAGAGTTGCCCACCCGCGCACGGATACATGTACATCTACATATACATATTTGTATATATATTTAATGGCTACCGCCAGTGCCGCCGACCCCTCAACCTGATGCTCCGCGCAAACCGGACAAGAACAAGGATGGCAGGCCATCTTTCGACGAATTCGCACAGGCAGGAGGAGAGTGAGCGGTCTACGGTTTAGGGTTTAGGGTTTCGGGTTTAGGGCCTAGGGTTTAGGGCTTAGGGTTTAGGGCTTAGGGTTGAGCGTTCAGGGTTTCAAGGGCATTAGGAGGGCTTAGTCGGTAGTGTGCTGAGAGGCCATCCGCGACCGCTGTGCAATATCTGTCGGCCAAGCATCTCCTCTAAGGCCAGGGGACCAGGCATGAAAGTGCGGCCAGGGATGTCTAGGCCATGATAAGAGCGGGTGGGAAGGACGGAGCAAGCGGGAAGGGCGGAGCGGGCGGGAAGAGCGGAGAGGGCGGGCGTGCACTGGGGCCCTTTAAAGTCATGATCGGGTCTAGAGGCATAAGGCCAGGGAACCAGTGCGGCCAGGGATGTCTAGGCCATGGGGAGGCGGAGCGGGCGGGAAGGGCGGAGCAAGCGGGTAGGCGGAGCGGGCAGGCAAGCCATCCGAACAGGCCTAGAGCGGGCATGCGCTGGGGCCCTTTAAAGTCATCTGATCGGGTCTAGAGGCATAAGGCCAGGGGACCAGGCATGAAAGTGCGGCCAGGGATGAGCATGAAAGTGCGGGCGGGCATGCACTGGGGCCCGGGGACCAGGCATGAAAGTACGGCCAGGGATGTCTAGGCCATGATAAGAGCGGGTGGGAAGGACGGAGCAAGCGGGAAGGGCGGAGCGGGCGGGAAGAGCGGAGAGGGCGGGCGTGCGCTGGGGCCCTTTAAAGTCATCTGATCGGGTCTAGAGGCATAAGGCCAGGGAACCAGTGCGGCCAGGGATGTCTAGGCCATGGGGAGGCGGGTGGGAAGGGCGGAGCAAGCGGGCAGGCGGAGCGGGCAGGCAAGCCATCCGAACAGGCCTAGAGGCATAGGCCAGGGGACCAGGCATGAAAGTGCGGCCAGGGATATCTAGGCGGGCATGCATTGGGGCCCGGAGCGGGCAGGCATGCGCTGGGGCCCTTTAAAGTCATCTGAACGGGTCTAGAGGCATAGCGGGGACCAAGCATGAAAGTGCGGCCAGGGATGTCTAGGCCATGGGAGGCGGAGCGGGCGGCAAGGGCGGAGCAAGCGGGAAGAGCGGAGAGGGCGGGCATGCACTGGGCCCCTTCAGGGGACCAGGCATGAAAGTGCGGCCAGGGATGTCTAGGCCATGATAAGAGCGGGTGGGAAGGACGGAGCAAGCGGGAAGGGCGGAGCGGGCGGGAAGAGCGGAGAGGGCGGGCGTGCACTGACACCCTTTAAAGTCATCTGATCGGGTCTAGAGGCATAAGGCCAGGGAACCAGTGCGGCCAGGGATGTCTAGGCCATGGGGAGGCGGAGCGGGCGGGAAGGGCGGAGCAAGCGGGCAGGCGGAGCGGGCAGGCAAGCCATCCGAACAGGCCTCGGGCGTGCACTGGGGCCCTTTAAAGTCATCTGATCGGGTCTAGAGGCATAAGGCCAGGGGACCAGGCATGAAAGTGCGGCCAGGGATGGGCATGAAAGTGTGGGCGGGCCTGCGCTGGAGCCCGGGGACCAGGCATGAAAGTGCGGCCAGGGATGTCTAGGCCATGATAAGAGCGGGTGGGAAGGACGGAGCAAGCGGGAAGGGCGGAGCGGGCGGGAAGAGCGGAGAGGGCGGGCGTGCGCTGAGGCCCTTTAAAGTCATCTGATCGGGTCTAGAGGCATAAGGCCAGGGAACCAGTGCGGCCAGGGATGTCGAGGCCATGGGGAGGCGGAGCGGGGAGCAAGCGGGCAGGCGGAGCGGGCAGGCAAGCCATCCGAACAGGCCAAGAGCGGGCATGCGCTGGGGCCCTTTAAAGTCATCTGATCGGGTCTAGAGGCATAAGGCCAGGGGACCAGGCATGAAAGTGCGGCCAGGGATGGGCATGAAAGTGCGGGCGGGCATGCGCTGGGGCCCGGGGACCAGGCATGAAAGTGCGGCCGGCCATGATAAGAGCGGGTGGGAAGGACGGAGCTAGCGGGAAGGGCGGAGCGGGCGGGAAGAGCGGAGAGGGCGGGCGTGCGCTGGGGCCCTTTAAAGTCATCTGATCGGATCTCTAGAGGCATGAGGCCAGGGAACGAGTGCGGCCAGGGATGTCTAGGCCATGGGGAGGCGGAGCGAACGGGAAGGGCGGAGCAAGCGGGCTGGGGCTATGGGGCGGAGGGGGCAAGCATGCACTGCGGCCCTTTTATGGGATCATGAGGCGGAGCGGGCGGGAAGGGCGGGAAGGGCGGGAAGGGCGGAGGGGGCGGGCATGCACTGGGGCCCTTTAAAGTCAGCTTATCAAGAGAGGGGCGTGGGGCCAGGGAGCATGGAGCCATGGGACCATGGGGCCGTGAGCCATGGCGGGCGGAACGGGCGGGAAGGGGAAGGAACGGCGGAGGGGGCGGGCATGCGCTGGGGCCCTTTAAAGTCAGCTTATCGAAGAAAGGCGTGGGGCCAGAAAGATGGAGCCATGGGGCCATGGGGCCATGAGCTATGGGGGAAGGGCCCTTTAAAGTCAGCAACAAAGCCAGCTCATAGAAGAGAGGGGCATGGGGTCAGGGGGCTAGAGCCATGGGACCATGGGGCCATGGGGGCCCTTTTATGGGACCATGGCGCCATGGGGCCATGAGCCATGGCGGGCGGAGCGGGCGGGAAGGGCGGGAAGGGCGGGAAGGGTGGGAAGGGCGGGAAGGGCGGGAAGGGCGGAGGAGGGGGCGGGCATGCACTGGGGCCCTTTAAAGTCAGCTTATCGAAGAAAGGCGTGGGGGGAAGAGCGGAGAGGGCGGGCATGCGCTGGGGCCCTTTAAGTCATCTGATCAGATCTAGAAACATAAGGCCAGGGGACCAGGCATGAAAGTGCGGCCAGGGATGTCTAGGCCATGATAAGAGCGGGTGGGAAGGACGGAGCAAGCGGGAAGGGCGGAGCGCGGGAAGAGCGGAGAGGGCGGGCGTGCGCTGAGGCCCTTTAAAGTCATCTGATGGGGTCTAGAGGCATAAGGCCAGGGAACCAGTGCGGCCAGGGATGTCTAGGCCATGGGGAGGCGGAGCGGGCGGGAAGGGCGGAGCAAGCGGGCAGGCGGAGCGGGCAGGCAAGCCATCCGAACAGGCCTAGAGCGGGCATGCGCTGGAGCCCTTTAAAGTCATCTGATCGGGTCTAGAGGCATAAGGCCAGGGGACCAGGCGTGAAAGTGCGGCCAGGGATGAGCATGAAAGTGCGGGCGGGCATGCACTGGGGCCCGGGGACCAGGCATGAAAGTGCGGCCAGGGATGTCTAGGCCATGATAAGAGCGGGGTGGGAAGGACGGAGCAAGCGGGAAGGGCGGAGCGGGCGGGAAGAGCGGAGAGGGCGGGCGTGCGCTGGGGCCCTTTAAAGTCATCTGATCGGGTCTAGAGGCATAAGGCCAGGGAACCAGTGCGGCCAGGGATGTCTAGGCCATGGGGAGGCGGAGCGGGCGGGAAGGGCGGAGCAAGCGGGCAGGCGGAGCGGGCAGGCAAGCCATCCGAACAGGCCTAGAGGCATAGGCCAGGGGACCAGGCATGAAAGTGCGGCCAGGGATATCTAGGCGGGCATGCATTGGGGCCCGGAGCGGCAGGCATGCACTGGGGCCCTTTAAAGTCATCTGAACGGGTCTAGAGGCATAGGGGACCAAGCGTGAAAGTGCGGCCAGGGATGTCTAGGCCATGGGGAGGCGGAGCGGGCGGCAAGGGCGGAGCAAGCGGGAAGAGCGGAGAGGGCGGGCATGCACTGGGCCCCTATAAAGTCATCTGATCGGGTCTAGAAACATAAGGCCAGGGGACCAGGCATGAAAGTGCGGCCAGGGATGTCTAGGCCATGATAAGAGCGGGTGGGAAGGACGGAGCAAGCGGAGAGAGCGGAGAGGGCGGGCGTGCGCTGGGGCCCTTTAAAGTCATCTGATCAGGGGACCAGGCGTGAAAGTGCGGCCAGGGATGAGCATGAAAGTGCGGGCGGGCATGCGCTGGGGCTCGGGGACCAGGCATGAAAGTGCGGCCAGGGATGTCTAGGCCATGATAAGAGCGGGTGGGAAGGACGGAGCAAGCGGGAAGGGCGGAGCGGGCGGGAAGAGCGGAGAGGGCGGGCGTGCGCTGGGGTCCTTTAAAGTCATCTGATCGGGTCTAGAGGCATAAGGCCAGGGAACCAGTGCGGCCAGGGATGTCTAGGCCATGGGGAGGCGGAGCGGGCGGGAAGGGCGGAGCAAGCGGGCAGGCGGAGCGGGCAGGCAAGCCATCCGAACAGGCCTAGAGGCATCGGCCAGGGGACCAGGCATGAAAGTGCGGCCAGGGATATCTAGGCGGGCATGCATTGGGGCCCGGAGCGGGCAGGCATGCACTGGGGCCCTTTAAAGTCATCTGAACGGGTCTAGAGGCATAGGGGACCAAGCGTGAAAGTGCGGCCAGGGATGTCTAGGCCATGGGGAGGCGGAGCGGGCGGCAAGGGCAGAGCAAGCGGGAAGAGCGGAGAGGGCGGGCATGCGCTGGGCCCCTTTAAAGTCATCTGATCGGGTCTAGAAACTAAACATAAGGCCAGGGGACCAGGCATGAAAGTGCGGCCAGGGATGTCTAGGCCGTGATAAGAGCGGGTGGGAAGGACGGAGCAAGCGGGAAGGGCGGAGCGGGCGGGAAGAGCGGAGAGGGCGGGCGTGCACTGGGGCCCTTTAAAGTCATCTGATCGGGTCTAGAGGCATAAGGCCAGGGAACCAGTGCGGCCAGGGATGTCTAGGCCATGGGGAGGCGGAGCGGGCGGGAAGGGCGGAGCAAGCGGCCAGGCGGAGCGGGCAGGCAAGCCATCCGAACAGGTCTTGGGCATGCACTGGGGCCCTTTAAAGTCATCTGATCGGGTCTAGAGGCATAAGGCCAGGGGACCAGGCATGAAAGTGCGGCCAGGGATGGGCGTGAAAGTGCGGGCGGGCCTGCACTGGGGCCCGGGGACCAGGCATGAAAGTGCGGCCAGGGATGTCTAGGCCATGATAAGAGCGGGTGGGAAGGACGGAGCAAGCGGGAAGGGCGGAGCGGGCGGGAAGAGCGGAGAGGGCGGGCGTGCGCTGGGGCCCTTTAAAGTCATCTGATCGGGTCTAGAGGCATAAGGCCAGGGAACCAGTGCGGCCAGGGATGTCTAGGCCATGGGGAGGCGGAGCGGGCGGGAAGGGCGGAGCAAGCGGGCAGGCGGAGCGGGCAGGCAAGCCATCCGAACAGGCCTAGAGCGGGCATGCCCTGGGGCCCTTTAAAGTCATCTGATCGGGTCTAGAGGCATAAGGCCAGGGGACCAGGCATGAAAGTGCGGCCAAGGATGGGCATGAAAGTGCGGGCGGGCATGCGCTGGGGCCCGGGGACCAGGCATGAAAGCGGCCAGGGATGTCTAGGCCATGATAAGAGCGGGTGGGAAAGGACGGAGCAAGCGGGAAGGGCGGAGCGGGCGGGAAGAGCGGAGATCTCTCGAGGCAGGGATGTCTAGGCCATGGGGAGGCGGAGCGAACGGGAAGGGCGGAGCAAGCGGGCTGGGGCTATGGGCCCATGAGCCATGGGCGGGAAAGGCGGGAAGGGCGGAGGGGGCAAGCGTGCACTGGGGCCCTTTTATGGGACCATGAGGCGGAGCGGGCGGGAAGGGCGGGAAGGGGGAAGGGCGGAGGGGGCGGGCATGCACTGGGGCCCTTTAAAGTCAGCTTATCAAGAGAGGGGCATGGGACCAGGGAGCATGGAGCCATGGGACCATAGGGCCATGGAGCCGTCCATGGCGGGCGGAACGGGTGGGAAGGGGAAGGAACGGCGGAGGGGGCGGGCATGCACTGGGGCCAGGGGACCAGGCATGAAAGTGCGGGCGGGCCTGCACTGGAGCCCGGGGACCAGGCATGAAAGTGTGGCCAGGGATGTCTAGGCCATGATAAGAGCGGGTGGGAAGGACGGAGCAAGCGGGAAGGGCGGAGCGGGCGGGAAGAGCGGAGAGGGCGGGCGTGCACTGGGGCCCTTTAAAGTCATGATCGGGTCTAGAGGCATAAGGCCAGGGAACCAGTGCGGCCAGGGATGTCTAGGCCATGGGGAGGCGGAGCGGGCGGGAAGGGCGGAGCAAGCGGGCAGGCGGAGCGGGCAGGCAAGCCATCCGAACGCTGGGGCCCTTTAAAGTCATCTGATCGGGCCTATAGAGGCATAAGGCCAGGGGACCAGGCATGAAAGTGCGGCCAGGGATGGGCATGAAAGTGCGGGCGGGCATGCACTGGGGCCCGGGGACCAGGCATGAAAGTGCGGCCAGGGATGTCTAGGCCATGATAAGAGCGGGTGGGAAGGACGGAGCAAGCGGGAAGGGCGGAGCGGGCGGGAAGAGCGGAGAGGGCGGGCGTGCACTGGGGCCCTTTAAAGTCATCTGATCGGATCTCTAGAGGCATGAGGCCAGGGAACCAGTGCGGCCAGGGATGTCTAGGCCATGGGGAGGCGGAGCGAACGGGAAGGGCGGAGCAAGCGGGCTGGGGCTATGGGCCCATGGGCCATGGGCGGGAAAGGCGGGAAGGGCGGAGGGGGCAAGCGTGCACTGGGGCCCTTGTATGGGACCATGAGGCGGAGCGGGCGGGAAGGAAGGGCGGGAAGAGCGGAGGGGGCGGGCATGCACTGGGGCCCTTTAAAGTCAGCTTATCAAGAGAGGGGCATGGGACCAGGGAGCATGGAGCCATGGGACCATAGGGGGCCATGAGCCATGGTGGGCGGAACGGGCGGGAAGGGGAAGGGCCCTTTACAGTCAGCACGCAGCCAGCTCATAGAACAAAGGAGCATGGGGCCAGGAGTGGGCCAGGGGGCATGGAGCCATGGGACCACGGGGCTATGGGGCCATGAGCCATGGGCGGGAAGGGCGGGAGCTGAGGGGGCGGGCATGCCATGGGACCATGGGCCATGGGGCCAGGGCGGAGGGCCAGGGGCATGGAGCCATGGGACCATGCGGAGCCATGGTGGGCAGAGCGGGCGGGAAGGGTGGAGGGGGCGGGCATGCACTGAAGGGCGGGAAGGGCGGGAAGGGCGGGAAGGGCGGGAAGGGCGGGAAGGGCGGGGCACGGACTGGGGCCCTTTAAAGTCAGCTTCAGGTGCGGGGTTACGCCGACGCCATGGGGTCTTCACTAGCGCCTCCCCCGCTCAAAGCTGGGGTCGGCGGATATTTAGACATCCACATACCAAACACGTGCGTGCTTCGCACGCGCACTTTGTGTCGATCGCAGCAGCCAAGCATAGGGGTGTCGCAGAGAGACTGGACACCCTGTCCTACGTCGATTGAAGCGCAATTCACGTGTGCGGCAAGATGGCTTTCGGACGATCAAGGGCCCGAGGCTCTTGGACCCGGGACCTTGGGTCCCAAGGATCCGGATTGGGTAGAGGGGGGGGGGGGGTAGGCCCGATGCTTGGTCGCCGATTGCCGATTCCTGTTTACCTGTTTATGTATAGCCACATGAATTCACAAGTACGTAAGTACATCAGTACATCAGGACATAATTAGAGGTACATAAATATGAATAAATAAATATATACTGTATATATGGATATATATACGTACATACCAAAATACCGAAGTTGAAAAGTACTGAAATGCAGAAATCCAGATCTAAATAGAACACATGTTTATACATGTCCAATTACAGATTATGAGCCCGGAGCCCAAGAAAGGCCTCAACGCAACGAGCCATGGATTTCTGGAGCCCCTGACAAGCGTATGCCCGAACAAAAACCCCTAAGTTTGAAGCCTGAGTTTTACGTGTTTCTCTAAAAAGCTGAACGTTTAGAAAGCATCTTGAGAATAAGCGACATTAGTTTAATCATAAAGAAGAAGCTGAACAAGACCGGTCCCGAACAAGACCTCGCAGCGCTGAAACGGCAAACTGAATCATTTTACTTGGTTTTCCGTGCAGCGACTTCAACAGTCCCAGCAGGGAAAAAACTCTCTGGCCCTTGTGCTACCAAGCCTCGAATCCTTACCTTCAGCAAACATCCAGAAGCCTTGTGAGAACTCTAATCCCAAACCATCCACTTAGGCATAAGGACGGCCGCGAAGGAAATCCCACACGTTAAGCCTCCTTTCAACCCAAAGGCCTCGCCAGGCCGCTGAGAAATGCCAGCCCAAAGTAAGGTAGTCCTCGGGTACTCAGGCGTCGTATGTTTGTTCTTGACGTGGGATTGCCTGCAAATCTCGGTGGATGAATTGCTAGTGGGATGAATGTCAAGTTGGTGCTTCTTGCTCAGGAACAGTTGCTGGCGTTCCAGAACCGCCTTGGTATTGAGGAGCCATCGAACTCATCTTCCTGCCTCATTTCCTGATGTCTCCCCCATCCATTCTTTTGCCACCGTTGTCTCACCAGCGCGGGGCAATACCCCCCCCCAAGCCCACAAGCCGACAAGCGGCGAACAGAGAACAGCCTTTAAGGCCCTGTTTAGCGTCGACTTCCGTTGACTTCAGTAAAGCCACAGGTCTTCCAGAGAGGAGCCTGTGAAGTGGCTGTGGGGTACCCGCTTGCCTGTCGGGTCACGGGCCGCCTCTTTCATCTTTGGCGGGCAGTTTCCAGAGTTTCCCCACCAGCTCGCCCTAAAAAAGAGTGCGACGGTTGCTCTGTGCCAGACCCAAGGAGGCAACGAGGCAAGGTGAGTCAAGGCGATGCCAGGCGGCCAGGCTTAAACTCAGCTTTGCCGTCGCGCCTGCAGGTGAATTGACCGCAGTCTCCTGGGTCACAAACAAAAAACTGTGACCGGAAGATAGCTTGGCAAGCTTGACATTGGCAAACGGTGTGTGCAGCATCGAGCTTACAGCTGTGTTCGTGATGCGGCGCTTCTCGGCCCAAGCAGTGAAGTGTCGGCGTAGTGCACACCTCATGGAGGGCTCGTCGGAAGGACGAAGAGTTACGCCCTCATCGGAAAGGTGTTTTTCAGCATGGCTGATGACATGCCAGTCAAGTAAATCTCAGCTTGCGATTCCCTTTGAAGCCATAATCATGTCTAAGCCCCCTCGCCCACGAGTGCTGCTCGGACTAGCTCGGCCTGCTGTGTAGGTCTATCAGGTATCTCGCATTGCACACAGAGATGTTGCATGCTCAGGTGCTTCTCTTCGGTTGGGGTGCCGCTGCCGAGGAAGTTCTGAAGGAATTGCGCAGCTCTTAGCCCCATAACCTACGATGCATACGATGCGCACAAGTATGACGGAGGAGGGCTGAGTAGGGGTCAACAGGTCTTCGGTCGGCACCGAGCAGGCCATGCACTTTCCACAGACGTGCTGCCAGTCTGAAGACCTTGAGCCATCCCTGCACTAGGTGGGTGGAAGCTTGCCTTCGTCCGCTATTTTGTGTATCTCTCAGACATCACAGGCCAAAGACTGTGTCTGATCCTCAGATCGCCAGTTGGCATAGCTGTTTTGTCAGTAGACCCTGTGGACCTGGGACGGACCCGTAGCCAGGACTTGCGGGACGTTTGCGCAGCTCTTGGCTGCGAATGCGTCCGCCACCTGTATTGCAGTAACGAAGTGATGCACGTCGTAGGTCGGTGTTACGTCTGGCCTCAACATCCACAAGCCCAGGTACTCTGCGACAGTGAAGCCGAAATCCTGGAGAGACTTGGCTGCACGTATCATGCCCGCTGGCAATCTTGGAGCAAGGTAAAACTGCATTTGCAGCTTTGACAAATCACGAAAAGAACTGCCATCATTCTTGAGGAAGGCGCGTGGTTTTCGACCAGACTTGATTGTCTCTGCGCCCTGCCCTTACAGAGCCTCAACAAGTGCTTGCAGGATTTTGCACGCAGAATGCCAGGTCTTACAGGAAGAAGTTGCCTTCCAGCGTGTGCGGTGCCTCAGTGCACCGTCTAGCAAGGCAGCCACCACCTCTTGTCTTGCGGAGGTTGAGCCTCTGCCCCGACTGTATCAACTTTCACCCTTCCCTGCTGCCCAAACATCGGGGCTGCTGGTCCACGGCCCAGCTGGCCAATGACCAGTGTACAGATGCCACAAGGCTCTGTGAATGTCGCATCGGTGGTTCTTCAGGTCGGGCTTTTGGTGCATTTTTGAGGGAGACAGCGAAACTGGCGTCACATGCCACCGCATGGTGGAGGCTGGGGGGTTCTTCCTCTTTGCAATATATTCTATAAGAGTTCTAAATGTTCTGAATGTCACTATGTGCCTCCTGTGCCTTGGAGCCTTCTACGGAGGCATTTGACGCGGGGCTTGTGTTGCACCGAGAACACATTGCAGTGGACGGGGGCCCAAAACAAAACGGACAGTTGTTAACACCACATCCAACAATCATGGGAACCAAGCACTCAGCTCGAGACTGAGGAAGCAGTGGACACGGCCTTCACCGTCCGGCCCATAGTCAATAGTTTACAGCCGTAGTCATCCACAGCCTGTGACTGCGTGCAAGATGCCCGCCATCGTGTGGCAGGTCTACCGCAAGCTCCTGCCTGTGACGGCGCGGTGTGCGCGACAGGTGCACCGTCCTCAGAAGCAACACGTGATGCAATTTCCCGCATGCTGGGGAATGGAGCAAGCGAGGTTCCGCTGGTACTTCAGTTCTGAAGGTCTCCCTGCAGGTGCACCATGTCGAGATGCCGGGTTCTGTCATCGAATGTCAGTATGACCTACGGAACAGGGTCCTTGCCAAGCCTAGGGCCTATAGGGCGAGGTTCTCGGGTGTCCAGGGGAAGTACTTTAAGGCACCTGTCGGTTTTCACTCGCATGTGACAAAGTATTGTCGTGGGCATGTCGGTCCATGTGTTATATCAACGACCGTCAAGTTGCTCAGACACTTCTTGTACCATGGCGGCCGAGCGAAAAGGAGAGGCCTGCTAGGATGGTAAGCATACAACATGTTGATAGACATGTCTCTGTCAGCGCATGCGTGACGCGAGCTTGGGGCGTTCTCCGTCCATGGAAGCTTCCCTATGTAAGAAACCCTAGGCTAAACACTAAAAGGCCCAAACTCAAGGGACTAAAGGGGGGACCCTTATAAGGGACCTTAGGGGTCATGTAGGGGATATTTTGGGGGCTACTTAGGTATATAGGGACATATAGGGACTATATAAGGTATATGTAGGGGTTATTTAGGGGAGGAAGAATAAGGGTCCCTTATAGGGGTCCTGCGTTTTACCCTGCACCTTGCAGGCAACGCACAGGTAGGAGCTGGTGTGTCAATGGCTTTTTTTTCTGTAGATCACCATGGATGCCGCGTATGCCAGGCGAAGAGCAGAAAGGCGAAAGCTCCTACCACTATAGGCCTGAGCACCAGACCGTCTGCACCGGAATTCACTACTCAGTATTCGCCTCTGATCAAAGGAAGCTTCCGTTTGATGGTCTCATCCAGCAGGAGTGGTCTGACCAGCAGGCTGGTATTTTCTCTCATGAGCTGCCTACATTTCAACAGTTCACTCTCATGATTATCCCAGAACGTTCCAGTTTTTGATCCGATGTCTTGTGGAAGTTACCACCAGTTGTTCCAGGTAGAGCGCTTCATTCGGGCGATGAACTTTCCGCCTTTTGATGGCGCCGCCATCCTGGTGGATGACAAGCGGGTTTTGGTGGACTCACTTGAGGCAGCTGGAGGGTGCCCACAACTTCTACCAAACGCGTCAGATGTGATCCCAATGCGAAGGCATATCATAGCCTGACGCGCGGCGCTCGTGCGGCAGCATCCGTCACTTGGTAGCACCGTTCCGGTTCCTGTGACACCCCGCCCTCATCCTCATCCTCCTCCTCTTCCTCCTCCTGTCCCTCTTCCTCTCCCGCCTACCTCCCCCTACCGCCTCTCCGCCCTCTCTTCGCTCTCCCCCGACCAAAGAGCGCTAAACGTGCCTTCGAGGAGCCAGCTCCGCAAAGTTCGTGATGGTGGAAGCCTCAGCTGCATGTTTCTTTTGTGTCGTTAAGAACTTTTTGTTCTTTGTTCTTCTATTCCCCATGCTAGGCGGCTCTCGACCAGACCCACGAGCACAAAAAGTATTAGCAAAAGCAGATGCAAAAAAGCAGGTGCAATCCATCTTGGGCCATGCCTTGCCTCGACTGCCCTGCTTGGCGCACCCGGTGCCAGCTTTCGGCTGAAATATCGAGTCATGTTCCAAAATTGGAAACTCTCTGGAGTTAAGGAGTTGTGTTGTCAGCATTCAGTCCCTTGGCACATAGCTAGCACTCTCACTCGGCAGCAGTTACAGCGCTTGTCAGATCCATGTGCATTGCGGAGGGGTGCCATGCAATTCGGGCGGCATGCCATGGATAGGAGTCTCTGCAGTTCGTCAACTTGTATATCAGCCAACTTTTATGTCAGTAGAGAGGGAGTTCTTTTTTCAGTGAAGGACGAGATGACATTGACACTGACCTCCGTGATATTCCGGATCAGGAATCTCCTATCCCAAGGTTGCCTCAGGCCCTGTGAAGCATCGGGAACAGCCGTTGAAGTACCGACCTACTCACTGGATATGGAGGCTGGCACGTCATGGGCAAGCCTCCCAGACCAAGGCCTACTCAATTCCATCAAGGTCTTGTCTCAACATAGCTCATGTCCTGAGAAGGGGCTGCACTGCCAAGACGGGAATGGTGGCTGCCTTGTCCTACGGCATTGTCACGTCCTGTGCCTTTTCTGTCTCGCTGCATGTCGTGAGGTCCGACGACTGGGCCTTCCCCATCACACGGCCGTTGCCACTTTCCCTGGGCTACCAGGCACCCTACATTGCCCTGCATCGCCCTTCTCAACGACTTGGCCATAGCGAGTTGAAGCAGGTTGCTGCTTCTGGTAGATGATGGCCGTTGCCAGGATGTGAACCTCGGGGCCGTTGCAAAGGAGGTGCCAACTGATTCAGCGCAGACTCAGCATGGACTCAACGTGATGTCTGGTTGCCAGTTGGGGTTCCTTTCTGCCGTGCCTGGGCACCTTGGAGGTGTACCCGCGGTCTTTCACCCTGAGCTCAGGACATGAGGTGAGGGCCCTTTTTGCATCGACGCTTCCAATCAAGCCAGTCTGAAGGAACTGTTTCTGTGCTTACCGACAACGACAACCCTTGCTTGAGGTGTATCCCACAGTTGGATGCGCGGGACGCAACATCGAGCGACCATCGATTGCCGCTTGTTGAAAGCACCTGTGTCACTTTGCAACATGGTCAAAGAAGAATGCGCTCACTCGCTTTGTTTGTGTCTGTTCCTAGAACACGGTTGCCAAAGCCATCAGAAACCCCACGTCCAATACAGAACCTTCAGAAAGCCCACACTAGCAGCCACCAGGAGACCCATTCTGCCCTCCACACGTGTTCCACCTACAGCCCACAAACCACAAAGCCGTGCAGCGCCTGAAATCGGAATCGTGCACAGCGACATCCGCTGCAAAACACAGCTTGTTATCTGCACTGGACGAGCCTAAGGCGGGATCGGTTTGGCGAACTGGTCGGGTTTTTGCCCTGAACAGCCAGAATCCTTTCAAGGACATCTTCACACGGCGTACTGTAGCAGCAGAAACTGTCGAAGTCATTTCGCTGGACTCGCATGTTCACATTCAGTGCAGGTTCGATGCAAGCGAAATCTAACACGATGTGCTTTTTGCTTTTGCACCGGCGAATGATAGATGCAGATGCAACGTTAGCGGCCGTTAGCGAGCAACCCGTCAGGTGGCAGCAAGAGTGTGTGCAATCTGAGGCACGTTCGGCTGCAAGATCAGCATCGCCAGTTGCAGCATATAGCTTGCCAGCGCAGGCCATGTCACCAATGTCACTAAACATACTGCTTTGGGCCGCTTATGCGTGTCTTCGGAGTTCTGGACATGCCACGGCGTTGAACTGGAGAGGTTGCGAGATCAGTGAGCCCGATGGGTCCAGCTTCAGCCAGCAGCGGGGACCTCGCCTCCTTGTTGTTGCACTTTTTGTTGTGTTGTTGACCGTATTTGACAATTCTTTTGCGCCAGTCCGCTCAATGAAGGCCTAGCAACTCGTCCCCTTGTCTACTCGGGGTCCGCGGAGGATGGACTGGACTGTGCAGCACAAGAAATGATTCCAGGGATAGAATTCAGCAACAGGCAGTGGCTTCGACTGCACCCTATGCACCAGTGCTTCCCCCCACAAGTGGGGCGTACATGGCAGCTGACTCAACCTTTTGAGGCGTGCTCGTCTCTTGGTCACTGCATGTGACGATGCTCCAGGCTCCACGGCCTTCCATGAGATGCATTGCATGGTCACGAGGCAGGAAGCAGACCCCCCCCCCCCAGTGCTCCCACTTGTCAGTTTTCTGTATCGCAAAGTGCCCTATCCTGTTCAACTACGCCTAAGGTTTGAAAGATTGCGTGGAGTACAATCTGCAGATACCCGTGTTGTGAGTGTGCGGCACTTGAGGCCCAGTCACATGGACCACAAGCCAGTTGGCCAGTGATGCTGGTGTTCCAGCCTGACTTTCTGCGCCGGTTGAGACTCTGCCTTCGGCCTTCGGCTGGGGTGTCTGTGTTTCGCTGGCCCGAGGCTGGAGAGCAGCGTGCGCGAAGCGAGAGCCCACTCAGTGGCGGCCTGGTGGACTGGTGGCTGTCATCCCTTGCTGAGTCTTGCTATTCTTGCGAGACCTTGCGAGAATTGTCTGGCCCAGGCCCTGCCAGAGTGCGGGCTGAAGAGGCTTCCGCCTGCTACCCAGCATGAATGGCCCGAGCATCGCACCTCAAACCTGCTTGAGAGCTTGACCAAGAGCTTGCGGAGGCCTTTTTGCAGCGTTTGCCCAGCACGTGCCAGGCTGTCAAGCGGCAGGAAGGTGATGAAGGCCAGTTCGGCCAGAGCCAGGCAGGAGTCGTTCAAACATGTTCAGACTGTTTTCTGGAAGGGGCACCTTTGAACAAGAACAACGGCCCACCGCCAGCTCCCTGGTACTCCTATCGCTTCACACCCCTTGCCTCCTGTGCCTCCTCGGTTTATCTCCTTCTGTGTATGTCTCCGCTCTCTCTCTCTCTCTCTGTCGCTCTCTCTCTCTCTCTCTCTCTCTCTTTCTCTTCGTGTTGGTGGGTAGAACCGGGTGGAAGAGAGAACGAGGTCTGAGAGCTTGGGGGCGAGCCCTGCCCCTCCGCCATTGCCACTTTCACTGGGCTACAAGGAACCTTACGCCTTTCAGTTCACGGTGCAGTGGCCAGAATCTCGAGAGTCGCGCAATGTGAGGATGTGGGGCCCCACGTCGGCCTTGGCACTGAAAACCAGGTGTGGAACTATGGCAAGCTTCATGTGCCTGACACGAACATCTGGGGCGAAATTGTCCCGCTCCTGACATCCGTGCAGGTGTATCCAATGCGCTACGTGGCCAGTTACACTGACAGCCAGCAGATGCCGACAGTGGCTGCTCTGGGGAACACCCACACAGTGGCTTCGCTGTCATCTGCCACTTCGTCTTGAACGTCTGGGTGCATGTAGATCCAGTTTCATAAGTTCAGACTTTTGCAACTGCCCACGTGCGGTTCTCGTACTGTCCTGTGCTTTTTGAACAACTTCAAGCGCTTCTGCCCAAAGCCCAGCCGGCCGAGCCCTGCGTCCAAGGCAGCTGCGTCGACGTCGCCGTGGACGGCACAGCGGTTGACTGCCCAGGCCGGTCTGGAGTTTGAGAGTCTGGGTTGTGAATTTTGCTGCAAATCTTGATAAAGCAGGTTCGCGGATTGTAACGGGCACACTTTTGTTGAACGGGATGGCAAGCGTATGAATCCGTCGAGGAGTTTCCGTATCACAGCTTCTGCATGGGAGCAGCTTCTGAATTGCAGCTTCAATCACGATTTCTGAAAGCTTGGAGTGTCACATGGCCCCCAAACTTGGTTGGCTCAGAGCTTGTGAAGGATAGTTCTCCACGTACCACCCCACCCCACCCCCAGAACCGACAGCGTTCCCGCACCCCGCCCCTCTCGGCACATCCCAGTAACTTAGATAAAGCAAAGTCGAATTAACTACTCGTAAATGTACTTAAAATTCATTGAACAATATTTAGCATTAATAAATCTCCATTGAGAGTAAGTAAAATGTTCATGTAAAACACTAGTGCTGGGTAATTCATTTCTTTTGTGGGAGTAGGGGGGGGTGGGTGGGTGGTGGGCGGTGGGTGGTGGGCGGGTGGGTGGGTGGGTGGGTGGGCGGGTGGGCGGGTGGGTGGGTGGGTCGGAACGGTTAAATACAGAAACGCCACAAATGGCGAATCTTGCGGAGGCCTTTTTGCAGCGTTTGCCCAGCACGTGCCAGGCTGTCAAGCGGCAGGAAGGTGATGAAGGCCAGTTCGGCCAGAGCCAGGCAGGAGTCGTTCAAACATGTTCAGACTGTTTTCTGGAAGGGGCACCTTTGAACAAGAACAACGGCCCACCGCCAGCTCCCTGGTACTCCTATCGCTTCACACTCCTGCCTCCTGTGCCTCCTCGGTTTATCTCCTTCTGTCTATGTCTCCGCTCTCTCTCTCTCTCTCTCTTTCTCTTCGTGTTGGTGGGTAGAACCGGGTGGAAGAGAGAACGAGGTCTGAGAGCTTGGGGGCGAGCCCTGCCCCTCCGCCATTGCCACTTTCACTGGGCTACAAGGAACCTTACGCCTTTCAGTTCACGGGGCAGTGGCCAGAATCTTGAGAGTCGCGCAATGTGAGGATGTGGGGCCCCACGTCAGCCTTGGCACTGAAAACCAGGTGTGGAACTATGGCAAGCTTCATGTGCCTGACACGAACATCTGGGGCGAAATTGTCCCGCTCCTGACATCCGTGCAGGTGTATCCAATGCGCTACGTGGCCAGTTACACTGACAGCCAGCAGATGCCGACAGTGGCTGCTCTGGGGAACACCCACACAGTGGCTTCGCTGTCATCTGCCACTTCGTCTTGAACGTCTGGGTGCATGTAGATCCAGTTTCATAAGTTCAGACTTTTGCAACTGCCCACGTGCGGTTCTCGTACTGTCCTGTGCTGTTTGAACAACTTCAAGCGCTTCTGCCCAAAGCCCAGCCGGCCGAGCCCTGCGTCCAAGGCAGCTGCGTCGACGTCGCCGTGGACGGCACAGCGGTTGACTGCCCAGGCCGGTCTGGGTCTCCAGGCCCCAGTCTCTGCTTCACAACGGATGAGAACAGGCAGCACGGGGAAGACCGATGAGCCAGACGATTTCGAACGGCGAGTACCTCAAAGAAGGTTTGCTGTCTGTGGAAATGTAAGACTTCAACAAACAAGGTCAAGCCAGGAACCCAAAAACGATCCGAATGAAAACGGTGCCGGAGTGAAACCCCCACTTTACCATCCATTCACGCGCCGCAGTCTGCTCTCGTGCCCCTGCGGCTCTGTACTACATTTGTACTAGACTACAATTCAACGAATTTCCCGCGCCGCAGACGCGCCGCGGTCCGCTGTCGCGCCCCTCCGGCTCTGTCCTCCCAGTACTACATTTACTACATTTGTACTACAATTCAACGAAAATCCCTCACAGTTTCCCGCCCTGCAGTACACGCTGCAGTGCGCGCCGCAGTCCGCTCTCGCGCCCCTCCGGCTCTGTCCTCCCAGTATTACTTTTGTACTACAATTCAACGAAAATCCTCAGCTTCCCGCGCCGCAGTACGCGCCGCAGTACGCGCCGCAGTCCGCTCTCGCGCCCCTCCAGCTCTGTCCTCCCAGTACTGTATGTGTACTAGAATGCAACGAAAATCCCTCAGCTTCCGGCGCCGCAGAACGCGCCGCACTCTGCGCCGCAGTCACGCCGAGTCACGCCGCACTCTGCTCTCGCGTCTGTGGAAATGTAAGACTTCAACAGATAAGGATTCTTCGTGGCACGCCCCTTCGAGACAGCTTGCTCTGGCCAAGTTGAGGCATCGACAGCTTGTTTTCCGAGCATCACTGTGTACTACAGCAGGGCTATATCTGCCATCTTTGGCGCAGGAGGAGCGCAATGAGTTATAATCCTTGAACTGCGAATTCTGCGCAGAGCTCTTGCTTGCGCGCACTCGCCCTCCGACCACGTCAATATCCTCAAAATGCATGATTTTCTCCCGCCGGAGGTGTCGCAACCCTTCTCCCAGGGCAGCCACTTGAGATGCGTTTCGTGGTCACCAGGAAGGGAGCTCAGCTGTATGGAGCCACAATGAAAAGCAGGAAGCACTTGTTGGAGACGTGTTGAAGATGTGAGAAGATGCAGGCTCTTGTTTGAGCTCCGCTTGCTCAGAAGCAGCCAAGGTGCCACCGCAGCACAAGTGCCGATGGGGAGCCAGGCCGAGCGCCGTCAATCTGCTCTTGACAGCGAGCTGCACTGGAGCACTTGCCATAGTTCTTGTTCATAAAGCCTCCCTTCGTACTCCCGGGAAGGGCTACACACCGCTTAAAATGCAGCTGGTTAAAAATCGTTTTGCTGTCAAGGGATTCCTTGAAGTCGTTTGGGCAAACGGGTCCGAAAAAGAAGCCGAGGTCCCCATTTTGTCTGCTACGCTGTTTGGAACCAAAGATGAAAAGACCAGCTGCTGTTTCCAGGGTGGCTCCCAGGCAAAACCTACGGGCAACAGCAAGATCCAGAGAAACTGGTCAGAAAGACGAGTGCCAATGCACAATGGCTTGCCGAGTCTGTTTGCCTGGTGTCCCCGCCAGATCAGGGGGGTCCCGAGGAGGTTCCGGGCGGGCGTGTCTTAGTCTTGTTAGCTTTCGCGCCCACACCAAGAAAAATGGGTGGGAAGCCTGTAAGCTTCGGCTTCAAGGCCACCCCAAGATCGCGTGCCTCAAGGGGGGGGAAGCTCTGGATGCTTCAATATTTGAGTTCAGCAACAAGCGGGCGAAGGGATTGATCTGCAAGCGTTGAGCCCAGGATTTTAGATTCCGTAAGCAAGAGGGTTCCAAGACTACCCCTGACTGAGTACCAGGAAACCTGGTTCCGGCAAGGCATCCAAGGTCCGGGCCTTAACACGCTGAAGCCCCGATAGTCCCTGAAGCTTTCGGAACATGCAGTACCTCACCGCCGTGAAGCCAGCAACGTTGACAAAAAACAGGAACAACGTTGAAATGCATCAGCAGACACGCAGTCTTAATTCTTACCGCTTAGCTCGTAGGTTCGCAGGAGTGCTTTCAGCGGCCGTTTGTCTCCATCTGGTCCGCTGTGGGCTGATCAAATGGCCAAAGTAAAAACTGGAGGCTCTTGGCTTTTGGAACAGAGAAGGAAAGACACGAAGATTGAGTTTCCACACAGTAGCTCACGCGATGATCCATACGCCTGGCACATATCTTTCCGTTGAACACCGTTTAACATGATCGAGGCAGATCATTGAAGCATGAATCTGGTGCCGCCGCCTGCCCAGGCAGCTCGCCGCCGCTCTCTGGGAGCGTGGGCCAGTACGTAAGCCCGTTCAAGTGCATCTCGGCAGCACAGTTCCTTCAAATAAGTCAGCTCCACAGCATCAAAGTGCAGGCCTGCCCGCCGGATGCGCCAGACACGAATGGCATCCTGAGGCCGAGCGGTGAGTTTTTCAAGTAGAACAGAGTTGCAGCATCTTGTTGTGTGCATTTCTCTTCTTGGTACCGACGTGGCGGTGAGGCTCAGCGTCCAGCTGTCGGCCCCGCGCCCGTGCAGCGCTGAGCGAGTTGCATCTGCCGTTGCCATAAGACGCACTGTGACGGTGGGAATGTGCTTGTCATTGCTTGTCTGCTTTAGGTTCTGAAAGCGACCAGCTTTCAGCAGCCGTTGGCCGAAACGGCAAGCCGGCTACAGCAGAAGGCAAGGCATGCGTGGAGTTCTTTTGGTAACGCGCGAATGAAAGGCAGACTTCGCATGGGGGAGCACTGTCGACATTCGTGTCGTTGCGCACGCCCTCCGACCCGCTTCAACATGCATGATCTCAGTCCGCCGGAGGCGTCGCAACCACCCTCCCAGGGCAGCCACTTGAGATGCGTTTCGTGGTCACCAGGAAGGGAGCTCAGCTGTATGGAGCCACAATGACAAGCAGGAAGCGCCTGTTGGAGATGTCTTGAAGACGTCAGAAAGAAGATGCAGACTCTTGTTGGAGCTCCGCTCGCTCAGAAGCAGCCAAAGGTGCCACCGCAGCACAAGTGCCGATGGTGAGCCAGGCCAGGTGGGCGGTGTGGCCGAGAACGCCGTTCTCTAAACCATGGCCAATTTTTAAGGGCGCACATACTAGGCTCCGGATGATAGAAAAGGAACTGGCCAGATGATACCCCGGCATCGGTGTCAAACAACATATGCCGCATACTCATACGGATTCCCAGAAAAGTGCGCGGCAGATGGTGCCCAAAACGCATCAGCTTGCACAGCCCCTCGTAATTCCACGATTGGTATCCAGAGCGCCTTGTGCGTGCACCAGGTTCTGCCGTACAGCAGGGAGCCCTCAGTTGGAACCTGAGACTCGCACAAAGCGGAAGACTGCCGTGCACGAAGTCCATGGTGATCAGGACAGCTGGTTCGTTCCAGGAATCCAGACTAGTCCCGGCCTTGCACGAACGTCACGAGCTCCGCTAGCAAACGAGCATCTGGGATGGGAGGAGCCGCAACGGCAGCTGAAACCGTTATTTGAACAGGGCATGCCGTGGACGAGGGTTTTGCTGTGGCGCATTCAGTATCTATGGAGCCAGCCGCATGCCGCGGCGGCGCTGGTGCCCCGTGCCCAGGCAGCTCGCCTCCGCTTTGTGGCAGCGTGGGCCAGCGCGTGAGCCCATTCAAGTGCATCTCGGCAGCACAGTTCCTTCAAATAAGTCAGCTCCACAGCATCAAAGTGCAGGCTTACCTGCTGGATGCACCCGACACGAATGGGATCCTGAGGCCGAGCGAGTGCTGTTGCTTTGAAGTACGACAGCTGGAGTTGTAGCATCTCGCTGTGTGAATTCCTCGCTTGGGATCGACGTCACGATGAGGCTCCGCGTCCACCTGCCGAGCCCGCACCCGTGCAGCACTGAGCGAAAAGCGCCTTCTCTACCCAATTTACTCACAGCCATGTCACGACATTAGGTGACGCAAGCCTCAGACTTTGAGCAGCTCTTGGCCGAAGCAAAAAGCAGGTTGCAGCAGAAGGCCTCTTCAACGCAGCATGTGCGCCAGCATGTGCGCTTGCGTCGTATCGTCCGGCATCATCTCCTATCGGGACATCCGTGGCTATCCATATCTCGTACAGGTAAATGCCGCCGTGACCAGATACATGGAGGCCGTCGGCCAATCGGGGCGCTGCTGTACGTTCTTCATAAATGCAAAAGATCTATCTACAGATACAGTAGGCACATTATGAAAAGGATATATATATATATATATGGTACCCCACCCCCCCAGAACCCACCCTCAAAGACATAAAAGCTCGATATTTGGTTGTTTGAGTATGAAAGACAATTTAAAAAAAAACACTTCCCCCGGGGGCGTTTTAATTAAAACGGGCCCCGTTTTAATTAAAACGCCTGGAACCAAGAACCAAGAACCAAGATTTCCGGAAAAGTCTTGGGACGAATCTTGGTTTCTTGGGGATGGGGGCGTTTTAATTAAAACGAGCCCCGTTTTAATTAAAACGCCTGGAACCAAGAACCAAGAACCAAGATTCCCAGCAAAGTCTTGGGACGAATCTTGGTTCCCGAGGTAGAGGGCCGTGCGAATTGCCTGGCTCCTCAACCTGACGGACCCCAGGTCCTGGGAACCAAGATTCGTCCCAAGACTTTTCTGGGAATCTTGGTTCTTGGTTCTTGGTTCCAGGCGTTTTCATCAAAACGGGGCCCGTTTTAATTAAAACGCCCTCACCCCCAAGGAACCAAGATTCATCCCAAGACTTTTCTGGGAATCTTGGTTCTTGGTTCTTGGTTCCAGGCGTTTTTATTAAAACGGGGCCAGTTTTAATTAAAACGCCCCCATCCCTAAGGAACCAAGACTCATCCCAAGACTTTTCTGGGAATCTTGCTTCTTGGTTCTTGGTTCCAGGCATTTTAATTAAAACGGGGTCCGTTTTAATTAACATGCCCCCATCCACTGGGAAATCAGACTCGTCCCAAGACTTTTCTGGGAATCTTGGTTCTTGGTTCTTGGTTCCGGCCGTGTTAATTAGCACGGGCCCCGTGTTAATTAATACGGTGCCCAGACCATGGGCACCAAGAATCCCCGAGTTGAAAACCACCGTAAGGAAGAAACTCATCGCCACGAGTTCTTGGGGGTGGGGGGGGGGGGGGCAAACTTGAGTCATATCATTCAGTCTGATTCAGGGCAGCTGTCTTGGTTTGTTGTTCGCTATACAGCAGCAAAGTCTTAAGTTCATATTTCTTACTATAGCTCAAGAAGTCCTACATAAATATGAGCACAGAAAACTCTGATACGTGTATTTGGAAATTACCCGTTTTAAGTAAAACCGGGTCCGAACCAAGAACCAAGAATAACCCTGGACCTCAAAGTTTAAACCCGAAACCCTACCCCTAAACCCTAAACTAGGAACAAAGGTTTAGATAGGGCTGAAACATTAAGACCCCGCAGGCACCGAAGCATGATTATTCCTGAACAAAAATCATTGAAACAATCGGGTCTTAGTGTAAGGTTTTGGACAAGGCTTCAGCCAGAATGTTTAACAATTAGGGTTCACAGGAGTGGGCCTAAACATGAAGGATACACCCCGCAAGCACCGAAGCAAGATAATTCCTAAACAGAAATGCCTTCAGTGGCGAGGGAAACGTAAGGTTATGGGCTGGGTTTCAGACGAAATCTTCAATGAATTACAGGGTTTACAGGAATAGGAAGCATGACTACTCCTAAACAATATTCGTTGAATGTATGGGAAAAGGGTCTGGGCTTCAGTCAAATGTCCTAGGGGAAGAGGGTCTGGGCTTTAGTGAAATGCCTTCAGTGACGCGGGGAACATAAGGTTTTGGATTGGGCTTCAGCCTAAACCTTCAAGAAGTAGGCTGCCTGACTACCAATATTCGTTGAAAGTATGGGAATAGTGTCTGGGCTTTAGAAAAAGTGCTCTAGGGAAAAGGGTCTGGGCTATAGCGAAATGCCTTCAGTGGCGAGGGAAACGTTTTATAGGAATAGGAAGACTGAGTATTCCTAAACAATTTCCGTTGAAAGTATGGGAATAGGGTCTGGGCTTTAGTAAAATTTGCTTAGGGAATTTGGTTTGGGCTGTAGTGAAATGCATCTAGTGACGTGGGGAAGCATAAGGCTTTGGACTGGGCTTCAGCTTACACCTTCAAGAGATAGGCTGCCTGACCACCAATATTTGCTTTAAGTGTGGGAAGAAGAGTCTGGGCTTTACAAAAAGTTCTTTAGGGAAAAGGGTCTGGGCTGTAGCGAAATGCCTTCATTGGCGAGGAAACGTTTTACAGGAATAGGAAGACTGAGTATTCCCAAACAACTTCCGTTGAAAGTATGGGAATAGGGTCCGGGCTTTAGTAGAATTTGTTTAGGGAATATGGTCTGGGCTTTAGTGAAATGCATCTAGTGACGCAGGGACACAAAAGGCTTTGGATTGGGCTTCAGCCTACACCTTGAAGAGATAGGCTGCCTGACCACCAATATTTGTTTTAAGTGTGGGAAGAAGGGTCTGGGCTTTATAGCTGAGGGACAAGGGTCTGTGCTTTGGCGAGATGCCTTCAGTGGCGAGGGAAACGTAAGGTTCTGGATTAGGTTTCAGCCTAAACCTTCAATAAATTTTAGGGTTTTCAGGAATAGGAAGCACGAATATTCTTAAACAATTTTCGTTGAAAGTATGGGAATAGGGTCTGGGCTTTATTAAAATGTCTTTAGGGAATAGGGTCTGGGCATTTGCGAAATGCCTTCAGTGACGAGGGAAAACAACAGATTTTGGACCAGGTGCCAGTCTGTCAGCCTAAACCGTCAACGAATAGGGTTAAGTGAAATTCTCTCTAGTGGCGACGGGAAACTTTAAGGCTTTGGAATAGGTTTAAGCCTAAACCTTTAGGGTCTGTATCTCAACTTTAAACGAATAAACATAGGGAGACTCTATAAGATTTAGTGGAACTCTGGAAGGTTTCAGCCAAGGGCTTGTTTGTCAGCTACTAGAACAACTTTGCGTACAAACGGCTTATCTTGGTGTTCAAATTATTTAGGGTGCAAGCTTGGTGAATTCTGCTGCGTGCGACCCGGCGGGGAGGGTCCAACCTCCACCTCCCCCCACTGCCCTTACCCATCAGATTAAAGGGGTGGCCCGCCAGATATGGCACTTATTGTATCGCAGCCTTCGGGGAAACACCCCGCTCCCTTACACTGTGCTTACGGTGGGTTCTGGGGGGGGGGGTAGCTATATATATATATACACATAAGTGTATGTATATATATATATATGTATATTGATAAAGCAGATACGAGCGTAGGCTTTCATCGATGCTGTGCGATCTCTCCGAGGCGCCGGAGCCAGCGGAGCCCGCGAAGCCCGCGGAGCCCATCGCGCCCGGAGAGCTGCCCGAGCGAGCTTCAAAAGAGCTGCCAAAGCTTGGGCCCTGTGAAAAGAAGTCTGGGTTATTGGGGGTGCAAGATCAAGACATGCCGAAGTTCGCAGAGGTCAAGCCCGAGTCCGATCAAGAGCAAGAAGGACAGCAGTGGCCTGGCCAAGCTCAAGGCACGGTGCCGCAACTGCTCGCAACGCTGACAGGGCTGAGGGCGCACAAGTTCGTTAAGTGGTTGCAGTACAGTGAGGAGCAGATACAGAAGGAGACGGATGCATAATCACATGTAAGAGATCCCGCTGAGGCATTTCCAGCCAGGTTCAAAGCCCCTCAACGTGGCTTCTCTCTTCTTGATTTGTGTCTCTAACATCCATGTGGCTACTGATCAGCCTCATCGCGCCTCTTGTTTGGCCGGCTACGTGCGTCCACACTGCAGCTTTACATTTGCATCATCCAAGAAGCTCAGGGGTCTGGCGGCAGGAAAGACATGGGAATCATGGGAAGCCATCCACTCTCAACTGCACCTGGTATGCTGTCCGGCAGAGAGTAGATCATTTCGGAACCCTTGAGGCCCTCTTTCCACAATGGTACTGTGTTTACGACAAGTGGTGGAAGCCTGCCCTGCAGAGTGGCTTCAACGCTTCGACCACGTCCCCTGGACCCATCTTCTTCTATACGGGAAATGAGTCACCGGTCGGTGAGTATGTCAACAACACGGGGTTGATGTGGGAGCTGGGAGAGCGGATGGGCGCGCTGCTCGTCTTTGCAGAGCACCGATGCGAGCCGGACTCGAATTTTTTCCAATGGATGGAATGCCCGAGGTGTGTCTCCTACTGTACGACGGCTCAAGCGCTGCAAGACTACGCCGATATCATGGCACTACTAAGGAAGCGGCATTCGCAACGTGCACCTGTCGTTGTTTTTGGTGGGAGCTACGGTGGAATGCTTGCTGGATGGATGAGAATGAAGTATCCAGAGGTCATCGGCTTAAGTACTCTACTCTGCTCAACTCGCTCCTGGCTAGTCGATGCGTTTAGGCAGCGTAGCATCTGTAGCAAGAGGTAGGCGGCGAAGTGCATATAAGTGCAAATGGACCCATGCTGCTGCCATCAAGAAAACATGGAGAGCCCACCCTGAGGTGGTTGATGGTGCCATTGCTGCATCGGCGCCCATTTGGCAGCTGTCCACCACCGTCACGCGACAGACAGTGGATTGGCCGGCTGTTGCAATCAGCCGTGGTGTGTCCTCAGCCGGAGGATCATCTGACCAGTGCCTGGCGAATTTGCAGGTGGCCTGGGCGTTGCTGCGTGGTCTGGAATCTTCCGTTGCTCTGCGACTCTTAAGCCGCCACTTGAACACCTGCACGCAGCTCCAGGAAATCGAAAGCTTGATTTCCTGGGCAACTGCCTCCTTCTTCCTCTTGGCTGAAGGTAACTATCCATACCCATCGTCCTACATCACCTATGCTGTTGGATCTGGATCTCCACTTCCGGCGTGGCCGATGAAAGTGGCATGCAAAGGCTTGTCCCGTGATTTTGGGATAGACGTGTCAGGATCACGCAAGGAGGTGAACTACACGGCCAGGATGGGAGCCTTGCAGGTGACGGTGGACTGGGCAAGTTGGTGGAGTAACGGAGACGAATTGACAGAAGAGCAGCTGATGGCCTCCGGTATCCTGGACTTGGCGACCGCCGTCACCGAGGCGGCCGGAGTTTGGTACAACGCCTCCGGTGACCAGCGTTGCTGGAACCTTACAAACGCTCAGTCGAACATCGCCAGGTCCAACATGGCGAGGAAGGAGCACCAGCTGACAGATTCACTGCCCCACGCTGACAGGGGATCCATCATCTCTCGGGGCCCTCGAGACACGTGCTCTGCCTGCCCTCCTTGCTCGACTTGCCCAGCTTGCCCAGTGTCACGGTGTGCAGGCTCAGAGCCCCCATGCAACTTCACCGGCCAAGTGCCCAAGACCTTTGCCTGGGATTCCGTGGTGTGCAACGACGACTTGTCTCAAGTTTCTGCTCAAGGCGAGGACAAGATTTGTTGAGATTTGTTGTGCGCTTGCGTCGGTAGGAGAAGCGAAGACTCAACATTCTTGAAACATGTTTAAGCTTCACCGTCAGGATTGGGCAGGGATTTGTACTGGCCGCCGAGCGTTGCCGACCGGAACTTCAGTATCGCCAGCATAGTCGGGCCGCATAAGCTTGTGCCAGCTACCTGTACGGATCGCTTCAACTCCATGGGCTTGCGAGGCTCGGGGGGCCCATCGGGCTCATTGGCCTTTGTCATGTCCATAGTGAGAGTGGCCGTATAGTCGCTGTCAGACCTCCTTTGAGGCAGGTTTGAGACGTTCCCCTTTCGGGATTCCCTCTACATTCCTAGCTTCCACTCCCAGCCAGGAGCACCAACGACGACTGACCCGTGGAGCGGATGGATGACCGCATACTATGGCGGGCGCAATATCTCCCAGCATCGAAACATTGTTTGGAGCAACGGGGCATTGGACCCGTGGTCCGGCATGGGGGTGTATCCAGAAGGTGGTGGCCCTGACGGCCCCTTCATTCAAAACATTAGCGAGGACGGATCGCAGATTGCCCTGGTGCTGAACTTGGGAGCGCATCATTTGGACCTTATGTTCTCAGACAGCCGAGATCCCCCGTGCGCGCCCGCCGCGCGGAAGGTTGAGTCCCAGATGATCCGCCAGTGGTGCCAAGAGGCGTACTCCCGCCAGGACCCAGCAAGCCTCCACCCGGTCCGAAAAGGACAGGAGGCCCTCTTTGCCTAGAATCGGGGCGACGCAAAAAGCCGCAAAAGATCCAGTGCCGAGCTTCCGCGCCCATGGGTTGGAGAGAGTTGCTAGACTCGATGTAAACACGACCCTATAGACAATGCCCAGTTCATCTTCCTCCCAATGAACTTCAACATCGACATCGGTAGCAACTGAAAGTTTTGATTTCAGCAACAAGAAGATGCTGACCATGAATCTTTTGGTAGCGAAAAAATGTAGTGAGTCGCCGCTAAAATGCCTGTGCGCAGGCGCTGTTGGCGGAGAGCAAGCAAGAGTCTCCAAGACGGAGGACGGGAGATACGTCCGATACGCAGAGCATCGCAGAATGGCATCTGCGAGGCCCAGTGATGCCTTGGAGCTCTTTGAGAAGACGGTGCCCAAGCCCGAGGCTTGCCGAACGATGGGCATACGATGGTATACTTCACTGCACCTCAGATGTTCTGACATGTCCTCTCCTCTGAGATTGCCCCAAAATCCCAAGCGACAAAGTTGCCCCTCGTCCCAAAACACGTCTCTTCTGGCCATGGTCTGCAGTTTCCGGGCGCCAGAAGAATGCGCTGAAACTCAGAGCAGAGTGCAAGCCACAGAAACGTCAGAGAACACAAGACTTTTTGAGAAACGGACCAACAAAAACGGGGACACCGGGGGGGGGGGGGGGGAAACGTACCAAAACACAGACAGGGGTAGAACAATGCTGCTGCAATCCGAAAGCACGAACGATCAGAGCAAGAAGCACACGCCAAGCTAGCCAAGATGCAAAAACCCTACATAACCCTACCATCTTATGAAATAGCCCTAGGCATGCGCAAGTAGCGATACTGACGAGTTTTCGCCTGCAGGCAGTACCATGTAGGCCGCCTGGGGCTAAGTTCTGCACACAGCGCATCTCCTGTTCCGGTTTCTGTTCTTTTCTAGGTCAGGGAGCCGCCCTGGGACCCTGCCCCTGCTGCCCTCGCTGCCTTCCCGTTCCTTCACGCCTCCGGTGCCGCTTGTGATGAAATTGGATGAGTACTTTTTTCTGACGCAGGAAGTTAGGTAAAGGGATACCATGGATCCCAAGAACTGAGGACCAGCATCCAGCCGCTTCCCATCAAGGATAGCAGCTCCAGGCCACTTGAGCCATCCTCTGCTTCACGTTGCTGAGTTGCGAAATGATGTGGAAGGTTCTATGAACCAGGGGAGGCCAGCGGCAGCATACGATGCGGCCATAGACATGCTGCGTAGTCGGATGTAGTCCTGAAAGCCAGGCCAGAGACACTGAAGGGAAGACACCGTGCTCTGTGAGTTCCGGAGCCACCATGGATCCACAGAGGCTCCTTCATGTGGAGGACAGCCATCCTAAAGCCGGACAGTAGCGGGTGCCTTGTTTCATGTCTGAAAACAAGGATCCACCGACCCAGAAGCTGAATGTGGAATTCAGCCAGCAGCCAGGCTCCCTGAGTCGCTGCTTGGGAAATGCCTTGCATGATGCGAGTTGATGCAGATGCACGTGTGTTTCAATATATGTAGATATACATTTATTTATACATATATATATATATAAATATATATATATATATATGATATGTACATATACATATACATATACATATGTACATACGTACATCACGGACAGACAGACCAGACAGACATATGTGATCCCAGTTCTCGGTTCGCCAACATCCCCCCCCCCCCCCCCACAATACCCCCCCCCCCCCTCACGATGCCGGACAGTGTGCGCGTTTCAGTTCGAACATACCACTTAATTGGGGTTGTGGGTTGGGGGGGAGCACATATACGTAAATAGGTAAATCTATATATATATATCATATGACAATGTAAGTTTTGTAAATGCATCCTAACTGTCCTGGTGCTGCCAAGGCTGGAACTGTCGTCAGAAGGCTCGGGATTTGGCCTGTGAGGGCAGTACTCTGTGTGATACGAGTGCAGTGGGACAAGGGTGTTTTTCTTTCTTTCTTTCGTTCGTTCTTTCTTTCGAACGCAGTGGAAGTAATCGCACCTAGAGGACAAGGGTGTTCATCTCACTGTCTGCGTCTGCCACTCACTTCGCGGGGAAGCTCTTTACCCAACAGGAGCATCCAGGTCCAAGTTTGAACATGAGGACCGGCATTCCGACCACGGAATACACATGCGACATGGGGTATTGGCGAGAGGGCGGCTAGTCACGTCCGATGACACCAAAATCACAGACGGCGCGACTTATGTCATATTGGACCCAAAACGAGCCTTGCGCTGGAGCTGCGCGACCGGCCGCGTGCTCTTCGAGTGGACAGGGTTGGAACCCATATTAACTGACACGCTGTTTGGGCAGACCACCGACCAGTTTCGATCTCCACAAGTTTTCCGTCGGGGGACGGTGGCGCGTTGACCAAAAACAGGCACAGTGAAGTCAGACTCGATCTTGATGAGCTGTGCTCCAGGAGCGCAGCTACCAATGGAGCCCGTCACTGGAAATATCGATGCGTTCAGGCCCGTGATGTCGGCTGTTGCAGCTTGGAACGCCTTCGGGTTCCTCATGGTGCCTCGTCGCATGCCTAGGTGCACAGGGCCCTCTTCGGCTTCTTTCACGGATTCTTCAACGGTTGCGCCGGTGACCGAGAAGGCGCTGTGACCGGCCGATCGTCACTGTCCATTAATGACCTGAGCAGTCATGGCATGAGGGCAGAAGGCGTATGACTAGGGCCACTGCCACTGAGACACAGAAAACATGGGGGCCAGGACGGAGCTTCAGACTCCAAACCTAGGCAGGGGCATTGCGGCATGGACACTGTCACCAGACAGCACCACATGCTCTTCATATGGTCAGGAGCCATGAGGGTGCCCCGAGCTACGAGAGAGGGCTTTATTTCCTGGACGCGGATGAGGACTTCGTGTCGGTTCTTTCTTGCTCTCGTCTCCTGCAGCGACAAAATGTGACGAAAGCAATTACTCGCTCCCCTACCTCCCCGAGATGTTGACGCTCGACACCTGCAGATGTGATGCAAACATTACAGGCAGTGCCTCCACCCCACCCACCCCCCCAACAGCAGCAAATTGCCTTTTTTTTCCTCTCAGAGTGTTGGGGGAGTATGTGGGAGTAATGTGGCCAACATCTGTAGCTCATTCCTCTCGCGCACCTCAGGGCGTCCCGAGGGAGAAGGAGGCGGACTCCAGCCATCCACGAGGCCGGGGGGACCCCTTTGAAAGCCCCCAGACAAAAAGACGGAAGAAAAGGTGGCCAGCCTTTGGCCATTTAGCATCATTTAGCTATTTTTAGCTTCCAGGTGCCGGAGACATTGCCGGGGGATCTCACTTCAACGCCAAGGCAGGAACCCAACCGTCCCCCAAAAGCCCCACAGCCTTTCTCCGGCTGCGAGCCTGCGAGGCGGCGCTGCACTCCAGTGACTCCAGTGATCTGCTTGAGCGCAAAGACAACGTTCTCGCAGTGTAGGTTGGCCGTGCGTAATGAAATGTAATGAATTCTGAGTCCATAATACATGGACTCATGACCTTATGCTAATTTGTGGCGTGGCTGGTGGCTAGTGGCTAGAGCTGGTCGCCTTTGTCAGCCAGTTCCTGCCTCAGCCCTCAGCCTGAGCAGGAAAACGAAGTGCAAGGTGTCTTTGAATGGGCAGACGGCGGAGTTACAGAGCTTTGCTCTTGCAGATGCAGCTACGACTTGCCTTGTGGCGCTTTGACTGTCATGGCTTCATGCACTGCTGCCGATGTGGGCTGGTACAGCATCAAGCTTAGGCTCGCATGTTTGTGCCATATCCACCCACTCAATGCCATAGCCTCGCTGACTTTCCTGGACCGTGGGGCCTGTGACAGTTGTGACGCGTGATGTCTATTGATGACTCCTGTCAGCTTGCGTTGGCTTGTTGACTTGATGATGCATTTTCAGTCAGCTTGCAACGCTTGCACTGCAACACCAGTGCAGGAGCTCCCACCCTGCATGGGCAAGAGCCACGTGTGTTCTGCATGGTTTCAATATTCGGGCACGGTATCCTGTGCTGCCAAGGCTCACCGTTCTCTGTGTGTGAGCCACCGGAAGGGGGGAAGCAGGCGACGGCTGCACGCGGAAGCTCTGGATCGGTGCCTGCACGGATGCTCCCCAGGAGCAGCATCAGCATCATTCCGCTGTATACTGGCCTGGAGGCATACCTTCCATGAGACATTCCATGTACCCATTCTGTTCCGTCATCTCTTGCAATTCTGGTAGTGTCTTGACAGAGAGGTGACGTCAGCCCAACGCGCGGCCGCCACCCAGCTCAAAAGCTCACTTGCGAGCCCACTTAAGAGCCCGCGCCGGGTGCATGTGCATGTGTCAGAGAAGCTCCCAGCTGTTCCAGTAGTTGTCGGGTATTTTCTTGAGAGTTCTTTTCCATTCTTTTCCCCAATTTTCTTCGTTGTTTTTTTCCGAGTCCCTGCAGAGGCTGGAATGCTCCCCGGGCGTCGGCCTCGGAGAGACTCAAATTTTAGGGGGGGGGGGGGAATGCTGCATGGGTGCTGCAATGTTAGGGGAGGGGGCGGTATTTTATCTAATGAAGTTCTCTTCCACTTTTATCATGTCAATGTCACCGTCCGTTTGGCAGGCGGAAGGGAAGGTGGCGACAGCACCACGACCCGCCTTGGTCTTTGGAGTAAGCTCAGCACCGGCACATAGCAACACTTTCATGAGGGTAAGGGGGTGCCGTAGGTCTCTGCCAAGAAAGCCTGGCCTTTGTGCATGCACAAAGGTCGGTACTCACACCGGCGTAGTTGCCGGACTTCGTGTTGCCCTGTTCGGTCTTGTGCTGTGCACGGGTACATGGTCCGTTTCAACTCGTTTCAACTCCGACAAACTCGGCAGCAGGATCCGTCGCTCCTGTCGAACCGCCCACTGCGCCCGTGGCTGTGGACCCAGTGGAAGTCCAAGACAAGTCCTTGTCTTGCTGCGCCATGACAGAAGCCCAAGTGCCTCTGAGACAGCCAAGGCCCCTGCAGGCTGGGCTTTCTGTTTTGGATAATCGCTGAGTCCCGAGTCCCGAGTCCGAAGCGTTCTGCAAGTGTTCTGCAGGTCCCGTCGTCGATGGCGTTCTCCTCGGGGACAAAGGCGGTGGCAGGCGAAGCGACCCAAACAGGCCTCCGAATCAGAGTTGACCAGACCGCAGTGACAGCCGTAGTTTGCCAAAGCTCTTCTTCGCGCGGTGGGAGGGTGTAAAGTGTGGTGCTGTTGGCATTTCTGTCTAGCTCGATTTCATTGTCACATATTGTCACCATGAGCTGCGAACACATGAACAGGAAACTGAGGGTCGAGGCGCGGATCCCTTGGCTCCTGCAGTGAAGATGTGAAGTTGAAGCGCGAGCGGAGAGGTCTCTGAGCTGAACTACAAGATGCGAAATTCCTGGCCGGTGCCGACCACGGGCTATGTCGCGTTCAGCGAAGTCATAAAGGCCCAGGCCAGCCTCGGCTCACAGTCTCTCAGTCTCTCCCCCTCCCTCCCCTTCCGTCCCTTCCGTCCCTTCTTCTCCAGGAGGTACACCACCGTAAGCAGTCAACGTACTGCATTCTTTAGAATGCTTCTGAAGGTGCCAGCGGTGGTCAAAACACCCAAGGCTCTGAGAAGCGTTGCTGTTGCTTCTGTTCGAGCTGCCTGAAGATGCCTGAAGGTCACTTTCTCTAAGTGGACCACGGCCGATGCAGCAGCCTTGGTGCCAAAAGTCAAGCTACGAAAGCCGTGAGGTGCGTGAGGTCTTGAGCAGTCAGACGGAGTCAGACACCTCTCTCGTAGGAGCCTTCCGACACTGCATCTTGAGGCTCTGCTGCACTTCGGGTCCAGGCGGGACGTTTGCGCGCTCAACTTCGCCAATGGAGAGCAGGCTCGGGAAACTGCGGAGTTTGCAGGAGAATGCCCAAATCAAAGGCAAAAGCATGCAAGCGTTTTGCTCCCCCAGCTTAACTCTCATACCTGTCATTGCCTAGGTGGGTGGCGGCTACAAGACCGGAGCACTGGCACAGGCCCGAACTCCCATCTGACCCCCGACCCTCGCCCTCCTCACCCTCCATTTGAGATCTGCTGTCAGGAGGAGGATCTCTGCCGGCGTCTTCCCAATCTGTATACTTCCCTGCTGAATGCCAAGCGGGTTCTTCGCTGAGCGCTCTTGAGCTTCCGAGAGTTAAACAGCGAGCGCCGTGGGTTGTTTTTGCCTCTTCGCTTCAGGATGGCTTGTACCCTTTTGGACCTCCGACATGCCGGTCAAAGGACATCTGGCCGTCTGCGCGTACCTGTTCGCCGTTGGCGATGGAAAGCTGTAGCTGACTGTAGCTGCTGCTCCTAGCCCTTCTGCGTGAAAACTGTTGATCTGAATCTCGTGCTGCTTCGGTCACTATGAGAGATGCGGTTGAGGACCGGCCGGAAAGGTACTCGGATGTGCTATTCACACATGATTTGGCCGGACCCCCGCAACCTTGAATGGATTGATTGACCTCTGAGCCAAAACCACAACTCGGCAGGTTGTAGCTCGAGAGTCCGAATATCGCCGCTTCGAAGTCTTGCCGCCGGAGAAGCAGGAGAGCCTCAAAAAGAACACGTGAAATTCTGAAAGCACCAAAGCATACCAAAGCCATTTTTGTGAGAGCATGTTGTTGCTGTGACAACGTCGAAGCGAAGTGTGAACCTTGCCATGCTTTGCCAATCTGGGGGCAGGTAAGTGTTTCTCTGGTGACGGCAGCTGCCGCAACCTGAGCAATCCACTGAAGATGGCATGTCAGACTTGCTGAGCTGCATCAGGAGCAAGAAAGATCTGCTCGTGTTATGCCTGAGGCACCAAACATCAACTTTGCCAAAGAGGTGTATGACTTGGACCTCATGGCCAATACCATTCGCGCAATATTCCTCGCGCCGAGAATACGAAGGTCATCTGGCGAGTCCGGGGAAGGGTCTTCTTTCTTGGAGTTGTACTCTGCTTACTATGTATGGGTACGGCACCCTTGCACTGAACCCTTTGTACTCTACCCATGTACTGCGCCTGTGTCCATAAACCGATAGGCCGGGGATCGACACTCTAATCCTTGGAGCCTGGGGTTGCTGGGGGCCTCGGCTTGCGTCCATGCTTGCGTCCATGCTTGCGTCCATTCTTGCGTCCATGCTTGCGCATCTGCTCCTTATGTGCTCATGTTGCCCCGGCTTGACAAGGTGGTGCATTCGGGTGCAACCCGCAGCACGTCAGCGAGTTGTTTCTCCGGGCCATCGTAAACGAAGGGCTTGGGCAGCTTGGACTTGTTTTTCCGCTTCGTGTGTGTGCTTGCTTAACGAGCCTGAGCTCCCGCCAGGAATTTATATCAGGAGATCCACTTTGCCATTCCGGGGCGGACTCCGCCTGTTTAGTCCGGCGCGTTCTCTGATGATTCTGTGTCGCGTTTCCAGGGACGACAACGGGGTGACCTTCCGGGAGACGTTTGCCACATTTCCCGTCCAGGCGCATGGGCTCTTGTCTCACAAGCCATTGGTCTCCTCTGCAAGCCAGGAGCTCTGATGCTGCATTGCACCCTCTTGCATCTGATGCCCTGATGAAGCTTTAAGGCTGGCATTGTACATAGGTCGGTTTCACAGTCATGATGCCAAGGTCAGCAAATAGATCAGTTTCTCATAGCTTCTCTCTGCTTCTTGTAGTTGATTGAATGTGTTCGTTTCGGAGGATTCCTCGCTGCTTTAGCCACTTCAACATACTTCAACCAGATCCAGCCTGATCAGCCTTCGATACAGCACAGAGTCCTCTGAAAAGGCAGAACTTCCGATCGCGTGCGTTCAAGACGGCCAGACTGGAGGTTCCTGTCGAAGTCAAAAGCATCCACGTCGTTTTTTCTGATGGCCTGATGTAGCCACTCGAATGATGATGGAATCCCACAGCTTCCCGCAGCCATGGCAGATCTAGGCGTCATGGCTTCGCCTGATTGCTGACATTAGAAGCCGGCGATGCGCCATGTCCCACAGGCCCGCAAGTTGCAACGTTGGCATACATCTGGCTGTAGAGTTACATTCACGAAAGCCCAAAGTAGCTAGTCCAGCCGCCAGAACCCCCTCGGCCCTCCCAGCTTTGTATTTCCGCACCTCCACACTTGCTATATACGATTAAGTTGCCATTAAGGATCATTCAGGGCTGCTAGGGCTGGCCAGCCCCAGAAGTGTGCCAGTCCAAGGCGGATCGTTCAGCTCTGGTACTGTCATAGTGCCATGTCACTGAGAGTGACACGTCACTGCGAGCCCCCATCCCGAGCAAGACATAGAGGGTGATATGGGGGAAGAGGGGGGAACGCGCACCACCAAATGGGATCGCCAAACCGCCCGATCACACAATGGCCAAACAATCTTTGTGAGAAGAGGCGACAGGCCCTCTGGAGGTTCAGGATCCAAGGCAGTCATCTTTAACAACAAGGCGGATAAGCACAGAGAGAGAATCCTAAAGGTAGCAAGACTCTTGACATTCGAGGAAGATGGTTTCAATGTAGGGAACGAGGAAACGAAGTGAACATGCGGATTGGAAGTGAGCGAACAAAGTGAACTTCTTGCATGCTGGGGTGAACAGACACGTCCTCCCATCATTTGGCACCCCACCCGCCCCACCCCTCCCCGGCTTTACATATGATAAACCTGAAATGGGCGTTTTGGATAATTACTTGTTGCCTCTTCTCAGAATTCGGCTCCGGTTGTTGTCTCTACACTACACCTCTTATTTTCAGTCGCGGTCATTCCATTGCTCGTGCCTGCTTTGCGGCACTCCCTGCTCTGACCCAGCTGGCTTGTGTTGGCCGAGCTTTGCCCCTCAAGGCCCCTCAAGCGTGCATGTTGGAGGCCGCCGCCTCCTCAGGGCTTTCCTGGCGTGAAGCGGCGCGCGCCGGAAGGCAGCCTCTGCTCACAGAGTGTCGCGCGGATTCAGTATAATTCACGGTAACAATAGCCAGGAAGGAGAGTAAAAGATAGCAGGCTAGCAACGACAATGATGAAAGGGTGGCCCCTCGATCAGGTGACTTGAGTTTGGTGCTGGTCCCGCCTCCGCCCACCTGTTTGCCGGAGCCTCAGACTAATGATTCATAACAAGGCGAAGTGTAAAAGTCCCCCCAACCCCCATTCCACGCCTCATGGTATCCCACCCCCTACACTTGACCCTGGGCACCTGACGCCTTGCCTTAAACCCAATAAACGTAAACCCCAACCCGAAGCCACTCAATTGTGGGGCGTGCAACTCAACCCCAGACCCTAACCGTGAATAGTCCCACCGAATCGCCTATCGTCAAGCCGCACAACCACATTGTGGCCTAAACCCTGAACTACAGGGAGCCAGGCCATAGGACGGGCAGGGGGCCGAGGGAAGGCACTGAGGGGGTGGGTAGCAATTTGTCGTACTCTAATATCCATAGGGTTCATAGGTCTTCTACTTGCACACAGTTGCACTTTTTCTGTCCCATACGCGCTTAGGCCCGGATCCAAAGCAGACCGGCTTCTGGAGGACGAAACGAGCCTCGGCCTCTCTGCTGGGCTGGGTACCGTAAGGCCGTCAGGTGACAGCGTTCCGACAGGGAGTTTGCAACAAAGGGGACACCAGTAGCCAAGGAAGTGCAGAGGCTTTGGTTGCGAGGCAAAGCTAAGTTGAAGTTGCAACTACACAATGAGCCTGCGCTGTCTCTCGTCTGGTCGAGTGCAGGGAGCTTCCGGCACCAGAACATCCAGAAGGATCGCTGGAAAGACAATGTAATTGTGACAACGAGCATTGCCTTGCTGCGCTACCAGTTTGGTCTTGGCCCCCCCGCCGCCAATCGGACTGCCGCGCAGCTGCCCTGTTTTGAACATTGTGCCGAAAAATGGGGGCCGGGTTGTGGCTTCAGACTGGTGGCGAGGTGTGCTCCGCGGGCACCGCTGTCGGATTCTTGCTTTCTTGCACCACCACCTCCTGCAGCAGTCTTAGAGCCGGCGTAATCGGAACTTAACACTGTTGTCAGCCATCGGCTTTCCTTGCATCGTCGCTCACTAGAGAAGAACAGAAGTCTCATTCATGACCTTAGATTTGCCTTGATTTCAATAAGTCTCGCTGATGTTCAGGTGGGTCTGCCCGAAGTGGCCGGCAGACTTTCAACACCGTGCGCATCTCACTTAGCACCTTGCAGATACTCTTGTTGCGCACCAGTGCCTCCTTCAAGGGGGCTCCCAAACGCAGAGCCCTCGCACTCGGCCCGGCCCTGAGAGCATACTGAAATTGGTATATATACATATATTTATACCTATACATCTATATCTATATCTCTATCTATACCTCTCTCTCTATATATATATATGTAATATTTATGTATGTGTGAAAATGCTAACCGTTAACCCAAGAATAAAGTGTTCGCTCCCAGGTGGTCGTCAGCAACAGTTGCTCCGCATCAGAGTCCGGCGAGGACAGCAGCGAAGAACGTCTAACATAGGGCTCGAACGGCAGGGAGGGAGCCCATGGACATTGATGGCATTGGATCACATTGTTGCAAATGGATTCTTTGTTGGGTTGTTGTGGTTTACCAGAAGGCCTCGAGGCCTCTCCGGTTGATTTTTCAATTGTTACAGGTGCGCGCGCCCGCGGGGGGGGGGGGGGGGGGGGGGGGGGGCGGGGGCGAAGCAAATCGATTTCACCATTGCTTAGGTCACGAAGTCAAGCGCTCTTTGAAATTATTGCCGGGGGAGGGGCGGGGGCATTCAGGTCCCCGCGCCCTCCCCTCGGCTACATATGGCCCCGATCTCAAGTTCAACTTCTCGTGCATGGTAAGAAGGGGCGGTCAGATGACACAGCTGGGTGATAGCCGTGCAATGACTGTACGAAGTCTAAATGGAAGCCAGGACTCAGACGATGATGTGCCAGTCGAGAATGGAGAGAGGCCAGAGCGACGCTGTGACAGCAATGGCTTTGTACCAACGCTTGAAAGGGGAGGACACGGGAGAGCTTGTGTTGCCTGTATGCCTACAGGCACCGGAGCGACATGGAGGTTCTTTTAGCTCACCGATCCTCGTAGATGCCTCAGGGGATTGGCAGCAGCATGTCAACGATGACATGTGTCGCGCAGCTGCCCATTTCAGATGCTTCTGGGTGAGGCTGCTGAGAACGACCTCACGACAGACTCGCCTCAGCGAGGACTGGGAGCTTCGGGGAAGATCGCATGACTCGAAGAGACGTCGCGTTGCTAGTCTGCCATCAGGACATTCCAGCAAGCGCTCATGAGCTAGCACGTGAGACGCGATCAGAGGCGCACCCGCTTCTTAGGTGCTTAAGGTCTCTTGCTGGGAAACGCATCTGTGCGATCTTTTGGTCAGGACCAGCACCCCTTCAAGCCTTCGAAGTTGAACTGCGCTCAGCAGTTGATGAAACAGTAGCAAATCACACACCACAAGAGGGAAAGCAAATTGGGCATCCAACGGAGAGTTACGACAGCACGCCATAGCACCCTACAGCACCCTGGAAGTTCCGAAGTTCCCCTACAGTATCCCACAGTGTTCCTCTGTTTCCCCATTGTGTTCCCCCCTGCTCTCAGCACGTCAGTAGACTTGACGCCGTCTGAGGTCGTTTTTTGAACGCGTCGTGGCCTGACTGCAGATTGGATAATGGATGGCTCATGATAGCTCCCATGTACAACGTACAGCGCAGTTGGTGCGACATGCTGGGCATCAGTGTGACTGAGAGTGCCGTTGGATTGCTGCGAAGCCAGTTCCGCCACGGCGGGTCAGACTTCAGAGAAGCAGGCCCAGCTGCTGAGATATGTTGGCGCATTAGAAGCATCAGACGCATCATACGGCAACGCACAAAATCGGCAGGGAGAGGCATGACTTCGATGGGCCACTGATTTTTTCCAGTGCCCAGAAACGCCACGAAGGTGGGAGACAAAGCATGCTTCACCAACTTCAGCAGGCTGGGCGCTCAGAAGCAGTGGAGAGATCCAGTTGAAGTGAGCAACGAGCAGCCGTCTTTTAAAGGCGGCTGATGGCACATGCTGGGCATGTTCCCAGGACATGGCAGGACTGGATGATGCCTGGTTCGGACGCTGGTCCAGCCTGCTTTCGAAAGAAGGCTTATCCTGCACAAAGGCCTTGAAATAGGGCACACCGCTCCGCGCAGTAGCGAGAATGGCTTGGCGCGGAGGTTGCTACAAATGGAAAGCCTTACGCTCGCCGGCTCCATGTCGACTGCAGGTGCCATCGCTGTGTGCATCCCTTGTTCCTCCTACGGCGGCTTTCATTTCTTTAAGCACTCTGGCAGGAACATGATCGTCGAGATTCATGGAGGCGCTTTTTTCATCTTTTACGAGAGTTGGAGAGCGCAAAGGAGACAGAGTATAGCGGTTCGTACAGCGATTCAGAGCTTCATTATATCATTATGTCCCATGCGCAGCGCACTCCCCAGGCCGCAGTGGGACAGTTGGTATTTTGCTCGATGACGTCGTCGATGTCTGCAAGGCCCCATATTGCAGCACATATTGTGGCATATTGTGGCACATCATCCCCTGAGCCTCAGCCCCGGCGCGCAGGACCTCGAAAGCTCGGAATTCGCTCGATATCGGCAGCACAATGCCAGGCCTTTGATGTCTTTGTCTTGCTTTTCCTTGGTAACGGCTTCAGAGTAGAGAGCCTGGGTCGGGATGCGGAGTGATGTTTGAAGATTCTGGAAATTCTTGAAGATTCCTGAAAGGGTCGAACCCGCCGAACGCCTAAAACCTTGCCCAAACTCTTGCGTCATCGACCCAGGCATGAGCACAAAGAAATGGCTTGCCGAGACCCGCACTGAGGCAGTCAACCTGTAGGCAGGCTGCTCAGCGGCTGTGTCTGAGGCCTTGATCTTGCACACCCCTGCGCGGTCGTTCTCCTTTCTTTTCGCCAATGGTGCCACTTGTATGTTGCCAGAACTCGCCGGCTGTCCAGATTCGGGGAAGCTTGTCTAATCTCACGCACCATGTGATTTTCTTGCCATGCCAGCCTCGCAGCGGGACGTCTTCGGTCAATTCCTCATGTATCTGCTCAAGAAGCGCCGAGGGACGATGTCAGCATCGGGCTGAGTTGTCTCCGAACTGGTTGAATACCTGGCAAAAAAAATGCACAAATGTTCGAGGTCGATACCGTTTCCGCAGCCACGACTGCGCGCGACGACGTGGATGAGCTCCCTGCGTCAGAAGCAAGCTCTTACCCTCCGAAAGAGGGCCGCGGGCACGCTTCCCAACACTGTTGCACCGCCCGCTGCCCTCTTGGGGGATTTTTCGAGCAGCAAAGGAAAGTGGCATATCCCGACAGCTCGTGGTACGAGGGCGCCAAGCTTGGAATCGTGTTCAGTTGGAGAATGTAGGATGGTTGGCCCATGGTGGGCCGTTGGGAGGATTGGCGTGTCTGATTCCAAGCAGTACTGTCGTACCAGGAGAACCAAAGCGTGTTCAAAGGGGAACATCCTGGATTTCAGGGAAGCCGCATGGTCTAGAGCACACATGTTTTCTTGGCTTTCCAAACCATGAGTTGGAGTGGCTTCTAGATGCTGCTGCTGGTAGGGGGCGATGTCCCAATGTCATCCAACAGATGCCTTTCACATAGATGACCGACTGGCACAGCACCCGAACACCCCTGTCATCAGCCAATGAAAGATGCAGGAAGAACAGACAAACAGCGCTGAGCACTTTGAGCCTTCGAGTACAGTTACCTACACACGAAGGCGACTTCAGCGCGCACCAGCGTCACGGCCAAGGGACACTTCACCTGCTGGACTGGGAGAGCTTGGGCAGGTTTGCTAATGTGTTCTTGCAGATACTTGTGTATGTCTCCAATGTTTCCAATTCCAAACCGGGTTTGTAAAGGGTAAGTCAAGCAGAGGACGGCAGCAAGCACGAGTGCCAGTGGCAGAATGATGAACGCCACGGGCCAGGGCCCGCGCCTGGCTCGTTTGCGCATGGGGTGAGAGGCTCTCTGGGCTCGTTACCTCACGGCACCAGGCGAGAACATTGGGCAGATGGCACCGTCTTTCGCGGCCATTACGTTCGAACCTGAATCACGCGACGCAACAAGTGTATACAGTGTATACATGCAAAGCTGCAAAAGCATAAAGCAAAGCTTCCTTAACCACGTGACCATCCGGATTGCAGGTTCATGGACTACGTCATGGCCAGGGAGTGATGACGTGGCCTGAGGGATCCAGGCAACAGCCGGCTGTGGTCGGTGCGGTTCCTTTGTCGACTGCGGCCTGCAACCACACTAGAATTCACACCTAGTATGGTTTTTGTACGGTTTTTTTTGTATGCTTTGGGCAGGTACACGGGGCTGTTCGAACGAGGTCGTGCAAATGGCGATGGGGAGTTGGTGCGCTGGAAGCCTGGAATGTTCTCCATTGGAAAAAGACAGAGACAGAGGATGCTGCCGAGGCACGGACAACTCAGTCTACCGAGGTCAGTTCAAGGAGGACACGTTTCAAGATGGCCTCTCAAGCCTGACATTTGGTCTTTGCACAGCTCACCAATTTCCTACTGGCATAGAGTGGTGGCATGTCTTTGATCCAGGACTGCATGAGTGGAGATGGCTGTATGCAGTGGGTCGATGGTGTCGAGTGCGCCCCTTCCAGCAAACTTCAGCAACTCTGACTCTCAGCAATGGCCTCGCAAGGGAGGGGGGGGAACTCGCAAGCTGCAACAACTGCAATGTATTCAGATTTCCTGAGGTACAAAGGCCAGTTTGAGGCCAACCGGCGACATGGCTTCGGGAAGATGGTGCCTCCAATCGCAGAGCCGTTCTGATCGTTCTGGAGTTCCGGAAGGGGATGTGATTGCTTCTGGGGTTATACTTCGGCATTGACGTAACCCAAGGACATCCAGGGACCCGAGCATGCCCCCTTTCCGGCCACAATCGTGCCACAGTTCGCCAGTCGCCAATCCCGTGAATCAGGTTTGGACGTCTGGCAAATGGAAGAGCTATGAAGGCTCTTGGAAGGCGCTGTTTCAATGTCATACTTTAGCGCTGTTAGCGTATTCATCTGTCTCCTCCTCTGCGCCCACGAAATGTACCGGGCATGTGCATGGGCCATCATGGGCCATGGTGTGGACGACTTTGAACGCACGAATCACGAACCTTGAAGTACGTTCGCGCACTCTTCGACCTGCAGGTTTCACGCACGTTTACCCAGCCTGCCTCATTTAGCACACAGAGATTGCGAAGGCCGGTGTTCAACATGGCCGCGGCATTCTCACAGACCAGAAGGATGTTGTCAGATTCTCAAAACTATGCGGCTTATTCGTTTGGCATCGTTTGACTCTTTGCCGTAGAAAGATCCGTTGCCTCTTCTAGGCGTACGTCGGACATTTCCTGGACGGCAAGATCGATCACTGGGAGGGGAACCCTCCTGACTCAGGCAAGTTGTTGGGTTAGCAGTATGCAGCCATATAAGACGTTGTTTACCTGCCTGCGCAAGGCTTCTGAGATGCATGGATAGCTTCCTGTACAGCATCCTGCTTCAGAGACCGTGTGTTGATGAGAGACGCACGATCTCGCGTGGGAGAATTAACATTCTCTGGGCCCCTGTTGGCAAAGACTGCCAAATATCGGCCGGGGTTCTGCACAGCCTCTCGGGGCGTGCCGCGCTTGCATGCGAAAAACTGACCCGTGGAGCCATATTTCGGGAGTGACGCACTCACAGCAGGATGCATGAGCGACACAGCTCGCAAGATCTGTTGCTCGCCCGATGTCCTGCTTCTGCAATCTCGGTTGGGCATACAAAGCAAAGAACTGACTGACGTAGACTTGGCCTCCGAACACATTCTGCCGTTGTGGCTAACGCAGTCATGTCAAATACGTCCAAATTATCCGAAGACCTAAGCCGTATCATTTTTGCTGGTCCATGCTCAGCGAACCTCCACACCACACTCAGGTTGCAAGTGAATCAGGCACTAGCCGGCATCACCGTCTTAGGAATGGAGGACATGACACTGAGCCTTGGCCAGCGTGAGACCTGGACTTTTGAGCTCAAGAGTCGTTGGTGGTTGTCTCCTGTGACGCTCACGTGTTCATTTTTCGCTACACGGCCCCCCGCCTCGGCCCGCACCGGCTCGTGCCTCGCTGCAAACAAGGAGAGAGACCCCAAGCTTCTGGGGGTGGCTTTGGACCATTTTGGACCCCGCAGGGCTCCTGTGGACGGCAACGAGAATCTCCCCAGTGGGGCGAACTGCCAAGAACTGGTCAGCTGCAAGTCAAGAAAAGAAGTTGCGGTGCAGCCTGTAGCGAAAGTACAGGAGGCCCTTGCCAAGTTTCGGAGGCTGCCCAAGCCCCACAGCCCACAGGTCGTAATTTGGAGGTTTTGAGTGCTGATAGGGCATCCATAGCAAAGGTCTTTGACAGTGTTTTAGGGACCCAGCCTCCGGCTGGCCCTCTCCGGGCACTTGCGGTCACCCCCACACCGAGCCGAGCATTTTGCAGCCCGCAATCTAGGCTAACACTGGACTTGAAGCCCCAACCTTGCCTGAACCCTGAGAGGGGCTACGATCGACACCTTCTTGGGAGTCTCGGCAGAAGTGTGTAAGGCTAAGGGCTACACCGCTTGTGGAACATCTAGGCCTCTGTAAAGCGGCTTCCTGACCAACAACCACCTAGGACCTAGGGAGCTGGTTTGTGCGTGTTCTCGCCGGTCTTCTGGAGGGGGCGGGGTCCCTGGAGGTCCCAGCGTCTGACAACTTTGTAATACGCTTTAGGCCCGAGGGCCTTGGCGGAGTTATGCCAAGCAAAGTTCCACCCGTGTTCAACGGGAGATGAAGCGCATGACAGCGCAGAGGGTGCGCACATGAAAGTGATGTCACTGACTGAGGCTGGTTAACCTCCAGCAATCAAAGCTTGAAGCACAAGGACGGGGCCGGAGTTCAGTTGTCGGCGTTGAAAACGTGCGTTATCACATTCTGGGGAATACCTGTTGAAGAGCTGAAATGGTTTGTGGAGTTGCAGCATATGCGCATGCTCGAAATCTCACGCCCGCCATGTCAGTCTAGCTAAGCCACCATGAGCATCTGCTGGGCACAACACTGGGCTTGTAGGAGGCGGTTTTGGTGCAGTTGTCAGCTTGATGAGCATGACAGAGATATGGCAGAACAGATCTCACATTCATTTCTTTTGATGTGTATGATGCTGCGCTGCCTGAAGTAGATGCGAAACTGGAAGTCCCCCCGTCCACAAGAACTGTGAGGTCGTATGAATCTAACACAATCTGACACTCATGGGCTGCCAAAGCCAACGCCATGGCAAACAAACGCGGCTTCTGGTGTGCGTTTGCATCCTGAGCTTTGCCACATTAAGGCTTCCCAGCTTTGTCGGGTACAGGAGGTGTCAGAAAAATGACGGCTTCAGGGCACCAAAGCGTGCCGTCCGCTCTAGTCAACACAGTCCTGCAGTGGAGGCTTGGTTAAAGCAGCAAAAGAGGGACGAGGAATACGAGGAGCTTCTTCGCGGAGGCTTCTCAAAAGAGAGGATGTTCCGATTCTTCAGCTTCCGGCCCCACCTGATCCTGCGACGCTTCTTCGAGATAGGCCAGGTTCTCTGGCCGACGTGGCAAGTCTGGACAAGCCCGCAAGGTCAGAATCGCGAGGAGCACTTAAAGAGCAGCTTACAAAAGCTCGGCCCGGTGTTCGTGAAAGTGGGTCAGACCTTGGCTCAACGTCCGGACATTGTGGGAGAGGACGCGGCGGAGGTTCTCAAGACGTTGCAATCGAAGAATGCCCCATTCGCTGACGAGATAGCCCATCGCATCGTCCTGGATGATTTGAATCATACTGGCCCTCTAGCCCCCGGTGTGTGCCCGGAGGGCTTAGGCATCGAGGGGCTTTCAGAGGAGGACTGCAGTCCATTGTTCGAGTCCTTCTCAAGCAAGCCCGTGGCAGCTGCTAGTTTGGGACAGGTTTACAAGGCGACCACGCGAGATGGACGAGACATCGCCGTCAAGGTCATGCGGCCTGGCGTAGCCCGGCTGGTGGCATGTGACTGGGTCTGCTGGTTCTTGGGATTGAAGCTTCAGAGACTCATCACTGGATCCTTCAACGACTTCGCCAAGCTTGCGGATGGCGTTGCTAGTGGTGTTTTTCTTGAGCTTGACTACCACAATGAAGGGCGGAACATGGAAGACTTCGTGCGCGAACACATGTGGTTGGGATTCGTCACCGCGCCGGCCTGGGTGCGCGAGTACACAGGCCCAGCGGGAAATGCCCGTGTGCTCAGCACAGAGTGGGCAGACGGCCTTGACTTCCAGGACCTACCGGAAAGGCTTCGGCACCGAGCGGTTCGATTGGCAGCAGAGGCATGTCTGGTGCAGCTGATGATTACTGGCTTCGTGCACGCAGATCCTCACGAGGGTAACCTGAAGTACATGCACGACGGGCGCATATGCTTCTTGGATTTCGGGCTGATGGACAGGGTGTCATCCCAAGTCATGGAAGGCTTTGCCGAAGGAATACGGAGCGTCGTCGCTCGAAACTGGACCCAGCTCGCACTTGCGATGCAAGTGATCGAGTTTGTGCCGAACCCTGCCCGAGGCCCCAGCTTCTCAGCGCTGAGAGCGTCCTCTTAAGGGGTTTTGAGGTTGCTTTTCCGGTGCTTTTCCCGTCTCCCCATCTGGCTTCTGGGGGAAGTTGAGTTTCTGCAAGACTGTTGTAAGGTTCACGGTTCACTGCCAGCGTTTGTGGTTCCAAGAGGGGGTCTGGGGTGTGAAGGCTTGTGATGCTGAAGGCTTCAGTGGACTCTGCGTTTACGGTTGCAGATGCACGATTTACACGATTTCGGGGTTTGGCTTAGGGATGTTTAGGATCCACAGTTTCGGACCCAACCTCTCAAGATGGCGGCCCCGCCAGGGTAAGGCCCAGGCATCCGGAATCATTGACCGCAGCCTCGTCTGCTCCATTGTTTGACCTGCTGCCTCAGGTCAAAAAGAATATGCGGCCGAACAGCACACGACCCTTGTGGGTGGAGAGCACTTTTGATGAGTTCGTGGCGGCCCTTACCGAAGAGGTTGGAGATGACAGCGACGCACAGTCGCGCTTTGGTGACATGGCCGCCGCGCTGAAACGCTTGTCAGATCGATTTCTGATGCTAACTCCGGACTACGTGGTGCTGATGACACGCACTTTTGTGACTTTGGAGGGCATCGCGGCACAATACGATCCAGATTTCAATATATATACTACGGCCCTCCCCATCACTTTGCGCCGCGTCGTTTCGCCACGGACTGCCGCCTCCCGGACGGCTTTCCGGAACAACGCCGCTCGCACCACTTGGATACGGCATATACTGCACGGATCTGCACGGTACTTCCCTGTCAGTTCGCTGTAAGATCGATATCGGCCGATTAGTGCTTCCCGGGAGTTGTGGGCTTCAGGATGTTTCAAATCCGTTGCCATAGCCACCATAGTCATAGGTTGAGCTGGCAGGTGCAGGACAGTTCGCAGCTTGTGTGCTGTTCGTCACGTGTCTCATGTAAGCCGTCTTCCTTACGTCTTCTTACAAGCAGCTCAGAAACAGCTCCTTGTTCCTCTCAGCCAAGTGCACCTTTGCGAGACAGTTCAGTCTAAGATGTAGTGCCCTGCGCTGAAGTGAGCTAAGGTGCTGACAGAAACTGGAGAACTGAAATGGAATGAGCTGGAAGGGCTGCTAAAGACGTCGGAGCAGGATGCCCAAAACGAGGATGCAAAGATGAGCTTGCTGGAAGATGACGAGGCTCCGGAAGCTTCTGAGAGCGGTTTCAAACCTCTGGAAGGCCTCTTGGGCTCAAGTGAGGGCCGAAGCCTGCGACGACTCGCTTACGACGTGGACATCACGGCCCTCTTCGCTTACTTAGCCTCCAACCAGGGCCGGTCGCTGCGAAAGCAGGCGGCCGCATGGCTTGCAGAACAGCTGGACGTCCGGCGCCTTGCGCGCTCGGCGCGGAGCATCGCGAAGGACCCGCCAGCCGGCTCCAAGGAGTTCGAGAAGCTCCAGAAGCAGCGCGCGCAGCGCGAGCGCCGCGCGCTGCGCTTCATCATGCGGAGCCAGTGGAAGCGCCAGCGCTATCGGGCCCTTCCCTCGCTTGCCCTCCTGATCATGGTCTTCTTCTTGCGAGTCTCCGGAACAGTGCTGCTTCTGATGCTGAAACGCCTGGCTCGACGACTCCGATCTGCTGCGCTTTGGATCGTCAAGTCCCCACAGAGACTTCGACAGCGCCTTCGACCAGCCTAGGACTGACTGAAACCGGTCACGACATTTAAAACGTTGTGGCTCCTTCCGAGATTCGTGGATTCCTAAGCTTCTGAGGCAAGAACGCGGGGGTGCGGTGCAAAACGAGATGTCCGCCATGTCTCCATGATTAAGCGGTTCAACGTAGTGCTGCTACGAGTGGATGTGAGAAGCTGACCGGGCAGAAGGAGCTCAGCCTTGGTGGCTTGCCGAGAAGCTTAGCCTGATTGTGCAGGCGCTGTGCGGGCAGCGTCGTGTTTGGATGTTGAGCTTGACTGTGGTGGACGTGCTGTCACTTCTCCCTCATTGCATGGGAGGGAATGTAGGTAGTCCTACACCGCAGATCTTCGAGATTATGCGAGGCTACCTAAACAGCCTGCAAACTCACTGCAGGCTGCGCAGAGATTGCGCGATCTCGGCGTTCAGGAAGAAGCGCCTGGGGCTCATCAGCCGGTGCTTGCCCACACTGCGTGTGCATGAAGGAGTAAGAACGAGTAAGAGCACGATGGCACTGACACCTCAGATAAAGCAGCCTGTGGAAAACTATTGTGCATGCAAGCTGAATGCAAGCCTACTGAAAGCTCAATCCCGTCGGCGTGAATAGCGTTAACCCTTGACCACTCCGGATCAGTTCCTCCATCCGGCTTTGTGATGTCAGAAGCCGTCTAATGAGTGAGTCTAATCGGCTTCAACTGTATAAGTTGTTTTCTGTCGTTTCTACGACTGTTTTTGCTGCTTTGTGGCGGCTGACAGGCCTTGTCGAGTCATTTGGATTCCAGGCCGCATCGAGGCCCAAAAAGAAGGATGCAAGAAGTCAGAGGAGGGTTCTTGAAAGTGAAGAGACTGCAACACAGGTAGTCGGAAAGCACACCGACTATGCTGGTGGGCGTTCCTTGATATGCGCCATCAAGCTTGCGTCCCAGATGTCGAGAGGACATGAACTGTTCTGAAGATGTGGATTGCGAAGCTTGTGGACTGTGTGGACTCCTTTCCGAGCTTCGCCAGTCGCGGCTTCTGCGCAGTGGCGACGGATCGGGACGATTCCATCCTTAGAGCCGCCAAAGTCCAAGCTCAAACGTTGCTGCGAAAGCTTTGGGAAGTAACCTTGAATGCTGGGACTGTCCTTTCAATCCAGGCCAGCCTGCAGTTCAAGCCAGGTGACAAGGTCAAACCAGCAGCGCCAGAGAGAGTTCCAGAGGGTAAGGGTCCCTTTCTTCATGTAGCATATTGGAGCCTACAGTAGCATCAAGTTGCAGCTCTCTGGGCAGGACGGCATTGTTGAAGTGCCTCTGACAGCGAACGTCGAGGCTGCTCCAGCTTGCTGTCGAATGGCGGGCCTCTGGTGAGCATCTTGCTACAGCTGCATTGCTGCGCATGACTTGTGCATGTTGCCAGGTGCGTGCGAACCATTGGTCGCTGTACATCACAACCGCCAGATCCTCAGTCCCCACAAGAAGCACAGGCACATGCCACGCCGCAACGATCGGGCACTAACCAACAAGAGCCATTGAAACTTTACACCTCCGCTGCCTGGCAGCCTCTCGATCCCTCAGAGGCCGCAAGGCGGCTCTCGCAGAATTTCGGACGGGAGCAACTCCTAGGCTGCGATGCTCGAGGCCCAGAATGTTGGAAGGCTTGCTGCTCTCACCATCCGCTTACCGCTGAATGGTGGATCCATCAGTAAGGTTGCCATCGCATGCGATTTGCCTCCTGCCTCAGGCACTTTTGACTTGCTGCCAGCTGTGCAAGTCGCAGTGTTTGTTAACAGGGAGGGCTTTGACGTGGCCTTCTTTGCCAGGCATGAGCACCTCATCAGCTCTGATCTGCGTCCATGCCCTAGCAACTGCCATGTCGCCACGCGCGGAAGCTCTTACGAGCACCGTTTTGGAGGAAGGAGGTGAGGACCACCCATCTAGGCAGCCTACCTGGGCCCCCCTTAGTTGGCAATGAAAGTTACCGTTCAGTTTTTTCCAGAAGTTCCAAGAACAGGTGCAGTTACTGGAATTTCAGTTCATGCAAATCCTTTGATTCGGTTGTTTGATCGTTTGCTTCGTCGAACTGTGGCGTTCTTAGTTTAGAAGATGAGCAGATTGGATTCAGAAACTATTGTGGACGGAGCCTGGTAATACAGCCACCGCCGATATATCAAGGTGGTCATTTTCTGAGCGTCGAAGAGTCGAAGCTTCGAGAAGAACGAAGACTTGAAATGCATGGTCAGGGCAAATGACCTTGCCGGATTCCGGCAGGGATCGCCCGGCATTTGCCGGAGAAGTTGTGTTTCGTGTGTGTGTGTGTGAACATGTATGACGACCACAAGCCAAAACACAGCGTGCGCCCGCTTGAATACTCGGTGCATCAAACCGAAAGCGCAGCGATTTTACAAGAACTCCTGCCCGTCTCACATATTTGGTGAGGCAATCTTCATGGTCCTGGATGCTCCAAGCTCAGCATCGGCAACGTTCCGCAACCTTCGACAACTCTCCAACTACATGTTTCGATCACTGCTGCGAGGCCCGCAATAAGCTGCGCCAGCGGCCAGAGCCGCTCCGCCTCAACATATCTCAAGTCGGCCTTAAAGGGCTCCATCAAGGAGACTATTGGAGGATATTGGAGGATCTTGGAGGATTGGGTTCGGAGATTGAATTGGGTTATATTGGGTTCATTTTCAAGACGCAGCCTCAGGTTCCGGGCGGCGCTGCCAACGGACGAGGCACGGTCATCGTCGCGCTTCCTCGCGCTACGTTTCACTGTAGGCCCCAGGCCCCCTGCTCATGCCAAGGTTTTCTATGAATACCTTGGCTGCATTGAGAATGGTCAGCCTGAACCTCGACGTTGAAGCCTGCACGAGCTGCCGTGAATCTGTTCGTGGTTTGGAGGTCATGCGGTGACCTGGCAGGGGATCGAGGCCACCAGCTCTGGTATGCATGCGCGCGCGTGCATATGCACGTGCGTGAAGTTGCCATATCTGGCCTTTTTGGAGGTGTGGGAACCTTTGGAGGCAGTGAGGCCTCGTGCCGTATCCTCGCAGCGGTGCGCGCTTCACTTGGGCAGCAAGCCAGGACCACACCGCCATCATGTCTTCCCAAAGGGACATGCTGAAGGCAGGGCTCGCACATGCTCGCACCAGCCCGGATCCTTTTCTAGGCCAGAGTCTCACGAAATCCATGTGCCGTTTGGAAGGTCTTCTCCTACAAGCCCACAAGGCTAGAGCGCAGGGTCCTCATGCAAGTTGACCAGCCACTTTGCATGCCTTCCACACTGGGCTGGCCTGGTCTTGTCACGACTGTTGCTGAAGATGAAAGCTTTTTGGAGCTTAGGGGGTCGTTTCAGTTTCCTAGTTCCTAGTGGTCAAGTTGCTGCGCTGCTGCGCCTCCTCTCTTGAGAATGATTGGTGGAGGTGCCCTCCCGGCTTGTGGCCTCTCCTTGGCCCGTGGCACCCACATCCCCTGCCAAGCCTGCGTAGCATGCGAGACCCCGGGAGCCTTGGGGAGTTCTTGCATGTTCTTGTCATCTCGGCATCCTCATTACCAGTGCCAGCCCAGTCTGAGTGTGTGCTGTCAATACCTCCTCTTGAAATCCGCCCTTGACTTCAGCATCCATCCTTAGCAGAAGGGAGCGGGAGGGATGGGGGTGGGTGCGTGTCCCAGCAGATCCTGGGATGCACGAAAACTCCAGACGGATGCGTTGCATCAGTTCCCAATCCATCATACCAAGTTTTGCTGCCGCATGGATAACCGTCAGGTAAAATACACGAATTTACATTTGCGCTTCGAGGGGGTGGGGGGGGGTGGTTACGTCCATCGTCTTGCCCGTCCTCACGCAAAAGCCCCGACGTCCTGAAGTTCAGTGCAGCCCTGATATCCCAAACAAGTGCAGCCCCAAACTCTCAGAAACCCTGAAAAACAGCCTAACCTAAGCCGAGATCCTGAACCCTGAACCCGAAAACGCCTGCACCAGCTCAGCACGTGAGCTAGAGAAGTCCAAACCTGCACCCTCGAGCTTGCCAACAAAAGAGTTCTGTGCTGGTGCAGAGTATATTTAATGGTTGCCGCCAGTGCTGCCGACCCCCGAGGACCATCCAGTAGCCATATATATATATATATATATATATTCTTGGGTAAACAGCAGTATGGGAGCAAACAGCAGGATGGGAGTATGGCTTGTTGAAAGGCAAGTCTGGCACAACTGACGGATGCTCATTAGTTGGGTCGCTTGTGGCACGACTACTTGGCGGTTTAGTGTGCTGGCAACACAGAAGGCACGAGCAAGGAGCCCCTGTCACGGCCAGGCTTTTCTGGAAACAGCAGCAACACAGGTCAGCACAGGCAAGCGCTGTTACGGTGAAACGCGTGGAGACAGCGTTGCACGGTCCATTGCTCCGCGAGCAAGGCCCGCGAGCAATGCCTGTCATGCAGACTGCTCCTGATGCGCGGGATGTCAAAATTGCTGGAGCCGGCTCTGCCAGCACTGTTGCTCTGCATGAAGGTACGAGATTTCGGGACATGACCTTGAATCAGACGCACATGCCTCAGAAAACAGCAAGGGTCAAATCAGAAAACAGCACCAGAAAACAGCGAGGAAGGCATCATGCCCATTTCGGGACAGTGTGTGCTGCTACGCATCTGCGGCGTTCACATGCATTTGGTAATGTAAGGGTCTGAGGTACACAGGAAGTGCAAAGAGTAGTCTTGTTGCAAATTGCAGCATGTCGCCGCAAAGCAATGCCGCGCGTGACAAGAGGCGGCAGGCTGCGAAGGCTGCTGTGCTGAAAAGTCGCCGGCAGCAGCTGCAGCGTGTTTTGGCCCGCAGCCGGCATGCAGGCCTGAGGGGCAAGCGCTGGTCTTCCGACTACGTTGTGGGATCCCTACTCGGTGTGCAGCTACAATTTCGGCTGCCAATGGGTTTGAGTGACCGCCAGGCGAGACGCGGCTATCAGCCCTCGTCGCGGCTGGCCTGCCATGGGGGTCATGGGCCATGGGGCATGGCGTACTTGGTATTGGGGGAGCGGAGGGGGCAGGCATGCACTGGATGCAGAGGAGGGAGCGGAGCGAGCGGTGCACCGGAGCCCTTAAAACTCAGCTTAGGGTCTGCATGGGGGGCGTGGGGGCAGGCATGCTGGCCATAGACCTCGTATGGGTCGGACGAGGGCAAGGGGAGCGGAGCGGGCGGGCGTGCCATGCATGAGGCCATGGGGGCCATGAGGGCCATGGGCCAATGGGGGGCTGGCCTGCCTCGTACCTGGCACATGATGGGTCGGGGACTGCTTCGGGTCTAGGACATGGGGCCGTTCATGGGGGGCTACCGGCTTGGGTTTGGGCGTGCTGAGGCCATGGGTGCCATGGGAGCACTGGGGGCTACCGGCGAGGGTTTGGGCGTGCTGAGGCCATGGGTGCCATGGGTCGAGCGGCGGGGGTTTGGGCATGCGCGGGAACGAACTCAGGGAATGGAGAGCACTATGGGTCTTCACTGACGCCGCCCCCGCTCCAGCTGGGGTCGGCGGATACACTGCATAAAAAAAATAAGAGTATGCTGTCATAACATGAGACACTACTACATACATGTGAGCAACCATCCCACCCAGACATGTTCCAACAACGCTTACAATGCCAAAAAACAATAAAATTCCGGGCTTTTTGCAAACGCTGGTTTTTCGCCTGCAGAACCCCAAAACACTGCAAATGCCAGCATTTTTGCTCCTCGCAACCTCCCCAACTCGTAATGTGACGCCCGTGACTGTGCAAAAACTCGAGGCGTACAAACGGAGCATGCTTTTTTGAGGTTCCAAGGCCTTGAAAATATACAAAAAACCATGGGAAAACGCGTGTTTTCAAAAACAGACGTGTACCTCTACGACGGAAAACCATGCGGCGGGAAGTTTTTGCAGCCAGGCTGGCCAAGCAGTCCCCAGTTTAGGTAGGGTTTAGAGTTTAGGCCCTGTTTAGGCTTCAGGGTGCCATTTCCACGTGCTTGTTCGATTGTTGTAAAGTTCGGACCGCTTGCTTGTCTCAAACGGTTCTGGCTGCTTGAAGGTGTGATCAAGATGCCTCAGCATCTTATCTTTGTCGTTGCATCCAGTGGACTTCTGGCAGAAAAGACAGGGCCACAAGCTTAGATGCAGCTATCTTTGTTCAACAGGGGAGGCAGGACCAACACAGGCATACACAAGTTAAAGCTCCACCCGCTAGGGACAAGATGGAAAGCTACAACGACGCGGCAACGCTGGCCCTCACCGCTGGCAAAGCTGTCGCAAAAGCTGAAGGCCCGCAACTCCGGAATGACTGCGTTGTGGCAAAATTCAATCCAATTCAATACAGCACATTGGTGACATGCAGGCTGGAACGAGGACGCAGCGGTGGGATTTTGAAGGGTGCATGCCTGACTGGCAAAAGAAACACTTGCAGCCGAAGCCGAGCTGATCAGATGAGGACTGCTCAGATCTGGCCACCTGTATCCAGCGCTGCGGTGGCGGACAGCGTGCATGCGCGCGAACCCTGCACACGTCTGCACACCTTTCTTTGCACAGGAGCTGTGCACAACAACCCACTTTCTTCTCGCAGGCGATCATATAGCGGCCGTTCTTCGTTCCCAGCCGGCAGGCGCACGCTGCAGGGGATGGCAGTTCTGATTGGAAAGACCTCGGAAAGCGTCGGGCATCAAAGCCAGCGAAGAGACTACCATCAATCTTTAATGAGTCAGTCAGCGTGGGCATCAAAATCTTGACACAGGAGGGGCGCTGGAGACGCGCTTTAAGCAGTTCTTCACTGAGAATGAGGCATCTATGATTGGTCGCGGGAGGTATCAGTGAAGGCGAAATCGTGGCCATGTTTTTGCCAGGAATGTGTGCCAGGGGTTGCAGAGGCATCGGACGAGAGTCCTTCAAAGATTTGCCCACTTGGTTTTTGCATGAGCAGGCCTTCGCTGCAGCGGATGAGAGGGGCCTAGGAGATTTGGCTGGAGACTCAGTTTCATGGACTCAGCTACTTCAGCTTCGGCCATGGACTGTGGTGCAGGTCGATAAGTCTCAGAGTGCTGGGGATTCCGGCTTGAGGCAAATGGCCTTCCCACGCTGTTAGCAGGTAGATAGTGCGGCTACAACAGCTGCGAGTCAGCGTCACGACAAGTCATTACGAGTCGAGTGTGCCGAGAGCAGGAACCTCGTGCCTGAAACGCGCTGGCTGCCAGCAGAAGCACCTTTTTTGCACAACGGGCGGTTGAAGCACCTGTCAGTGTCAGATCTTGTCGGCACACCATCTGTCAGCGCACGCAGAGCACTTGTGTTATGGGTTGCTGTATGGCGCTGCTTTTTTTAAAATAAGGCGCGGAGGCAGGGAGCCGTCGCAGCCTCGGCCTTCGGCGCAGGCTTCGGCGGAAGCGTGTGGGTGGCCATCCCAGGTTCTCTTCAACATCATTTGATCAAATTTGCTCCAGCGGCTGGTCAGTTTCTGAGCAAAGTTGAGGCCCTGGTACAATCCGCATCCTCAAGCGACTTCATCCGCGGGTGGAAGGAGGCATACTTGAAGGCGGGCTCTTCCCGAATCATTCGGAAGCACAAGGCCATCAAGATGCCATCAAGGCCCACAAGGCCACGTCAAATCACGTCAAGTTGCCTCAGGAGTTCCCCGACAGAGCTTCGACATGTGACTTCTTCGCAACGGCTTCTCGGACTCGACTCGGGTCGGCTTGGCTCGGCTCGCGGATGCCCTTTTGTTTTCAGGGTTTTGCAGGGTTGGCCGAGGCCCCGGGGCCCGGTGCTTGCGAAGTCACGGCAGAGATCCTGGAGAAGGCAGGGCCCGCAAAGTGGGGGGGGGGGGGGGGTGAAAGTCACTTGTGTGAGAGTTGCTCGATCTCTCAAGATTTGCATGTGAGCTCCTTGCCCCGGGCCTCAGGCCGCTGGAAAGCGGAAGCTTCAAGAAGCGCTTCGAGAAGCTGAGAGCAGAGTCCCAAAGCGGCCATGACTTAAGGAAGCTTAAACAGGGGGCACTCCGGGGTTCGTGGCGAGTTTCTCCAGAAGCCGCGCTGCGTGGCACTCCAGAGGCATCCGCACGCAAGTGCCCGCAGCATCCCGCAGCCTGCAAGCCTCATACATGTCGAAGACGGCCAGAACATGAGACAGCTACATTCAGCAACCACGGCATCATGAATCGCGATCCAGGAGGCTGAAGTCAGATCTAGGGCAGAATGAAGATGATTGACGTGCAAGAGTAGTTTTAGGATTCGTCGGCGCTCGCCAACTGTCGGAGCCGCCAAGGCCCTGCCTGAATGGCCGAGTTCTTGCAGCATGAAGCGAGACCACGAACCCACATGGCTCAAAGAGCTTGCGGTCCATCACTGCTTTCTAGGCCTTTGCTAGAGCACTTCTGGGGCCTAGGGGCTGCAAGGTTTGGTCTAAAAACTAATTCACATTCAGGGCTTGCGGCTTGGCTTGCTGAGAGTTGGGCAGGGTCTAGTGCAGGGCCGCGCCAAGGCAGCAGTTGGCCAAACCATCTAGGACCCAAACCCTCGAGTCCCAAACCTTAAAAGGAAGTCCCCATCCAAAACAGCAAACCTAAAAGGTGAACCCAACAAGAGCAGAAAGGCTACTGCCAGGTGCCATGGGCCAAAGCACAAAGCAGGGTCAGGCCACCAGTCCCCCGAAGTTCTCGGAGATGTCTTTGGCAAGTCCTGTCCGATTCTTTAGCTCCAGCTCCATGCCTTACCGTACTGCAAGAACGTGCAACATAAGGTGTAACTTTCCCGACCCGCTGCTATTCCCCGTTTAGGATAGGAAGCGAGCGTCAATTTGGAGACAGCTGGAAAGTACTTGAGTACTCTCCATTCAGGCACATGCTCCGACTCGCCTTGGTGTTCACCGGCACAGACCTCGCCATTCTCACATGGGACATCATCGGACCGAAGACCAGAAGTGCGAACATCATGGGGCGCTTGAAGCAGAAGACCCCTGAGCAAGGTTTTCCACTGAGCAGCTGGTGCAGCCCAGATGCCGATTTCAAGTCAGTCTTTAACAAGGCCTGCAGACTTGCCCTTGTCTTTAGCAGCTTTAGCACCTTGAGCTTGAAGTCTGGAGAGGCTTTCTTCGACCAGCTCCAAGCAGCTGATCAGGCCCCTGTGATGCTGGGGACATCAGGTGGAGATGTCAAACTGCCTCGCAGGTTAAGCCGGGCGTCTTCCAGATGGGGTGGGGGGCCGAAGTGGGCACTTTGGGGGGAGGGGGCGAGGGGAGAGTTGATGAGAGCCGGCAAAGTGGTCCAGGATGTTGGGCACTGGCACTGAGGCCCCAACAGCCCCAGCAGCCCCGAAGTGGGAGAGAAAGAGAGCTGGATCAGAAGCTGAAAAGCTTGGCGCCGGCCTTACCTTTTTTACGGGCTCTTACGTTGCGAGGCATTGCTGCAACACTGAGAAGTGACCCAGGTTAGAGGAGACCAACCAGGCTTCTCTTTCGAAATCATCAATGAGGCGACTTTCCATGAGCCCAAACCGATGGCACATGTAAGCGGTTTTGGATTGCGATGCGATGCCCAGGACGCGCAGCCAGGACCGTTTCGGACTGAAGCCGGGCCCTTACCTTCAAATCACGCCTTGAGCAAAGTCTGGCCATGGACAGCGCATTCTGGACCCCGGGTCCTAGCACCCAAAGAAGCTTGAGAGGCGGCTCTTGTCCAGCTCCTGCCAGGCGGTTCGTGAGCTTTTCCCAGGACCTGTACAGTTCGAATTTGGAGCTGACCGAGGCCAGACATCAGGAACGGTGTGTATATGTGTGTATTCTGAACTGGGGAGCTTGAAAAGGTGGTGCGCAGTCTTTCCAAGAGCCTGATCCCATCGTCATGGATATGCTGCCGGAAGCCTAGGGTTGAGGGATCGGGAGTGGAGATGGGGGTGTTGGGGCATGCTTGGCATATTTGAGCAAAGCGCACAAAAGTTGTACGCTGCAAAGGGCTACAGCCCGGAACAGTAGCAGTAGGCGTCTGAGGAGATCAGGTGCCACGGCTTGCTTTCGGAACTTCATCCTACCCTGACTCCAGCGTGACTCCAGAGCGCAACGCACCAGCGACATCCCGACTCCATGGCCAGGCCGACCCTGAATCAAGGAGAGATGCAAGGATGCCCCCAACTTTCAGATGATTTTTTTTTTACCGTAAGGGCCTTTCACATTGGAGCCAGCCGCGTGTTCAACAACAGAACAACTCGCGGAGTGGGTCAGAGCAGACCTTGTGAAGAGAACGCTGCTTTGATGTGCACCCAAGGAGCTCTATGGATAACATGGTGCAGGCGCTGGGACGCCGCTCTTTTCTCTTGGTGATTCGTGATAGCATGTACTGGTATCAGCTGCCATCGATCTGCTCAGTCGCAAACATCCATGTTGTGGGAATTGCTGTGGCGCTTTATGCTTCCACGAGCTGAGCTGTACTACACCTGAGGAGGTTGTTGCTCCAGTCATCCACAAGATGCAGCCCGCCAGCATGGCACCCCTCTCCTGTCAGCAGGCTTGGAATTCACAGTTGGGACAATGTTGGACAGATTGTGGCACATTTTAGCACATTCCTTTTGCCGAGCAAACCTCAAAAAAGGAGGTGGCCTCGCTTTGTCCCAAGGCACGCTCCAAAGCGTCTTTTTCCGAAGACTAGACTTGTCCCAGCTTTCCTCGTGGGAGGCAAGATCTCAGGTTCACTGTCTTGGGCAGAACAGCAGGAGGCTGAGACAAGTTTGACATCACCAAGCTTGTGCCAAGGGGGCAGCTTTATCCCAATTGGTAAGGTGGGGCCATTTCAGACAACTGCAGACGGGATGTAGGGAAGTCAGTGCGCGCCTCAGCCCCGTTTGCACCGAGACTGCAGTCTCCATGGCACATCTCTTGATGCGCCGTTGGTCTCATTGTCGTTTACACAGCGTCTGCGTGGTTGTTGCGTTGGTCGCGTGTTTTCCAGCGTCTGCGTGGCGATTGGCTTTCGAAAATATGTAAAGATACGGTAGAGACATACCGAAACCTGGCGTCCACTTGGGGATTGCTTTGCCCTGATGCGCACTTCCGCCGCTGATGTGAAATTTTCAGTTCGGAGCGGCCACAATGGGGTGATGTGTATTTCTGCAGACTGATGTGCGACAAACCCGGGATGGGTCAGCTGTCACAGCATGACAGCAAAATCCATTAGCTGGCCCGATCCGGCAATGACCCGCGGCGCGGGCTACCCCAAGCATCCCCAAGCATAGGAAAGATGGGGCAAAGGGCAGGATATGCACAGAATCGTCAAGTGCAGAGGTCCCTTTCCTTTGCAGTGGTGCCATCGACAAGTATTGTGACATCCTGAAGGCGCTGGAGCATTGATCGTCGTGAGCAACAACCTTTCATGCGTTGAAATGTGTTTGAGAATTTGAGAGTTCGTACGTGAACATTCCATTCAAAATTCGTTTTCTGTTGAGGCGGGGATCTTGGATTGCCTGCACCAGCACATGGGCGACGTGGCCGGGGACTGCAAGGACGCCATCCTTGCCACAAGCAAGGCTTGGGCGGCTTGCGGCGGCTTCTTGCAATCTTGGGCAGCATGGTCATCTTCTCCCTCACATTCTTCTCCCCTTTTTCTCACTCGTAGGGGAGACAGGGAGAAATAACAAGAGAGTAGATGTTTTGAGAGAGGACTCAAACAATTGAACGAAAACATGACGAGAGGCCATCACCGCTCTCAACACGGTCAACGCGGCCACACCGGTCCCTCAGGCAAGCCTCCTGAGATTACACGCGGCAGTGGCAGTCCAGTCACGTGTGCAAAGGCTTTGCTGGCAAGACCTGTGGTGGCTTCGGGTGGAGGGGCTTCAGCCGACCGGGACTGGCATGCTGCTGTGCATCTGTTCCCCTGACCACCTCGGCCTCGAAAGTTTGATATGCGGGTATGCCAAGTCCACGAGTCACTTCAATGTGCCAGGAGCGAACGCTGGATTCGAAGCTTGCAGGCCTCACCACGAAGGCAGATGCAAGCAGAAACACTGAGGAGGAAATGCCCCCGGTAAAGAGGCACGTGCCTGCGCTCCCACTTGCAGGCCCCATCGGTGGTCTCGATGATAAAAGAAGCCGAAAAGCAGGCAGAGGACCGCTTGGCAGCTTCGGTTAGAATTCACTTAGAATGCTGGCCACGCTTCAGAGAGAGATTCATGGGAGGGATCGTTCAGCGTCTTCCCTATGTGTCCCAGGATCAGTTGGCCAAAGATGCCGACAAGATCGAGTCCTTGCTGTCGCAGGCTTCCGAATCCAAGCTTGAGCGAAGGCATCAAGAGGCTGCAAGTTCGATGCTGCAGATGTCTGAGAAGATGGTCCCCAAGCCGAGTGCAGCGTCTCACCTGGTGGGGCACAGCTCTCACAGTTGGATCCTCAGCAGCGCAAACTTACTTTAGCAGCACTGGGAAGAACCAACCGAGTGCTTGTCGGACCTCTGGCAAGGCAGCTGGTTGACAAGCTCCAGCGCACTGATCTCAAGTCGTGCTGCAGACGACCATGTATGGTACGCAATCATCCATGCAACGAAGTCAGAGGCAAGTGTGTGACCAGGCTCTAGTGGCAGTGCTAGTGGTTTTCGCGCTGGCCACGGCCACAGATTCGGAGGGACATGGCGGACGAGCAGCCCTTGAAGATGATGTTGCTGAGGCTTATTTCTTCACCCAAACCGACGAGGGAAGAAAGGCCGCCTCCCACTGCAAGCTCCTCGCGTTAGAAGTACACTGACAAAAAAAACTCCCCAGAATGCCTGGAGAAACCTGGAGAGACATGAGTCGCTGTGCAATGTTGTGCAATTCTGCGGAGGTTTGGCACAGGATGAGGATGGCCACGCGAGATGGCACCCTGGCACGAAGGGGCTCAAATATGTTGTTTTTTTGAGTTTCATGAACTCCTGAACCCCCCCCAGACTCCCCAGGCTCGTCGCACTTTTGACTCATCTCCGGTGCGCCTACAAACCGTCTCAGACAGGTCGACCACTGCTGGGAAAGAAGGACCTGGAGATGCCCTTCCCGTACGACGACGAGGCGCGCCATTTTTCCTAAAGTCACTGACTACTCGGCTCTTGTGGGTTCTTTGTGTGTTCTTTGATTCTTTGTGGGTTATGTTTTTGTGTATTCCTTTTTGTGCACTCCTGGCTGTTAGTTTGTGCGTGTAAAAGCGCGCGTGTCTCTTGATCACTTCGAATCCGCCGGTCATCAGGACGCCAAGATATACGGATTCAGGTCCATTCTCCATGCATGGCTTCAGATCCAGTCATCATCGGACGCAGAGACACAAGAACAGAAGAAACGATAATGCCGGCTTCCGCTCATGATGCGGTAGAAGTGTGGTGCTATGCCCTCAAAACATTGACTGACGATGTCCTTAAGGGTGAACAGCGATGGCCAGTCGCCCGCGACTTCCAACATCTTTGCATTCGGCAAGCACAGGGGGCGCACTTTTGAAGATGTAGCGTTGTCTGATGCCAGTTACTGCACGTGGGCAGTGAACATGGAGAACCCTTCGGGGCAACTGAAGGAGTTCGCCATGTTTTTGAAGAGAGTGCACAAGAAGACTCCCAAAGCAGCTCCGTCGGCGCCGTCGGCGCCGCCTGCACGCGCATTTGCCACGCCCCAGAAAGGCCAGCTCCCGGCTGACGTCACTCTAGTGTGCGAGCTCATTGCCACCGATCAGTTTCTGGTGCGTCCAGACAGAGTCAGCAGCAAGGAAGCCGTATTTGTGCCACCGCATGTGTGGCATACCCTGGGAGGACTGGAGGGTGCATGCTTGACAGCTGACCGGCGTTTCTGGACTTATCCGCTTCTGAAGTACAAGACTGTCGTTGCTGGTTTAGAGCAGCTTGGCAAAGTAGAGCACATCCCGAGTTGGGTCCTGAACATGCTACAGAAGTCCAGGCGCTCCGTGGGCGATGAAGTCCAAGAGGCCCGACTACCACCACGAATACTGGAGTACCAACTAGAAGGTGTAAGTTTCGGCATGGAAAAGTGCGGGCGGGTGTTGATCGCTGACGAGATGGGCCTTGGAAAGACGCTTCAAGCGTTGGCCCTCGCGGCTCAGTATCGGGAAGATTGGCCCGTTCTGGTCGTTTGCCCCTCCTCCCTGCGGTGGTTGTGGAAGGAACAGGCGCTGCAATGGCTCGACGTCTTACGCCCTTGCGAGGTGCAGGTGATCAAGAAAGGCTCTGAGCAGCTGAACCCCGACTGCCGCATGTGGATCATCTCATACAATCTTCTGGCGTCGGATGCAAATCGTGGGAAGTTCACTCAGCGCCCTGATGGAAAGCCTCATGGAATGGTGATTGCCGACGAGAGCCACAACATCAAGGAGCAGTCGTGCCCAACTTTGTTCACTTGTTCTTAATGTTTCTTCAACAGTTCGCACTGCCATTGCGTAAGTTGTGTGCAGAAATTGGCTGGGATTCCGGAGCGCTTGAAATCGACACTAAACCTAATTTGGTAAACTTGCGGTCAAGTGTTAAAAAACTGTTAAAAACTTTGGCTTGCCACCCACAGCGCATATTTCTCCTGGCTACCTGCGGAGAACGGAGAAAAACAAAACGAACCCATTGATCTGTGAATCCGGCAAGCCGTCAACCCAAAGAAGCGCGAATCTGCGAGCTCGGGATAGCGGATGCTAAGCCACCAAGAACCAGAGACTTCTTCACGGTTCATAGGGGGTTGGTTGGCAGCTCAAGACCCTCAAAGGGGAATGGGTTGCTCAGGGAACCCTTGGACGGAGAATGGTCTTGGCTTGGCAGGTGCAATGGCGCTTGCGTACCAGGCCGTGGCTATTTTTGTTTTTTGCCTGCGGATTTCTGACAGGTCTAACTATACCCCCTCCCCAGTACTTCGGATGGCCTCGTAGCACGGACGCAAATGACGCAGTCATCGTTCGGGCATGGAGGCTCGGTATCTGATGTGCTCGTAGCACGGGCATAGTCGCATTAGAGCATCGGTTCCGGTCATGCGCATGGGGTTCCGATTTTCGGCCTAAAAAAGGGGTTGACGCGCAGGCTTTGGGAGGCGGATGAGGTGGTGGGTACCTGAATGTATCTCGAACTCTGTCCAATTCTCAGGGCCTGGCCGTGGGTTTTGAGGACGGGTCCCGACCAGGGTTTACACAGCTGCGTGCACAGCGCGTGCTTGTTTAAGCAGCGTAATCAATGTCTGAACAATGAAAGCCGTTAAACATGCTGGGCTCATGGAGCCTTCTTGTACCAACCTTTTGTGGCTGTCCAGGACTGGAGCGCAGCCCGCACCAAGACACTCGTGCCCTTGCTGCGCAGCGCAGCCCGAGCAGTGCTCCTCTCAGGCACCCCCACCAGGAATTCGGCCGACGAGCTCCATCCGCAGCTGACCGACCATCATTTGGTTGCATCGGGTGTTTAAGGTATGTTAAGGCTGAGGCGAGTAGAACAGTGTATCAGCACGAGAAACATCGAACAGAATACTGAGCCAGCAGCCCCTCCCCAGATTCAGGCTGTGCGGCTTGTTTCCCGACGCGGCGAAGTTTGCAGACTTCCGCGCAAGATATTGCATCATGCAGCAGCAGTCGCTTCCTGGTGGGCGGTCGGTGAGTCGAGTTGTGGGAGCTCGATGTGCTGCAGAGCTGAACTTCCTCCTCACATCCACGGTCATGATTCGAAGGCAGAAGAAGGAAGTCCTGTCGCAGCTGCCCGCGAAGCGTCGACAGCGAGTGCCGCTGGATGTTGATAGCAAGTTCTTGCGCGACGTCGGGCCCGATTTGGAGAGCTTCATTGGGGACGGTCCTTCAAAGTCGGATGCCGCCAACGTCTTCATGCAGATTGCCAAGGCAAAGCTCAAAGCTGTGAAAGAGTACCTCTCCGAAGTGCTGGACCGTGTGGATGACAAGGTCATCATTTTTGCACACCACAAGTTGATGTTGGACGAAATCTCGGAGCTTCTGAAGAAGCAGCTTCCACAGATGGGCATGGGGTTTGTCAGAATCGATGGCGGCGTTGCCCAGGCAAAACGTCCAGAGCTGGTAAAGCAGTTCCAGGAAGATGCAAATTGCCGGGTGGCTTTGCTTTCCATCACTGCCTGCGGCGAAGGCGTGACGATGACCGCGGCAAGCCTAGTGATTTTTGCAGAGCTTTACTGGGTGCCAGGGGCAGTGGAGCAAGCAGAGGCCAGAGCCCATCGGCTTGGCAGCACCCACAGCAAGGTGGTGGTGGAGTTCCTGGTTGCGCCAAACACGCCTGATGAGCACATCTACCAGAGCTTGGAACGCAAGAAGAAGGACAGCCCCTACGCTGCCTAAGTGTCTTTCGCGCAAGCGCAGCGCTCATTTCACTCTAACGCACAAATCGGAATGTCTAGTGGCACGCGCGCATGGCATACCTGGATACCATTGAACACATAGCCCCAGCCTGAATCTAGCTGCAAGGGCCCGCGAGCAGGAACAGCATGAGATGGAGTTCGGGTTGAGACTGCACTCCATGGAGGATTCGCCTAATTATACAACATCTTTCCGACTCAAACCTGACACTTCCACCACTCCACCATGGACTTGTGAATTATGAATCTTCCATCTAAGACTTGGGGATATAAGCTGCTAGCTGCGTCACGCTTGGCGGTTCACGCCTCAGGTGTTGTTGCGTCTTTTTGTGAACGACGCGAAATCCCCGTCAAACCCAACAACCCAGCTCTTCCGCTCGTGACACACTGTAGTGCCATCGTCCTCAAAGTCTTCATTTGTGATATTTCGTGATCTTCGTAAGACCATTTGAGATGTTCAATTCCTCGGGGTATTGCCTGCCAACAAAACAGGGCTGACCTTGCACTGTGCTGCAGAATTCGCTATACCCTATAGCAGATGCTGACTGCCGCTGTTTGGCTTGATTCTGCGCAGGATACGTCCTATGTCTTGGATGGCATCGCCGAGTCCATGAATGTGGCACCCGCTCTGATCGCACCCAAGAGGACGGTTCAAAGCTCAGCTTCCAACGTCAATAAGGGGGGCAAGGGAGCATGATCAGAAAAATATCAATCAGTCTGCATAGAATTATTGCGGATTTTAAGCTGAGGTTGAGGAGAGCCAGAGCCAGGAGAGCCAGGAGAGTCCCGGCACCGAAGCGAAACGTGCAAAGACCGGCAAGACTGGCAAGACGCAAGAACCTGACCGGTCCAAGGCGGGGGGTTAGGTGAGCGAGTGCCGCTTCAGAAGAATCGCAAGTCGTCAGGTCGGCGGGTTTCTGCAGGATTTCCGGCCGGTCCGTGCTCGGGTAGACCCTTTCTAGTGAGTCACGTAGTCAGGTGGACGTGCTGCTGAAAGCCATCCGCGATGGCCAGAAGGCTCTCGGCCGTGTGGAGGACGAGACGGCCAGCGCGGACCCTCAAATCCAATCCCAATGATCGGAGGCTTGGCCTTTCGCCTGTGATGGCTTCGGAGAATATTGGCCAAGACGTGCCAAGGTCTGAGGGCCATGGCCATGGGTCATTTGTGGCAAACTCCGTCGAGAGTTGTCACGAATGCAGGGCAGTGCCCAAACGTCTGCAGAGCAGACAAGGCACGCTTCAGCATGGAGGTGATGGGGCGAGCAGTGGGGCACTGCACTCCATGCTTGATCGCCGTTGTCAGACGGACATGAAAAAGCCTGCCAGTGCTCTTGTTCTTGGCATGCACCGTGTTCCTGACAAGTGCCCCTGGAACTGTGATGTCACCCCCCCAGACATGCAGAGCTCCCAGGTGCAGCTGTGAGGGCCTAGAGGTTTAAGCACATTTAAGCACCTTTCCGAGACTGTGCGGCTGGAGAGAGGGGCAGAAAAGACAGCGCTGCATTGAAAATCATCTCGTTTCATGTCGATAGGACAGAGGTAATTTTGCAGAAGTGAAGCTCACAAACTGCTCTGATCTTCTGCTCGACAAGCATCAGTTGCCTGCAGACTGCGCTGAGCGAACTTCATGAGGATCACCCGGACACCCTACACCCCAAACAACCAACGCCCCAGTCCTTCCCGGGCCAAAGTGTCTTTGTTCAATTCCCCACACTTGGAATCCTGCCCCTTGAACTCAATGGCTTCACTGCTTGAGAAGCTCAATGTCGCGTTTGCGGAAGATCCGACCATTGACGAGCTTCTTGAACTTATTAACGACTGGGATTCGGGCGCTGATGTTGAATGTTGTTGATGTCCTGATGCGCAAGGTACGCATTTGTCCCGATTGCAACACAGCAACTCTTTTCCCCTAGCGCAGAGGGAACGCAGGACTTGCCTTGTTGCTTCGCCTCAAGACTCTTGATTCCAGACTTGGTTCGGATTTCTATCGGCAGAGAGGACCTCGGCTGTGTGCATGCAGAGCACAAGCTCGCCATTTCTGTCGAGGTGTCACACTGTACATTTGCCTTCCATGGCTTCCCACATGCACGCACAGAGGCCGCTCTGGCGCTGTACCTGTATGCCTACAAGGCAGGGCGCTCACTGCTTGGCCTCCAGCGACACCCTGTTTGGAAGCCATCGCCGTGCAGTTCGTGCAGACTTCAGCCAGAAGCGGCTACCGAGCAGGAGCAGGAGCTGAGACTGTGCCTAGCCTCGTACATAAAAACATAAACTTACAATGACGGAGCTCAAGTTGTTCGAGTCGCCATGAAGTTGCATTGCACGTCAGAGCTGAGGTGCTTCCACCGAGAATTCGCGAAAGCTCCAGAGCCGTTCTGCTTTGCAGTGCGGACTGCACCAGTGCTGCCCCCAGAGCGTGCAAGTGCCAAACAGGCTATCCCATACAGGGTTAAGGAAGTCAGCGTGCTGGGAGGTGCATGGAGCGCATGGAACCGGACAAGAAGTTCGAGTAGCCACAATGCTAAGGTGTCCTTGGCTGCAAGCACGGTGCTCCTCACACGTTCGGGGTCATATTTTTTGTTTGCTCTCTGGTGGGGGCTTGCAATGCTTTGCGCTGCTTCCCCGAATTTTCGAGGCTGATTTGCTCTTCAGCGCGCTGCTGTTGAGAACGAACCACAAGAGCGGCGTCCAGCTGAGCACTGGACTTCTGAATGCTTCTGAGTACTGTTTTCTCATTTTCTGGGGCGGTGCTGGGAGAACAAGATGCTCATACATCTGAATCTCAGGCGAGACCTGGGCACAGCGGCGAAAGCTGTTAGGCACAGCTCTTCAGACATCACAGGCCCGCAGCAGTTGCCACAAAATCGTCGAGCTCTGGACTTGTGCAGTAGCCTGCCTGCCTGCTCGCAGGAGCAGCAACAGATGCTTCTGACCGAGGCGTAGTTGATTGAATCGGTTTGGAGTACTGGCGAGGGGTTGAACCATGCACCCTGATAGCTTCAGCTGAAGTAGCTGCAGACCGATGTGGGTGTGGCGAGGAGCTATCGCTGTTGGAAGAGTTAGCTCAGAGGCGAAGGGATGAAACCTGGGACCTCAAGACTGAGTGCACTTTCTGTGCGATTCTCTGTGCCCTCTTCGGTCAGGTACGACCATCACTACTACGCCTGGAACCACTGGGCATGGTGAGAACCTTAAACGAAATTGAATTCTCAACCCTCGTCCCCCTCACTCTCCGAGGCTGAACCGCTTTGCTGCAAGCCTGTCGGCCGACGCTGTCCCTCGGCTACCTCTGGCTACCTCTGGCTCCCTGGCTACCCACCAACCCCTGAAGCCGAGCCGTGCCGAGTGTGTCTCTTCGCCATGTTTGGAAGGAATCCCTGCTGGAGGTGAAGTTCCCAAAGTTGGTTCGATCCCCAGTGGCAGACTGTCAACAAAGGGAATGACACAGCTGCGCGCAGAGAGAGAGAGAGGGGTTGTAGAGAATCATCAGATGCAGGAGCGGGGCGCGCCTTGGCGCGCTTGCCCCTAGCCCCAAAGAACCAAAGAAAGAAAGAAAGAAAGAGAGCGTGCTGTATAGGCGGGAAGTTCAGAAATAGGGGGTCTAGTGCAGAGTTGTACGCTTGAACATTGCAATAGCCCGCAAACAAGAGACCTCGCCCAGTAAGAAGCGGAGTGCACATTCAAACAAGTCTGAACTGGGGAACGGACCAGGGCAGAAAGTATCACTAGCATCGCCGCCATGAACAGCCCACAGCGAGGTTTACGGGATTAGGCATGCTGGATGATGTGTTAGAGTGGAATGGTGTGTGAGCAACATAAACCAACAAAGCTGTGGAGGGGCAATGGGAGGCTGAATACCCAATAGGAAGGGGAATGGAAAGGGGGCGCTATGAAGTGAGCTACTACAAGAGGTTGTTTCCCGGGGGCTCCGGGCTTTCGGCTACTCCGTAGTTCCCTGTGGCGCACGCCTTCGGGCGGCCTCCTCGAATGGGGGGGGGTGGGAGGCTCGGTGCGCAAAAAGAAAGAAAGAGAAAGAGAAAGAGAAAGAGAAGAGAAAGATGAAAGACAGAGAGTGCGCGCGACTTATCCGAGACATGTGCATAATGGTTCTTGCAAGAAGGTGGTCGAGTCAACGAGTTTAATTGCTTTCATTTGGATGTGTATGCAGGTGTGCCGGCCCCGCAGAACCAATAAATCAATGAATCTAGCCAAGAAGCTTCCTGAATCAAATGCTGGCCTTCAAGATCTTCTAGGTCCACAGAAGACTCTGACTCATCTAACTGATGAGTTTAGCTACTATTTCCTACCAGTACAGACTGGCCCAGCTGTTTGTTTCTTTCCACAGTATTGATCATGCAATGCCAAGTCTCGTTCTGAATGGCGGTTGGTGTTCGAGCGGCCGTGCTTTCGGGGGAAGGGAGATGGGTGGAGGGGGGGGGTGCGCGAGTTCAGGGTTTAGAGAGTGCTTCGGTCCCTCCGGTTGAGCAGGGTGGCATCGGGGACCGTGAACTCCGAACTCTCCCGATGCAAACTGATCCGCCCGTGCTTTCTTGTGTGTGTGACCGCCCTGACGCCCATACCGCCCATACCTGATACTCGCGCAGAAGAAGAGCAAGGAGATGAGAAAGATTGCGAATGCAGTTGCACGGAGGCCTTCCAGACTCCATCCCACTATGGCCTTTTTCATCATCGGAATCAGCCTAAGGGTTCCGTGATTTTCCGATGTATCAGCACATGTCGTACGGCTGGTCTGCATTCTGAATCTTCCGAATGCGCTAAGGCTTGTCCGTTTACAGCGGCAGCTTGGCAAGAAGCAGCGTGCGGCGGAAGACCAATGTTTCAGCGAGGCAGCAATGCCGCAATGCCCTTCCGACCGCGGTGCGATGTTTTCCACAAGAGCTGACAGGAGCTGCAACTGGCCAGCAAACTGTTGGCCACATTTCCTCATCTCGAGGCAGTCCATCTGTATGCAATGTTCTTGACCTTGCAGTCTATCTGCCGCGGATACAGGCACCTTGGGCCTTCCGTGTTCAGCTGATCAGTCTGATGTTGGAGTGCGAGGCGCACCCTCTTGGCACGGGGGGGACCCTTTAGCGGGACAGATGGCTGCTCGTCGCAGGCTGATCAAGAACTGCACGAAATTGCTTCGACGTGGCGGTCAGAGGCCACGCGCTTATGAGGGTTTCAGGGTCATGTTGTGGTCGAAGACGAGGTTGATGTCAAGCTACAGCTGCATCCGCTGCCAGGTTGAGTTCGCATCAAGGCCAGTTTGGCCGGTTGCGTTCGGTTGTTTCATGGTACCTGCGCGACTCAGAAACTGGGCGCGATTCGGGAAACCAGCATTCAGGAAACTACACGATTCAGGAAACCAGGTTCAGGAAACCAGGCGATTCAGGAAGCTGGAACTTGTTTTCCGGCGATTCAGGAAATCGCGATTGAGGAAGCTGGTTTCACGCCATTCAGGAAATCACGCGCTTGATTGCCCAACTAGGGAGGGGGTGGTGGGAGGGCTGGGGGATGACAACGTTCATGTAAAGCAATTTGTTTTGCGAGGGCTGTTTATTGCAGGCGACTTGGCCATTCAGGCAACTGGTCGATTCCGTTCACCCGGTTGCAATGCCCACCAGCGACGATGGGGCAGGGGGCGGGGTGCCTAAACCCAAAACCCTAAACCCTAAACTGGCCCTAAACTTTAAACCCTGAACCCCAAACCCTAAACCCTAAACCGCAATTTTAAGCCTGCTTTCCGAAATTTTGCGAGTCAGGGCTGCTCCCGGACTCGGGATCCATCTAGTTTCTGGATCTGTGCGTTCCAGTGTCCCGAATCAGCTGGGTCCAGTGTCCCGAATTCGCGGTTCCAGTCTCCTGAATCCCCGGTTTCAGAATCCGCGTTCCGGTTTGATTCAGGTTTTCCAGCTTCCGAATCTGCACATTTTCAGTGTTTATCTGCTGCTGACTCTGTTTCATCATGTGCTTCCTGATCAGGCATGTTCATGCATCGCCGCCGACCAGCAGGCGTCAATGTTCATCTAAAGCATGAACTCACGAAATGGGTATTTCCCGAAAAGGGGTGTAAAAGCCTTTTTTACACCCCAAATAGAACAGAATCCCCTTAAAGGGACCCCCCTGAACTCTTGCGCTAGGTGGGCCATGCGATTTCAGGTCCACGTGCTGCAGGCCTGCAGACTGCAGGCTCTCCAGCCGGCTTGGGCATGCATTCCCTGCCAGGAGCTTTGCCTTTGCATGCTGGAGAAGAGGCCGGTGGAGGCCCAGCGAGCATCTGCAAAAACCTGCGTGTGCGGAAGAACCCACAGGGCATGAAGCTGCTCATCAGGATGCCGCTCTGCTAGATGATGCCCAGTCCCTGCTGGAGAGTCTGAAGGCATCCAAGGCCAGCCCAGCCTCACATGGCGCAAATTTGACAAAGCAGCCTGAGCAAAGCCTTGCGTTCTCTTGCGTGGGATCTGGGATCAAGAAGTCAAGAGGCTGCCGCGCCTGCAGTGCTTCAGGGCATCGCTGCTGTGCGGCGCCTAGCAGGGCCTTTCCATAAAAATACAGGAGGGGGGGTTACCTCCATATAATCCCTGTATATTTACATATATAGTCCATTAAAGGGGTCTCCTCTTCCGCCGCAACTCGGTGGCTCACAGACCTTGAGAAACACATGTTTAGAGTTGAAGCTTTATACGGGAGAAATGCTCCTTGTCCACTTTCATGAAGGGTCGGCTTGGCTATTTTGGACTCCTCCGACTCATATGCGACTTAAGACTCTTCAGCAACTGCTGTTTTTTCCGACTTTAAAAGGAGTTGCCGTGTCTCAATTTTCTTTTGAAGCAGCTGGATGCGCCATGGACAGAGATATGGAAGACACACAGCTGGAAGTGTGGTGCTTCGCCTTCGGGACAGGGTCGGTGAAGCCTTCCTTCTTGCGGCGCTATGGCAGCAAAGACGGAGAGCCAAACACACTGGAGTTCGTGGCTGGCCGGAAGAACGGCAACGCCTACTATTGTCTTCCCTGGAGTCGGTGTACAGCCGTCTCCAGCTTCTGCTCAGCAGCGCACTGCAAGTGGCATCACGGTCCACTGACCATCACATCGTGGAGGAAAGTGAGTGCAAGAATCAGCACGGCGTCGATTCCAAGGATGGCCAGGCTGAGATCAGCCCCGACTGTGCCGTCGAGCTGGACTTCCCTGAAAATCCCTCCACTGGCACAGACAGAGGACCTCGCCTTGGCGGCCTCCAAGGATACGGCTTCTGCGCCGGAGCGCTGCGGGAGTATCTCTGCCGGAGGGTTCGCTTTATTCAATGCGTGAGCCGCGGACCCTACACAGGCGCCAGGCCAAGCTGCTCTTCTTGCCTGCCATCGCCATCACTCACCGCCTGGTCGCTCGAGTCCTTCTTGCCAGCACGGCTTCACCGTCTCTATGTGGCCAACCGGCTCTATATTGCTAACCGGCTCTACTATGTGGTAAAACACTTGTTGACACAAAAAAGTTTGGAATTTGACTGGCGCAGTCCTGTGTCTGAAGTGCTCCATAGTGTGGAGAAATGGCTCTACATGAGGCTGCGCAGTTTGTTTAGAAAGTTACTGCGCGGACCTGCGCTGTCAGATCCACTGGGCTCTGCTGCCACGCCAGAAACATGATTGGTCCGGGGGGGTTCTGTTGAAGGTGCGCTTTTTGGAAACTTCGACGGGGCCATCAATAATTGACAGGCAAGATGTTTTGTTGTTTGGTTCACAGAGCTGTTGGGATCTGCTGCTGTCGGATCGGGAACTGGGGAGGTGCACTGGTGAAGGAGTGTTTTTGGAAACTTCGACGGGCCTTGGCTCACACGTAGGGTTTGTATTCGTTGTCGTTGTCGTTGTTGTTGTCGTTATTGTTGTTGCTGCTGTTAAACACAGATCTGTTGGGGGTCTTCTACTGTCGGCTATGTAAGACGCAGAGAAGTTCATGCGCGGAGTGGAACTGTGTCGCGCGGTGCACTCCGGCCTGTCGTGAGCTGCTCATGCTGCATGAAGGCGTGTGTGAAGTTCTACTACCCGTCCCGCCCGTCCCTCTGCGTGACGAACGAATAGGTGGTGCAGAATGTGCAAGCATAACTGTCGTCGCCCTTGACTCTTTAGCCTTAGGCTACTTCTTGTGCTGCCGGGAGAGTAGCTCCTTCCTGCGCGTAAACAACTGAAGCGGAAGCTCATAGGAAGTACGCAAAAAAAAACAAGTCTGACGCAAAAGGACTGCCCCCGTGCGTCGGCTCCGACGACGTGCTCCCTGCACAGCTTTTGGGTCTCGCGAAGTCGAGGTGTGTAGCCTGCTGACCCTGGATTCAGCCACAGAGAGCACGTTGCCAAACAAATGAATATTTTATGATTTGAGATCTTTCTTGAGTTTTTTTGGATTTATGATATTTTACGATTTTTTCGGTTTCACGAAAATTTGAAGATCTTCTTTATGAAAACATTATGCTTTCGTCGATTGTATGAAAGAATTATGATGTTTTATGACAGTTTTATGTTTTCATCAATTTTGCATCATTTTCAGTCCAGAAACACACACAAAGCCGACCAAAAAGTCACAAAATTTTGATAAACTCGACGAAAAGCATATTTTTTCATACCAATCATAGTTGTTTAAAGAAATCGAAGAGAAGCATAGAAAATTCGCAAAAATATCATAAATCATAAATTCCAAAAAAATATAAAACATAACTTTTCCATATAAAGAACTGTACCATGAAACGTGGCTCTGGCTGCACATCCAGTGTCGTAAGTCTAGCCCCAACACCGGAAATAAAGCGGAAGACTCGCGGGACCACACGCGTACATTGGACTGCCTAGCACGAAGCCATATTGCCCGTCACTCGTGCGAGTTTGAGCGCGCTATCTCTGGCGCCGCCGTGGTTTAGTCTGGTTCTGCCCCGCCCTCAGAAGCGGGAGCGCTTCACGCTTTTCTTTCAGTTGACCTCCTCTCATCAGGGGGCACCCGCCGCAGGATGCTTTAGGCCTCAAAGCAATTCCGTGCCTCAACAGAAACAAATTCGACGGGGACAGGCATGGACACCCAAATGCTCGTCCGGTTTTGAATACACGGAGGCAAGCCAACTCAGCGGGACAGGCATGGAAATCCAAATTGCCAATTATGATCTTGAATACACAGCGGCAAACAAGTTCACCGGGAGTGGCATGAACACTTCAGAAGATCCATTTGATGTTGAACCCATAGAAGCAAACAAGTTCGGCGGGGACATGCATGAGCCCCCAAAAATTCCCATATTTGATTCAGGATTGGTTTTGATTATCGGAGCCAGCAAATGTGGAATGTACCACAGCATGCATGAAAAAGTTCGATATCCATGTGGTTTCAATGCATAGACGCAAATACATTCGGTGGGACAGACATGGGTGACATGGGCATTCAGCGTTCCATTTCATTTTGAATGCATGGCCTCGGACCGGACCATTTCCATGCCTCAAAAGAAGCAAAAAACCGACGAAACAGGGACGGACAGCCAAGTTTTCCAAGTTTCCATCTGGTTTCTAAGGCAAGGAAGCAGACACAGGCATGGACACCCCAATTTCCAGTTGCCTCTTGGATACACAGAAGCAAGCGGCATTCGGCCGGACCGACATGGACGCTGATTGTGCAGAAGCCAGCAACTTCAGCGGGACCAGCATGGACACTGAAATTTCCATCTGTACTTTCATACATAACACCAGATTGAATGCGCAGATGCAAACAGGTGTGCCGGGACAGCCAACAAGCTCTGTTCAAGTTAGTCTGAAAACAGCACGAATCATGCTGTCAGCATAAGGACCTGGACGCAGCTGCCGTCGCCACAGCGTCAGAGAGCAGACAAAAAAAGGTGCCGCAGTGATGGTTCTTTTGCAGCAAGAGGCTTGCTGTGACGGTCGTGGTAAAACAGCGCAAGCCGGCGGAGCAGCACGAAATGAGAGTTTGCTGCGCAGCAAGTGACTTAGTCCAACATGCCACGCATGTGCCACTTCACATGCAGCACCTAGGATCATAGTACTAAAGCACAGCAAGAAAGCATTTCAGCTGTTGTCTATCCGTCTCCCTAGATTTCCGCCATCGTAAGCGACAACCAAGCTGGCTTCGTTTTCCTCGTGCAGAAGAGCCCGACTCAACCTCACACTGTACTGTCGGAAGAGTCCTTCTGTTGGATTTGACTTGCTCACGCCATGGCACTAGCTCAGAATATCGAGGAGCTGGGCAGCACACGTTAGCATCAACGACCTTAAAGCCCTAAACCTGTTGCAGAACTGCAGCGCATGCTGCAGGATCCAAAGTTCGAGGTTGTCAGAATTGGGAATTCCTTCTACAGGCGGAGCCCTCTTTTGAGCAACACACCTGACTCCAGATGCTGCTAGGAAACTCGTTGTCGACGAGAACCTAAAGTTCAAATGCGAGGAGTGTGCCTGGCAGGATTGACTTCGAAGATGGAGTGCCGGCATTTGCCGGCAAATCCACGCAGTAGAGGGGTACCATACACAGTCCCATCAGGAATCGCCGGTACTACGAGGAGGATGAAGTGGAAGAGGCACTTTAGCTTGGAAGAAGCAAGCGGAAGCTGGCAATCCTGCGCATTAGGGTGGTCCGTGAGCGTCAGATGAATGCAGCGTGTGCTCCCGCACTTTCACAGGAGGGCGAGCTTGATGAGCAGCTGGTTTACGAGGCATGTACCCAGTCCTCAGAGCCTCATATCACACGGAATACGGCATGCTACGCTCAGGGAGATGAGTGGGTGTTCCGCATGGAGATGCCTGCCATCTTTCACAAGTTTATTGTCGGCTCACGGGCAGCAGCCTTGGCAGCCCCTGCTTCAATTAAGCAGCAAAAGGACTCGCGAATGACAAGGCGAGGAACAAGCAAAAGCTTGAAATGGAGCCGGGTGCTTGGAACAAGCAGCATGAAACCATATGTAGCCAATTGAAGCCGCAACCTCCCACGGCTCTTCCAGGTCAGGCTGCAAGATCGTGGTGCCCAAGCGTGAGGCCTCAAGAGCTGCATGTTGCACCATGTTTGCCAAATAGTGCAGCAAGACGCAGCTTTCGCAACGAATAGGAGATGGAAGATGCTGTTTACTTGAAAGCGCGGCAAAAGAGCAGCATTTACAGCTGCAAGGCAGGCACCTTCTTCAAGATGCTTCAAGCCTCTCACTTGAGATGCCATGACAGGCACTCATAGAGCTACTGTGTGAGAAGGAGGAGGCCAAGTTGGAGGCAGATTGCATTCCATATTCTGTCCTTTTTGACAAGTGGCCATGCATTTTTCTGAAACTGCAAAGCACTGGGGTCGCCCTGCCTCGCAGTACACGCATTTCATATCCGTCCCACTGGCCTACGACGACAAGTTCCGACAGCTCGTCGACGGCTTTCGCGAGGACACACTGCCCCTCCTAGCACACACTGAACCAATTCTGGACTTCTGTGGTCTCATGGTCACTGTCTTGTGCGTCGCAGAGACATCCTCCCGCACACTCGGATCTGAACGCAGCGACCAGCACGGCCGATAGAACGCAGCTAGTAGCAGTCCAGCACAGAGCAACAGAGAAAGGCTAAGACGAAGCCCGACGTAGACTCTTCGGATGCCTTGGACCTGGCAGATGTCAAATGCTAGTCACGTTGAATTGAGCATCTCTTCGTCTAGATGCCGGATGAAGTGGTGTGCATGCATCTTTGATGAACAGTTCACATCTAGAAGGATGCTGCTTCCTCTTCAAAATAGCTGTGCGCAAGTGATCCTGGTGGCTGCAGTAGCATTTGTGGCCTGCGCTTGTGAGTCGCAGACTCATGGGGATTAGGGGGGAAGGAGGGCCAGAAACAGCTAGCTTCATTCATAGCAAAGCGTTGACAGGCCTAAGGGCTGAGGGCGGCGTCTGGTCAGTTAAGTTAGCAAGCGCCAGAGCGGACACCGACAGACAGGATGTCGTGCTGCAGCGGTTCCAGGGCATTGATGCCTCCATCTTCATGCCCTCTCAGCATCTTGGTTTGCACCAGAAAGCATGTCTGTTGCATTCGCGAGTTCATTGGCGCCTAAGCTGTGCATGCCTAGGCGAATGCACTTCACCCTGTGCATGCTGAAACTGCACTCCCATGCACAAGTGGATGAGATGAAGGAGGCCACGCTGGCACAGCCGACATGTCGTGGAGCCCGCATGACCTTGCCAGGCCTTGAAGGACCTGTCAGCTCGCTAGCCCGGCCTGTGAGGGATGCTGGTGTTCATAACGCGTTTGAACGTTGGGAACGGTGGTTGATTGCTTCCGCGATCATGAACTGGACATGGACTTGAGTTAGGACTCAACTGTTGCTCGTTGTTTGTGGACTATTTCTCTCCGATTCCCTGGTCTTCTGGTCCGGTCTTCTGCTCCTTGCTGGTCTCTTCCGTCTCTGGGTTTCCTCGTCACCTGCATGACCTGGGACAGGTCTTGTGGGGTCCTCTGACATGGGTATACATCAGGTATGAGTGTACCCCCCCCCCCCCCCCCCCAAATGGATGGGTGAATCGGCAACTCGGACCCCCCCCCCCCCCCCCAGAAGCACCCCCTGACAGACTTGAATCGGGTAACTCGGACCACCCCCCGGACCCCCCGAAGCACCCCTTGACAGACTCCTACTCCCCTCCTCCTAATGGATGGCTGAATCGGGTAACTCGGACCACCCCCCCTTCAAAAAATATGTATCCCTGACCCGACCCCCACCTTTGGGGCTGAAAATTCTAGAGTTTTGGGGCTTAGGTGGTTTTAGGGTGTAAGGGTTTAGGCTTTTTGGCTTTAGGGTCATGATCTGAGTACTTCCCCTGTGGTGTGGCCGTGGGGCGGTTTTTGGGATTTCGGTTTCGGCTTCTGGTTTGGGGCTTCTAGCGTCTAGGCTTTTAAAGGCTCAGGGTTTCAGGCTTGGGGCTGTAGGGCTTATATTGGAGGGTTTTACGGTCTAATTAGGTTTTCAGTGTTTGGGCTTAGGGCTTGAGGGCTGTGGGTCCCTAAACCCTGCCAACCCTAAACCCTGCTACCCCAAGCAAGCCCGCGCCCGCCGCCCCCCCCCCTCCCTGCCACCCCCTTGCCGAAGTGCACGTGGCCAGGTCTCTCCGCAACATCCGACTATGCTAGACCAGTGATGGCACACATGAAGGCAGCCCCTCAGAACGTGCAGCTCTTCCTACCGTTCGCATAAGAAAGCTAAGGGCTTGCACATCTTCACAGACGACCCAACCAGCGTTCCGGCCTTTGCACGCCCGTTTCGTGCGCTGAGACAACCTGGAGATCCGTGTCCACCCAGTTGCAAAGTTGCGTAGAAGTGTGGCCCGTGAGGTGGGAGTCGTGTTCACAACCGATCGGTCCAGGGAGCTGCAGAATCGCAGCTCGTCCTTTAAACGGTGACCTGCGCGCCCAAAAGTTGCTGCAGATGCTCCTGCAAAATGCTGTTCCAAACTGCTGCTGCACGTTGCCGGAACATGCTGGAACATGTTTGCAAGAAGGCATGAACTCCATGGCCGACTCGATGTTTGAGCTTTTCCAGGCCTGTATCATCCAAAGTCTAACAGAGGGGTTCGAAGCATGTCGAAAGCTTGCATCGCCTTTCTCCAGCACTGGCCAGGCGCGGAATTTGGTCTCGTCCCAGAGCTTGATGTCACAGAGGCTTCTGTCCTCCGACGGACAGCATGCAGAGGCGCAGTTCAAGCCAAGAGCGACTGTCAAGTTGAGAAGAGTTTTTGATATTGTGTGTGCAGGTCAAGCTCCATGCCACTCTCATGAACACAAAGCCCTTGTCTCAGCTCTGAGACAGTGCCTGGTAATGCCATGCGAACAAGACGTGCAAACAGAGGACAAAATAGGTCAACGGGAGCCTCTCACTATCTCTCGCCACTTTCGGCGCCTATGATCTTACACCACGGGCATCGCATAAATGAGGTATGCGCGGTCGCGCTTCGATGACCGAGCCGCCCCAAGGGAGAACTTCGATGCCAGCGTGCTCATGGAGAAGTTCGGACAGGCACCTGGTGCCTGAGTTGGCCATCGAGATCTGCCTATTCAAGCTGCATTGCAATGACTATAAATCAAAGAGCTACTAAACACTCTGTGCTGCCGCAGTGTTTGAAGACACTCGCTCCAGATGTGACTGTCATGTTGGCTCAACTACAGCTCAACCCAGCTCAAAGTTGTTAGCAGAACTCGCACACATAAATACCATTCTACTGCAACACCTAGCTGTCTCACCTGTCTAATCTGTCTTCTTCCTGCATTACTAGACCACTATTGTGCACGCCCCGCGTGCCGCATGAAGTTCAGGCAAGGAGCGCTGCTGTCTGTGGGACCCTGTCCAGGAAGCGGCCTCTGTGTGTGCATGTCGCTCCGCATGCAGGCCCTGCATCGACATCCACAATGGGCAGGTGTGTGACATAAAAGTGGCTTAACGAATGGGGGTGTGCGAAAATAGGGGTACCCTTTTGGGGGTTCCTAGAATAAGGATTATTCTGTTTTGGGGATCTTAAGGGTACCCCTATCAATCAACAACCACCACTGACAGGTAAAGCAAATCGTGGGCGGCACTTTGAAAGACAACTCAAGTTCGCTTGTGACGAATTTTGAGGCTACTCAGTATGAGCCTCAGCTCCAGCGAAGCACAGCATCTTTCTAATCAATTCCTTCTTGTTCTCGTTGTTTGATTGCCTGAACATGCGTTAACATGTTATTTTAGCATGTTTGAATTGAGAGTTGGCGAGGCCGTCAAGTTGGTTCGCAGAACGGTACCGCGATGACGGTCTCGGTTTCTCTCTCAGTTTGGAAATTCTTCGGGTGAGCAGCAAAATCTCGAACTGATAAGCTACACAGGCGGCGGGCACGCCATCATGCTGGGTGCATCAGATGCGAATAAAGCCGCGGCCCGCCTGTCAAGTTTTTCAACTTCACCTACAAAGATGTCCACGGGGAAGAACCCATCATTGCAGGCTCTCGAAGCTTTGAAGGCATATCCAGGTGGCCTCCAGGCTGGGATGTCGGGACACCGAAGATCCTCGGCACATAGTAGGACAGAAGAGCCTGTACTCAGCTTTGGAACCATGGCCATGACCTGGCAGCTCTGGTGCGAGGTCGGCGGTGGAATCACTGCAGAAAATGCCATGGAGTATATCGATGCAGGCAGCATCCTCAGAGCGCCTTGAGTGTTCTCTTGGGGCCTTTTTTGTCAATAAAGCGGATGGAAGGAGCCAGCCATGTGATCGTCACATCTTATGTCTTCCATGATGGGAAGGTGCCTAGCAGAGTTGCAGAATCTCAGAAGTGTGTCCATATTGTCCACCACGTCTGTTGAGACAGCTCCCCGCGACAAGCCCCAGATCAGGTAGACAGAGAGAGGCTGGCTGCTTTGGTCGACAAAGTAGGCCCGGCCCCTACCAGGACAGTCATTGTAAGGGTCCGGTGTACGTGTGTCAAGCTGGACCATGCTGGACCAGAAGGCCGGGCACGCCTGGTCCTCGACCTGAGCTGCAGACGAGTGCCAGATGAGGCAAGTCGGAAAGCCAACTCTGGCCAGCTGCATGAGTCCTCAGCTTGATTTTCCAGGACAAGGACAAGCCGGTGTACAAGGCTATCCAGTATGGGTTGTGGGTCCACCATGTAGTGCTGCGGGTGATGTTGCCGCGCCCTCGCACAGGAGTTGTCTAGGTGTTCACTTGCTCAGTGAAGCCAGTCGCGATCAAATTAGTAATTAAACACATTCACATTGGACCTCATCAGATAGACTCCGGCCATCATCCGGTGGATCCGATCCTGACTATCAGGCCGAGAGTAGGCGGCCTCTTACGTGAGTAAGCAGCTACCCCAGTATGTGCGATACATAAAGTTTTGCTGACCACAGCCATGGCGAAATACGTGACGTTCGAGTCCAGTTGCTGTCCAGAGTGCACACCAGCCTTACACCTGGTGGCCCTCGCATTCGTCGGCTTCTTGCCAGGTGGCAGCTCTTGGCGCTGTTGAGGGATGACCAAGGATGTTGAGGGCTGAGGAATGTTTAGGGTATGGAAAGAGCGAGCAGCGTACGTTCAAGAACATCAACACACCGTTGGGCCATCGGATAGCCGGCCCTACAATGTTTAAAGTGGAATGCAGCGCAAATTGGCAAACAGGAGAACTGCCTGTGCTAGGCATGCGCGAATCAGCGAAGGGAGTCAAGGGCTTCTAGAGTTTCTAGGTCTTCTGGTCGAGTCCACCCGCTGGAAGGTCTTTGCTGCTTGTGCATATCTTCCTGGCGCTGGACGTCACTGGCGTGCTTCTGCGCTGCTCTCGTGCTGCCCCGCGTCCTCTGGCAGCCTGGAAGGGGCGATCCTGCTGATGGAGCTCAGTACACTTTAGCGCTTGCTTTCTACTGGAACTTTGTGATGATCACTTGCTTTGCTTCACCTTTGCTTCTGGCCATCTGCTGCTGGTATCATCCATTGCTGTGTTTGCCAACCTTGGCATATTTTGTTTGGGCTCGTTTCCTTTCCCGTGCCGAGCTTGGTGATGGGGCCGCCTGGCCGTGGTTCTCAAGACAAGAGTGGGGCTACCATGCCTTCAGACGGTATCTTCACCTCCGCCTACATGTTCACACTACACTCTTTGAGCGCCCAACTGACAAGCCAGTCGTACTTGCAGTTCACCCACACGGCGTCGCCAGCGACTTTCGCATCCTGCTCGATGGTATGCTTTACGATGCGCTGCCGCATCGCAATGTTCTTACTTTAAGTGCCTCGGTGCTCTTCCACCTGCCGTTGGTCCGAGAGCTGTCGCTGTGGACGAGGTGCATTGACGCGAGAAAGACGGTGGCCTGCCGCGCCCTGCGCAAAGGTCACAGCCTCATGGTCATCCCTGGCGGTGAGCAGGAACAGATCCGCACCGTCCAGGGCAAAGAAGAGGTTTATTTATCGAAAAGGCTGGGCTTCATTAAGGTCGCCCTTCAGGAGCGAGCAGCCGTAGCACCCTGCTACGTGTTTGGGTGCGTGAACCTCTATAAGACGTACACAAGCTTCATGAAAGCACCCCGGGAATGGCTTCGTAAAAACTTCGGCGTTTGCATCCCGCTCTACTATGGTGCCTGGGGTTTGCTGCCACTGCGGTTCCCCGTGCACGTGGTCATGGGGGCACCAATTGAGTTCGAATGCAAAGTGCCAGGCTTTCCCACTGACGACGAAGTACAGAAAGCGCATGCCAGGTATGTTGCTGCCTTGAGAGACCTGTACAACGAAGAGAGACATCACTACGGAGATCCCGAGCGAGAGCTTGTTGTAACTTGAGAATCTCGCCGGGCTCTGCTATCACTTCCAAGCGACTTTATTACTGTCTGTACCTAACCTGTACAGAAGGAGAATAACCCCTGCGTTTCTGAAACAGCTTCGGGTCACAGCTCCTTGTATGCTGGATATGTGTGTGGCATCATTCGAACTACAGCAGCTGCCAGCGCAGTTGTCATCAAACCCTTCTCTCGGCACATTGGCAAAAATAGGCAAGACAACTGTATGGACTGCAATCAGCTTGGTTGGCATCTGCAGGTAGTGACAGACCGCTGGCAGAAATGGACAGACCTGGAAGTCTCTGAGGCCACTTTGAGTGTGCATGTGATGACCAGCATGCAGTAAGTTCGGCGAGCTCAGGAGACTCTCAAAGACCTCGCTGAGCACTGCAGCGAGTTCCTTATTCATGGAGTCGACGTGGAAGGGCTGCAAAGCGGAATCGAGGAGCCGCAACATTTCGCATTCCGAGTGAGCTTTAGTAGATAGCAAGAATGCAGCAGCTCGGTGGTAGCAACTTGCTCGGATTGATGACAGGAGCCCCTTGTCAAGCTGATGGCAGCTTCGCCAATTCCAGTAACGTGCGCGCCACGTGTCGCACGATGGAATGAAGATTGAGAGTGGGCCAGAACCCGATTCCCAGCAATGCCCGGCAGGTACGCCGGAGGAGTCCGATCCTTGGAAGACTTGGCCTCAGCATCTCTCAGAGATCTCAGCATTCTGCGAGCACAGGGGGGCCCATGTCTCGTATGTACAGGATATGGAAAGGATACGAGCACTAGGCCCTGGTTCACCGCTGTGCTCCCATGTCCCATAGATGCCATAGACTTGCCACCTGGACAGGCCACGGCCGGGTGGATGCGACAATAGGCTGGGGCTTCCTCCCAGGGCCTGGCATCCTGGTGCTGCGCAGCACTTTGGTCTTTTAACATTTTTTAACTGGTGAGGCAGTGCTTTGGACATCTTCGGTGGCAAACTACCGTACAAAGAGGCGAGGAGCACTCCAATCGCAGCTTGAGCCAGTTCTTTCGCAGACTACCTGTTGCAGGTCCTTCACTGGCATCGCGAACAAGAGCAAAAGGAAAAAGAAACAGAAAAAGAAAGATAATAGATTGATTGCAGATGTCTCACCGTCCGATTTTCCGCCCAACGTGAGCTCGGTAAAATGGTGCAAGCATGCGCAAGTCTGTCCGCAGACTCTGCGGCAGAGCAAGTGGATGCAAGCGGTTAAGATGTGGTTAAGACATTTCCCGGACCTTGCGACGTAGAAAGTGTAGCAAACGGTTCTCTGGCAGGTTGATTTCGGAGCAGTGCAGCTTCGAGAAGTTCACCTTTCCTGCTTGGACGAGATGGGAGACAACGGCTCCACCCAAGCAACGAGTGCTCACTCTTTGCATCACCCTTGCGGTCTCGATGCTCCCCTGTCCAAGGTTTCTATCGCTGTCTTGCATCCATACCTCTGAGTGGGGGCTAGTGTCCTTGTGGCCACTAAAGGTGCAGTTAATGGCAGTTTTCTGCTGGCAGGGCTCAGTACAGATAGTGTACAGGTGCCAGGTGCCAGCGACCCAAAAAGCAGTAAGTTGCTGTTCTGTGCACAGGGGGCCCACAGGACATCACAGAGTGAACGCAAGCTAGGACCTAGGATGCCTGACCTCTTTGAGTCTCGCGGCCGAATGGTTTTCAGGCTTTTGTCCTTCAGTAAACCGGTGAGCTTAGCAACAGCGTACGATGCGAAGCCTTACAGTTCGATCGCTTAGCTGACTCAGCTGGTGCCCACATAGGCTGCGGCAACATAGCCAGCTTCCCAAAAAAGAGACAGAGCATCAAGACTTAAAAGAGTAGAATTCGGGAAAGTGCTTGTTTGTGTTGAAGCAGTCCTCCTGCATGAGGGTGTTGCTGCAATGGGCCTGGAATGGCCTGTGGCTGCCAAAAGTCTGACCCTGGAGGTTCGGCACCTGATGTTGCATGCCAAGCTAGAATGGGATAGAACCAAGGTAATAATCCATCTGATTGAGTTCGGCAAGATCAAAGCAGTTGCCATGCTGTCGACCACAGGCGACGGACTCGGTGAAACGGACATCGATCATCTACACACACTGCAAAACAACCTCGTACTTGTAGAGCACCTCAACCAGGCCGAGCGGGGAAGGAAGCGGCCCTGGCCTTGGATTAAAACCCCGAACACATCTTGAACGCTGTTAAACAACTTAGTCTTACAGTCTTAGCGGTACAGCATGTTTGTCGCTGCAGTGGTTCCTCTTCGCCTTCTCTAGCCGTTGCAGGTGACATGCGTGCTGTCGCCAGACAGAATCGCTGCCATCAAGATGTGGCGAGAGGTCATTTGGGTGTGGATCTTAGGAGGACGGTTCTTCAAGTTCCGCGCTGCTAATTCCACGTCCTGCACTGAGTCCGCACAGCTACCAGTGCTGCAGCGTGCGGTCGAGGCCGATATCTGCATGCAGCTGCCACAAGACTCTTTCGATAGCGGAAGCACGCAGAGATCAGGTGCTGTCATGCGTATCATAGGCACCCGTATCCTGCAGGCAGCCGTTTGTGGCTTGCCTCCCTTGGCCTTGGCCGTGCGAGTCTCTTTGCTGGACGCCTTCGGCGAGGACTGCACCGCTGCGCAACGCTGTGCAGCATGTGGTTCGAGGATGTTCGAGGTGAGTGCAGTCGACAGGTGGCCAACCGTCGCAACCTGTGCCCCTGGCGAGTGCGTCGGCACCCATGTTGCACATGTGGTGAGAGATGGGAAGCCGTCCCAAGCGTGATCTGAAAGGCTTAAGAAAGACCAAGATGCAGTAGACATCGAGGTGCCATTTGCTTCACGCGCGCCAGTGAGGCCGAGGGTGAGGCACGCGAGGCAGGACATCGGACAACTTTGACCTTGCACAACAGGCAGTTCCCACTTATACTGTCGAAAGGTGCCTCGACGTGCCATGGTGCGCTTCGACTTCCGATGCCCCCGCAGGTTCAACATGGTTCAAAGCAAACCGTGGCCTGGGAACGTTGAGATCTTGCCTTGGAGAGGCACGGCTTGCTGCAACCCGTTCGCGATATCCCGGTAGCTTACAGACTCCGGAGCGGCACTGATGACCTCATGCATCCCGGCTGCACCACTGCACCGCCACGCATGAGCGGCAAGATGCGCGGTAAGACGCAAGAGTGGAGTGGAGGTTGCTCTGCAGCCACTGTGGGCGAGATCAGATTGAAGAGGCGGACGTGTGCGAACTGCCTGCACTGGCCAGTTTGCGTAATTGCCCTCATCAGGATCAAATGATTTTACACTGTCCAAGATTTGGCTGTTGCTATGCCAGTGGCCAAGATGCCAGAATTGGGCCGCAGAGTGCATCACCCTTGCCACCGGCGCGTCTCAGATCCGTTTTTGCTGTTGCCTGTGACGGCGCTTAGGACCTTTGCTTGAGGTGCGCTGAGGTCCTCGGCCTAGGGAAAGCTTGCGCAGTTGGATGCCTATCTATCTTTTTCGTGCTCGGAGGCGCTGGTGACACACCGCCGGACCGACAACGTTGCTGTAAGTAGGGGGCGCGACAAAGCTGCGGGAGAAAGTCCAAAGGTTCATAGGTTCCTGTGTTTTAGGACTTGGGCAAGTGGTTTGGGTTTGAGCATTCAGGTGAAGGGGGGTGCGGGTTTGTGCCACAGTCACCAAGCACGAAAGGCAGCTGGGGCACCTCGGCATGTCTCAACCACTAGGCTCAAACACTTACTAGATCTTACTAGCACCAGTCCAAAAGGCACGGACATGCGAAACTATGAGGCAACACAAAAGCGGAAGCTGCCAGTATGAGGTCAGGCAAGTCGTGTGAGAAAAGCGATTGATGCCGATGAAGGGCGCTGCACTTGCATCACATCGTCACAGGCCACGCTTTGTGGTGCACCCCTCGAAAGCTGCACGACATAGCTTTCGAGTTGGCGTTGGCCAACACTCGATGTATATCGTGAGCCCGCAGTGCACAGGAGCCGTATGAAAGGAGCTCGGAACCGCTCAAAATCGGCGCCGAGCCTGTGTCTGCCACTGCCTCTGCCGTCGTGCCCCAAGACGCTGAGCGGCGCCGACACGTCGCTTGCGCCAAGGTGCGACACGGGCAAGTTTCTGGCGCCCGTCAAGTTCTAACTTCTGCCGCACTCGCGCCCGGCGCCGCGTCGGCCGTTGCCGCCCAACCTTGGCGTTCCAGCCCGACGAACTCCCTCGCCTCACCACAGCGGCCATGGGGGACTCTGCGCGACACGCGCCGCGTATAGCGCGCCAGGGCTCAGGGTCAGCGGCATGCGAGCTGAACATTGACATCTTAAAGTCCTGCTGCAGGACCAGGAGGGCCTCGAACTGCTGGCGCACGCAGCGACATCCCTCGCCAGGGCTGAGCTCGCCCTATAGCACGCCTGACCGCGTTGCAGAAATTGGCCGGCGGGGTCCGCGGCATCGCTACGGGCGATTGTTTCCGGCGGTTGGTCGCGAGTGCTCTCGCAACACCGTGGTCCCCCATGTTCGATGCCACCACTCGTCCCTCGCAATATGCCTTGCAAGCGCGCACGGGCACCGATGCCTTGGCATCGCGTTGGAGGATCACGGGACGGGCTCGTCGTCTCCTTGGACGGCCTGGCAGGGTCGCCACAAACGACAGCGTAGAGGACGAGGCCGGCAAGCTCCACCCCCACGCGTGGCGCCCGCGCGGGAAAAAAGAAAGACTTGAAAGAACAGCTCTTCTTGAGTACCTGAGCTAAAATGGCTTGAGCCAAAATTGGTCTAAAACAGCGTAAAAATATGGACGCACAAACGGTTGGGATGTCAGTTGTCCATGAGTGATGACCAAACCTCGGATGTTGAATTTTGCTCGCACCTTTCTGCACCCTTAAAAACATGATTCCAGGGTCCTGCCGGCTGCCGTGCCTTCAGTCGAGCTGCCCTGGTGCTCGGCGAGCAGGTCCCCCAACGGAGGCTCCTGGTCATCCCCCGCGTTGCACGGCTGCACCGCAGCTCAAGTAACCGCCAGCGACGCGAGGCAATGCCACTGCCGGGTGAGCACCCGCCGAGGCAGCGTTCCACGGCGCGCCAAGCACCGGATGAAGACGGGGGCGCTGGGGCTACCCTTCGGCTGCCCTAGTGCTGCCTTGCTGGCTGGGCGTCGGCGGTAGGGTGGTAGGCTGGTCGTACTCTACTCGCTGTCGCTGTCGACGGACGCGGCAGACGCTGGAGCTGCGAGGTTTCGCTGCCGGCCTCGCCCACGACCCCGCCGACACTGCCGTCCCCGTCCGCGCACCTTGGCAGTAGTCCGTGGAAGTGAGCGCGACGGCTACCTGTATGGAGACTTCCTGCGAGCTTGCGGCCGAATAGTATTGCGCGGAAGCGAGCGCCGCGACGGCTACCTGTATGGGGACGCCCGTTGGCGGCGCCAGACCGGAGTCTATGGAGAGCACCCGCGTCCGTGGCGTTGGCACCCGCTCGCGCTTGCTGATGTGTGCATTGGCATGGATTGGGACACACACAATGTTTTCTGCACATCACGCATGTGCACGCTCGACGCTGCCCACGTCCCGAGCACGTGCGCTGCACCCATCCCTCGGCGTTCCAGACGGGCGGGCGGCGGCTGCGTGGCGCCGCGTTCGCGTGGGCGAGGCAGACAACCCGGGGCCCCTCGCGGCAGGCAGCGTTCACGTGCGGCTCGAAGCTCAGCACCGTTGCGCTCTGGAGGCGCTTGCCAGAGCCGGCCTGCAACCGTTCCCGCCGCTGCCCCCGCAACCCTGCGCTACCATCAGCGACACGGCGTTTCAGGTCACGGGTTTACACCCCGCGCGAGACGGAGAGACACATATGTACCTTGGACGGAAAATTTGTGGCGACCTTCGACGCCAATCAAGAACAGAGCTGGCGCATCGTATCAGTGCAGCGTGGGGAAAGTTCAATAATTCATATTCGTGAACAAGCACATGTCAATCAAAGGCAGATTGAAGCTTGTCAACGCCGTGGTCACTCCTACGGCACTGTTCGGACTTTCTACATTGGCACTGACGGCGCGACAGCTGGAACAGCTTGATATATGCCAGCGAAAGATGTTTCGAAGCATTGTTGGATGGAGTCGCGACGCAGATGCAACTTGGGAAGAGACGATGCGACGCATGAATGCCCGGGTATCGTTTGCTCTCAGGCAACATCCTGTGCCTTCGTGGTCCAGTGTTCATCGTGCTAACCAGCACTTTGCACTTTTGCACTTTGCCCGTTCGAGTCACGAAGACTACGGTCCTTTCATCTGCCAAGATGGCCGTCAACAAGACATGATTTTGTACAGTTTGACACGGCCTCGCACATTAATTAGCTCGTAACACCCACCGTTGTCCCTTGTCCTGAAAGGACCGTAGTCTAGTGCTAACCAGCACAGGTTCGTAATGAACCTGACTGCGAAGAATGCTTGGCCATTATGCGCTGCAACCTGGAGTCCGTCATCCCAGCACAATTTCAATAGTGTGCCGAGACGACGACCTGGTCGCCCCCCCAAGCGATGGGATGATGAGTTGAATAAGTTTATAATGTCACAGTTCCCTGGATGTAGTTCATGGTCTGATGTAGCTCATCTGCCAAGATGGCCGTCAACAAGACATGATTTTGTACAGTTTGACACGGCCTCGCACATTAATTAGCTCGTAACACCCACCGTTGTCCCTTGTCCTGAAAGGACCGTAGTCTTCGTGACTCGAACGGGCAAAGTGCAAAGTGCAAAGTGCAAAGTGCGAGCGGCGAGCGTACACCTGCCGCCGTGCCCTGCGACGGCGCCCATCCCTGCGCAGCGCTTGCTCCCGTTGGCACACACGTGGGAGCGGCGCGCAGGAGGAGCAGGTCTTGCTGGACCACCTACCGCATCTCCTCGACGCCCAGTGCATGGCTCCTCCGGCTCATGTGCGCGAGCACGCGTGCCAGCCGCGCGCTGCGCAATGTCCCACTCGAGGTCACCCGTCCGTATGCTGAGGCACGCGACCGGGCACTGTGCACGACTCACATCCTTGTGGGCTTGCCTGCCGCTTTGGACACTTTTTTCCTACAAACGACGACGTTCAGAGACATGTCCTTAAACGACCGTGGAGACACATTCAGAAGTGAAACCACATTCGTATGTTAGATTCGTGATCATGATATTAACTTGCAAATACGCATAGACAACACCAATCACACAAGGTGCAATAACAAAGCCAGATTACTAGTCCTCACGGGCTCTCTCAAAGGATCATGGATCATGGGTCATGTCCCATCTCACATGCCGATGCATCACAGCAGATATTGGCCACAAACACGATGTTGCGCAAAATGTCACGAGACGAATTGACAACGGGGTCTGTGCTGAAGAGCGTTTCCAAACTCAGAACGTTCGTACTGCGAGCTTGCATTCGCCAGCGCTGGCGCCGTGCAACACATTTTGGAAGTGCATGTTACAAAGAGTCGGGGCATTCAGCACACAAACGACATGAGCGATGCACGCCGCCATGGCGATGACGCGCAGAGCGCCCGTCTAAGAAGTCATGATGTCCACATCGTGTTAAATCCCAGAATCTGGCAGCAAATGGGACACGCATGTCTGTAAGCAACTCGGTGCAGATGCGGTTGTGGTTGCCAGCGAGCATCGCACTCCAAAGAATCGATGCTTGGTAAGAGGTTTCGATTGCAAGTTGGAACGCTGAGTCACGGCATCACGCGGTGCGAGCATACACCACTCAACCTTGTCCAGGCGCGCACCCATCCTGGCGCTGCCGGCTCCACTAGTGTCGTCGCGGCAACGCAGGCTGCTGACTTCCTCCGCGCCCAGGGGTGCGACGTGCCAGCCTGGGATGTCGCACAGTCCGCCCCCCGTTGAGTTCGATGGACCCCCCGACCTGCGCGGTTGGCAGCGTCATGCTGCCCGTGCCTGCGATCAGCGCGCCTTCTGGATGCATTTCGCCACCTTGTCTCCCGCATCCAGAGCGCTGCTGCTGTCCGTGCCCTCACCGTCCGGCCGTGCAGGATGATGCTGGTGTGTCCTTCCGTTTCCTAGGTTTACCTTCATCCTCGGAAGCAGGGCTGGCGGCACCTTCACGGGTACTAGCGGGACCGTCCGATCCGCCGGTTTGGGTTGGGGACTGGGCACCACTCGCCGAGAGCCAGGGTCTTGGTCGTTCTGGGCACGCCAGTGGGCAGTGATGTTTTTTTTTTCTTTTCTCTCGGACTTTTACGCCTGCTGATCCGTTCGGCAGCCTGTTGAACGGCGACCGAGATGATGCTCCACCAACGTCTTGCCCAGCCGGATGCGGCCGCTCGGCGCACTGCTGGCGGCGCGCGGCATGCGTGGATGCGGACCATATCGCGCATGAATCGCAGGGCCCCGCCATTCCAGCGACCCCCGACCTCCGAGCCGAGCACGACGAGCCGCTGGGGCCCGCCGCCGGTGAGCTCCGGGTAGGCCGCCTATTTGCGTCGTTCAGCAACGCGAAGCGCTGCCCCATCCGTGTCGGCGGCGCATGGTTGCCGAAGCTCAGCCATGCCCGGCGGAGCAGCCCCTTCA